GCACACACCTGAATACAATCAGTCAACCCATCCTTATTCAATCTTTCTGTCACCGTGATATCTTCAGATATCATCAAATCTGACACCTCCACACTCATCACACCTCTTACAGCCACTTGATATCGTCTGCTACTCGCTGCTAAAATGTCTGTATGGTGACAGGATCTCAGCCTTGGCATGCAGCCGCATCCACCATATCAGCAAAGAAACCTTCCTACCAGCCTTTAAAGTGGCTTTTGAGAAGGTGTTTATAAAGGAGAATGTCTGCACAGGGTTTCAAGGTGCTAGAATAGTTCCACATGACCTAGAGGCTGTGCTATCAAAGCTAGATATGCAGCTGTGTATACCAACACCACTCGTACCAGATGCTGTCAATTGGGAAGCAAAAACATCATGCAATGCCTGCGAGATAGAGGCACAGTCAACACTTATTTGAAACAAGATTCAAAGGCACCCAGGGTCCTCAGCAAGTTTTATAGATGAGCAGGTGCAGCAGCTTACCAAAGGTGCTCAGCAGATAGCATATAATATGGTACTAATACAGGAGGAATTGAGTCGTCTAAAAGAAGCGGTAGAAGCAGCTATAAAGCACAAGAGTCATAAGCGGTGATATGTGCAGATAGAGGAGACCTTAATAGTTGGTGAGATATCTGATTTGATTGCTGAAAAAGAGAGTAGCAGTTATAATGGAAGCAAGATGCCTGCGAAGAGAGTACACGGAGAGTGGCACTGTGGCTGTTACGGTGAGACTGGGCACAACTCCCGTACTTGCAAGGTTGAAATACAGGATACAGATGATAGTGAAGCTTCTAAATAATACTATATTATTGCATATAGCACCAATTATTATTGTAGTGTTGTGCAACGTCGCTGTATATACGCTTTGGCAGTGTACGCTGGGGCGCTCGCTTGGATGGGGCGCTCGCTTATGAAACACGTTATAGAGGTGCATATATACTATCTTCCTTAACAAAGATCTCTCTTGTACAGCAAAAAAAAAAAAAAAGAAAAAGATAGGATAAATTAGTACTTAGTTACAACGCTGTTACTTTCTACCTTACCTGCTTAGATACCTGTTAATTCTCCTTTAGAGAAAAGCTGTTCTACCTATAGAGAGGAGGCGCGAGGACGTTGCTATCTGTACTATTGCCTGTACAGGCTAGCTTAGTACTGTAATAAGCTTAGCTGTTAAAGGCATTTTTGTATGTTATAAACAGTTAATGTTAGAAAACCGTTAAGATCCGTTTTCAACGTTCATAACCCAGCCCTACCATGGACGCGCAAGCCCGGCACTAGCAGTTATTTCCAAATCCAGCGCAACCGGCCCCAGCACACACACTTCCACCCAACACACCACCTGAGCGACTCCGTATGCGGGTCCTTCAAAATGACAAATCCAACCCTGCCAGGACCTGGACGGCTAGTTAGTTCATCCGCAGTCCGGCAGTGTTGTGCAAGTCCACGAATCCGTCTGAGCCACCGCCTCCCTCTCGCGTGTTTCTCCCAAGTGGACTATTACTGCTTCTAGAATGCTGCATGTAGGCTTAACCAGCCAGGGGATTGATGGATCTGGCAAATCAGGATTCGACGTCGATCGAATCCTTCGACTGTCTGAGACATGGCAGAGCGTGGTAATCAGGCGATCTGGGAGAGGGCTGAACTTGCGGACTCGGGGGTTCAGGGGCGGGGAGATGGGAAGAATAATTGAAAAGGGGTTGCATTACCAAGTATTATTGGGACAGTGGAAGGGAGATTGGGTCTCCAGGCACGCGGGGTTGGTTGGTGAAAGAGTTGGGCGAGTTACTGGTTCCAGAAGGTCGCGTCTGGGGGATAGGGCCCAACAGCGGTAGAAGACGGGGTGCATCAGCTTACAAGGGAAACTATCGTGTATTCAGTTTGCCAGAGGGAATCGTCTAGGGGTAAGATATGTGGGGAACGGATTACTTTTCCTCGCAGAGCGAGCAGCTGTTTGACGGAAGGGCAGACTAGTGCTCCGTACTTACAAGTAGTACTCCTATATACAACATCCCTATTCTGAAAGGCGCCGCACGTCCAGCACCTCACCCAGCCCTTCCTACAAACACCACTCTAATACTACATCGTTGCATATACTGCTCCATCCCTACCACCTACCATCCCCTTCCACGAATTCAAAGCAACACTTCCCCCCCCAACACCTATCTCGCCCTTCCAGAAACCCACCGACCCTAGCACCCAGCATATCCAAGCCTCCACATGTTCTACCTCGTAGTAGTGGGCCTTGCCAATAGAAGTATACTCCGCAAGTCGTGCCCTATTGGCATTTTCCACCACAACCATGTCGCAACATGAAACCTTCGGGCCCCCTGGCTAGATACCAGTCAATACTCCGTACTACCTACCCTACCTACTCTGTAATAAAGGCGCGTTATTAGGGAAGGGTGTCCCTCGGTGTTCACCTAATCCCGTTCAACTAACGGAGTCTTGCGGTCTCCGCCGGAGGCAGAGCAATCGCTCGTACCCAAAATCCTTCCTAACAAGGACGCATAACACGCTTCCACTGGCAACATCTTGCAATCCCTGTTTGTTATCCCAGTAACCGCCAGTCATTAACTTAATATTACGTTGCGCAACGTACGCTACCCTACGCTTTCGCATCTCCGTCTCCCTTACCGAGCGATGAATGTCCCGACATACAACGTACCAACATAGAACAAATTCCTACAAGTACATCTCGACCAGTCTAACCCTCCGAATTCCGAATCCCGGAACCCGACGGAAAAGCCCACCTACTTCCCAACCCACGAGACTAGTCTATTTTGCGAGAATTGCTCCCAGGATTTCCATAACGGGGAAATGGTCGCTCTATTGGTATATTTCCGTTGGACTAATAAGCCTTTAACTTTTTATTTTTTAGCCTCTCTGAGGCTCCTTTGCTGGACGGGACCTGGCTCCATTTACGGGAGCTATTTTTTCCTTCTCAGATTAGACTAGAGTACACTGTACACAGTAGATCATCTCCACTCTACGGAGTATTCGTCTAGCTAACAGTTATTAACCGCACACCATTGTACTCGCGCAGTAGATAGAAGTACCACAGTACCACAGTAATAATAATCCCTTTCACATCACATCCCTCATCCCTCATCCCTCATCCCTCATCCCTCATCCCTCATTCCACCAAGTAGACTCCTCGACCTACACCAGGACCCACGCAACAACACAAGACCGAAAAACAACCCCTTTCGATCCTCGCCAACAGCCCTGCATCCGGCAATCTTGCGATATACCGGCCCGGGCCCGGCCACCCACCATACGCAACTCTCCTCAGCCGCTGGGCGTATGGCAAACAGGCTTGTTGTGGATTTGAAATCGTTTTGGCAGGAGCTATATCTCGTCGCTGGAAGGAGGGGGAAGGGAAGCGCGGACGAAAATTGGACTTGTATTCAACGAACCTGAACATGCAAGACTCATCAGTCATCACGAATAATCAATCGTCCGTAGTAGTAGTGCGGAGTTAACCTGCCAATCTCCGCATACAAGTAGACCTACCAGTAGTTAGCTAAGCTCAGCTAGCTTGCAGGGGAAGAGTCGGGGCGCGGAAGATGAACAGCCCCCGACTCCCCGTCGGCTTCGGGAATTCGAAAGAAGCGAGGGGGCCGGTACCTTCAGTAGATCCGCATGGAGTGGGGGCTGTGTCGGGGAGACCCCAAAATTCCAACCAACATCTCATTTCGCACCGCTCATGATGGGAATAACATCTCTTTCTCGCGCGAAAGCGGGAATAGGCATGGTGATTGACAATTGTGACGGGTAGTTCCTTAGCCGGCCCCCAGGGCGAGTAATGGTCGAGAATGGAGGCGGGGTGTTTCTGACCCGCTTGCCCGCTCGTTCAGGGCGGTTTTCCTGTACATCGGTGTACTACCGATTTTGGAGACTTTCCATGATTTCACAGCATCGCCCGGTACTGAGGTCGACAAGACAGCAAAAGTCCTTGCGGATGAGGAAGATGCGGAAAAGTCGCCGGGGAACTATTTGTCATTATTGGCGATCGTGAACATATCTTACGAATCTAGGATCAGCATCCAATAAAAGTCTCCATGACACTGGGTTGGAGGAAGAAAGTCTCCGGGCTTGTCAAGGAGAGCTGAATAATCTCTCACCCAGCGCCATGGTTTCAGAAGGAAGATGGTACGGAGGTAGGTAGACGACTGGAACGTCCAAAACCCACGCAAGAACGGTTTCCCCACGCGGCGGGCCGTCCTGAGTAAGCACTGCTGAGAGCAAGCTCGCCAAGCTTCTTGCTTGGTGAGAGCTATCAAATCGGCCCATCTGGGGAACAAAGAGTTCGATGTTAAACCCATTTCTTGAACGCTCGATTGAACATTCAAATCAACATCCGCTGTTGTTGGAATCGCCGTTCACAACCATTCAATGTTCCAGCGACAGGGATTGGGCAGCGCACCAAGAGGACCTCGCTTTAGGCAACCGTTGCAGAGCTGCCAAGGGGTCGACGGGTCGAGGGTCCCCAACTCATCACAAGCCTAGGATGTTGGGGTCTCAACAGTTCATGGGTGTTCCGACCCTGTTTTTGAGTTCAAACTTATTGGCCGTAGCTGCGCGGGGAGAGACGGCGTAGAGTCAGGGTGAGGGCTCCATGGATTGGGGTATTGGGAAGGCATCGAATAGAGAGGTTAACAAACATGTCCGAAATGGAACGGGACGGCGAGGTCAGGGGCCGCGATGTAATTCTGGCGGAGATAAGGCGTTCGACCGAGCACGACTACGCGGCATCGTGGCGGGGTTGTTGGCCAGTGGACGAACTGGGGAACTCGACATCCTCCAAGGGAAGCGATTGCGACGAAGGTGATCGGCTGCGTATTATTGCCTCTGAGAACGAGCGGCACTATGTAGTCCCAACAAAGTCTACTGAGTATTGAGTAGTTGCCGCGGTAGCCGTAACTCCAAGTGGGCGTGTCAGTACCAGTGTCTGGATATTGCCCACGGCGGAAGCTTTCGATAGTACTCTCCGATGCTCAACACCTGGGAACTCGACCGAGGTACGGATCCGAAATCGTCGGTATCTGCTCCATGGACAATGTTAGGTTGAGAAGGTGTCGTATCTCGAAGAACCTGATGCACATAGCATGCATTTGCCTCGGCCTTACCAGTAGACTACCAGAGAGCCCATTGGGTTGAGATTGCTGTTTGGCATGTACCGTGTAGCTCCCTGGACGTATCTGCAGGCGTAATCGCATTAATTCCCTCGCTCAGCCCTACGGCTCGGCTGATGCAGACGAGGATCCTGTTGGCAAGCATTTACTTGCTCAAATGCGCTTCTCAGTAAAGTTGCTCACCGCGTTCATGCAGTGCAATATCTCAATGCCCATGGGGAACCAGCAGAGCATTCGGCGAACGCGATATACTCTGCGAATGAACCAATCACGGAGCCAGATAGATTACCCGTCAAGGCAGAATGACCCAGCAAGCCCACCCATCCCGTTCCCGGCGACCCAATACCGTGGGCAGTGGTCACCGACAATTCATTTCCCTCACAACATACTGTGTGAAGTGTGTTCGCTTAGTTGTAGCGGTATGATTCATGATGGAGAACCGGTGGATGGCAGAGCCGTAGGACTGCCGAGAGAATACGCGAATCAGCGTTATCATACGCAGAAAACTGCTTGCCGTATCTGGTGCTGTTGGTGTTCGTCACTTGAACGGTGAGTCGGAGTGGATGCCCCTCTATTGGGTATGCAGAAGGACTGATCGACTTATGCAGAAAAGCCCCCCTGGTGAGTAGGAGAAGAAACTCCAAGTAGACGTCAATGTTGCGAACTGAAACTTGGGGCAAAGGTGAAAAGATGTTAACACGCTGGGAGATCTTGTCCGTGTCGTGCACAAAGCCTCGAACTACTATTCTGGAACACTGCAATCCTATCAGGAGTTGGCATAACAGTAACAGGAGGTCAATAGGTCGATCAAAATAGAGGCCGAGAGTCGTAGGGTCTATAGTTGTAGCCAGTAGGATATATTTGACGGTCATCTTGGGGCAACCGCCCGGCGCTTAGGGGTCGCCCACGGTTGGAAGGCCCAGAGGTGAAGGATCACCCACACTGTACTCCGTACTCCGTAATCTGTCCGAAAATGTCAATCTTGCCGTGGCCGTGTCTGCCACATTTGTCCAGCATGGCGTCCACATGGATGCCTTGCCATTTTGGGTTTCAAGGGTCCTTTCTGAGGGCCACAAGAGTGGCGAAGATATGTCACCCTAGTGCGGAAGGTGTGCATGCTGTGAGAGGCTCGAAGCCCTGAAGGGATTCAGCCTGGGACACCTGTAGTATCTGATTGATCGATTAGTGCGAGAAATGTCCCCGCAGTGGGATTGGTTCGGCCTTTAGGAGAGGCTGGATGGACCCGAAGGGATGGTGTCTGCCCTACGCCATGCATAAGGAGATGTGAGGAGTGACCACCTGGTAGTCTGCTTCGTTTCGTTTTGAAGACGTCCCAGTTTCGACTGCCACGAGGGCTTCAAAACCCCTGTGAGCCAGCGCCTCCCCGATGCCAGTGCGGTGTAGGGATGGAGGATTACGCGATAAGGCTGCATATGTGGGCTGTATAGCGGGCGCTTGTGGTTGTGTCACTTCGTCCTGGGTCTCGATGCGCTCGCGATGATGGGTAAGTGTTGGTGGGGTCTGACGATGGCGCACTTTGCCTGTGTTCCTGCTGTTGGAACAGGCATTCCGTGGCCATGGTGAACACCTATTCTGCGGGTTCTGGAACCCCGAGTATATGAGCCTCGCGCAATGCATACCATTGTGTATACTCTCAAGCATAGCGAGAGGGACACTGCTGCGGGCGATCCTGCGTGGTGGGAATATCGGTGAGCGGCAGTTCCTGGAAGGATGAAGCCGACAAAACGCGAAGAAGGGTGGTTTCGCTCAGGGACTGGCCGAGAGCATACACAGTATCATCCAGGGAGTACAGAGACGCCCCCTCGTGCCGGTGTGGCCTCTGTCGACGAACAGTAGGTGGGCGATCATTTGTTGGCGCTCACTGCTAGCCCTACGGGCGGTGACACAACGTTGGGGTCGTAGGGCTGAAGGATCAAGGAGGGGAGGGATGTGCCAAGCTAAACCATGACTGAGTGTGGCTAGCGCGCCTAAAAATAACCCCTGCATGTATCCCACCACATGGGCAAATCTCGCAAAACAGGATCCTATCTGGAAGACCTCGGGAGGAGTGCATCTGCGACGCTTGCGCGGACTTTTGGGGGTTAAAAATGGAACCACTGAATCGATTTCCAGCGCCTAACGCTGGCGTCGTTGCTGTCGTTCCTTTATCGAACTTATGTTTCTATGAATTCCTTAGCGAAATAGCTGTTGTTATTTCGGAACCTTTTGCGCCGGCGGTTGTTGTAGGCGTTTTTGCGACCCTCCCGTAAAATACCAGTCAGCCCTGTACTGCTCCGCCCCCTGGGCCCCCTGGGTGAGCAAGCAGCCTCGTGCTGGCACATGCGTCTCGTAGGGCTGCGGATTAGACACTCTAGTGCATACGAAATGGTTTTGTAGGGATGGAGACATAGGGCATGGGGCGATGCGAAGAAGTCGGTATCGCAGCGTTTGCGGACCCTGAATGCGGAGTTTGTGAAGCTGTCGGTGTCGCCGAAGTTCACAATGCTTGGCGAACCCAGGAAGGGCACCACATGAACTTTAGGCCCGTACGCCAATATCAAGTGAAGCAGCTAGAATTTGGCATGCAGTCTTGTGGATATTCTCTGGGGGCCAATTGTATTTCAAAGCATTGTGTTCACGACCGTGTCTGTGTGCAACTCCAGCTTGAAAGGACGGTTTCGCCCATGGTCAGGCGTTCGTCTGCAGGTCTCACTGGGGCGCACCTGTTTCAACACGCGGGACAGCTCAGCACCTTATCGGTTCCGAGGACCCTGGACGGAAATCGAGGTTTTGGCGGACAGTGGACTAGCAGAGACGCAAGAATGTGTTCACACTTGCAACAACCAATCATGAAGCCGAGCAGGGGGGCCATCTTAGACAGCGCGAGTTGCTGTCTAATAACTCGACAGAGGCGGAAGTGAATCGTGAGCAATGCAAGATTCGAAGCTGAAGATCAGGCCGACTGCCTCCCCATCATTATCCAGAAGGGGTACGGAGTATTTATCAGGAACTTCGGAGCTACCGTGACGCACAATGGACTAAGGAGGGACTACTCCACCGAGGTGAAAGATCAGGTTTTCCTGCAGACCTACTCCGTTAGCGAATCCATTTGCAGAGGAGTGGCCTGGGTCAAAGGTAGACGACCACGATAGCTACACGCAGGATAGATTGCGATTCATGGCACAGTCAGTTGATTAAAGTGTGTCGTCCGTTTGAAGCTGTGAGGGGCATTAAATGCATAGAGAATTTCCCATGCCTACGGGTTTGCAGGTCAACCCTTTAGAGGCGCGCTGACGCCAGCCTTCATCGGGCAGTGTCGGGCGGGGTTGAGAGGGCAGGATGGAGTGGTTCACCGTATGGAGAGCATCCCGCGAAGGTGCTGACGGCGGGGGTGATTGATGCACCGCCAAGGAGGGTGAATCAACGGCAGGTCGTAGGGCTGAAGCGGGTGAGATGTGTCTGTCAGATGCTTAATTGTTGGACCCCAGGGCGGCTCAGCGCTCTCTATGCTCTGAATTGGGCTCGTCCCATTCTCATATCGAGGACTTTCAAGTGCGCCATGTTCTGGTGCACCTGCTGAGGGTGAAGGACTATACTGACTGTGACGGGAAGCAAAAGCGATGGCTGTCGGGACCACGGAAAATCACAATCGCACTTGTAAAGAAAGCCCCGCCGCCAAGCAGCAGCTCCCGGGTCGGCGCGGGAGCCCCGGCAGCCAATCGCTAGCCTCATGCTCTAGCTTCATCGAGAAAATGCTCGGCGCCAGGAACGCCCCAACGCTAACTCCGCTGCCCAGGTGGGCATCCAACACCAACACACGTGCGGACCCCGTGCTTTGAAGGCTTGGTTCCCAGCCTGTACATATTCCCAGCGAACGCGGTCGACGGTTCGGCCGGTACCTCGTCCGCCGCTTCCGACGAGTCGACTCACAGCTGCGATTACCGACGGAGTACGGAGTACATCCAGAGTGGTGTCCGGGCGGTGTGCTGTTGAGTAAGAGCTGCTCTGGCAGGCTTCCGTAGGCTCGTCCGTACGGAGTAGTACACCCAGTAGAACCAACCAATCAGTTGGCATGAAAAGCACTCGAAACGAGTCGCGAGATTCGTAACTGCACGGCTTTGATATCAGGAGCCGTGAAGGCGTCGCAGTCTCGCAGAACCGCCCAGAATGAGCAAAAGAGGCAGTAGTCGCTAGTAGCAGCTCGTTTGCTATCTTTGTGTAGTCAAATTTACCCAGACTCCCAGAGACGTCGCTCCCTTTGCAGGTTGCTGTTGTCGCAGGCTCGCAGCTATTATCTCCGGCCCCCAAAGGACCGCGGTCAAGGCACACACACAAGGCGCTTTCGGGCATGGCAGACTGGGCTGCTAGTGGACACTCTCTTTTACAGTAGAGGCATGTTCTACGGATCTCGAGAGTCGAGGCCGTAGCTGTCACATGACAAGAGTGGACGAGTTCTCCTCGAAGCTGCCATGGCTGCTGTGGTCGTCTGTCTCTGTGTTGCAGCTCTTGTTTGCAGCTCTTGTTCACGTCGCTGCTGTTGTGCCTCCTGCAACACATGACCAGGCAAGCCGAGCAAGTCGACGGAGAGTATCGTTCCACCGTCACCCGCACGAGACGAGAAACGCCGAGGGGGGCGCCATTCTGCGATGCAGCCAGTCGTTGGTCGTCGACGACGTGGTGGTGGTGTTTGAAGGGGGATGGGCCACGCGTTGGTGCGGCCGGGGGAAGAAGGGAGGACGACTGGGGTGCCGGTCGGGGGTTGCTGCGTGCCAGACCGCCTCTGGGGATGGGGAGGGGATGGGGGTTAGAGGGGTTTTGCGCTTTCGATACGGCGCCGTTGGTCCCGCTCGGGTGGCTCGGGTGCTGGGCTTCCTCACCTCTTCACCTTCTCACCCACTCTGGGGGCTGCTCAGCCCTTCACCGGCCAGTGCACGCTGCCTTCTGCCCCCTGCAGCCTTGTGGAATGCGGCAGAGCGTGCTGCCAAATTTACGGCCCCTTGCCGTGCAGAAAGGCGGCGTGCCTCAGCGCCCCTCTGCGCCTGCGACGAGGGAGAATCCCCCAATCCTTCATCACACCTCGCCCTATCGCGGCCGTTTGCGTGCCCGATTCGCGACCTTTGCGGGCTCTTCTAACGGCCGAGCCAAACTCCGGCCTGGCGTCCCACGGGCGCTGCTGCGAGGCCCGTGGGACCCAGGGGGTCCTCCAGAGAAGCCTGGTGTGCAGGGTACACTGCACAGCTCCAACAAGAGAGAGGCATGGATTTGTATTTGGCACCAATGCTAGCACCAGAGGCCCGAGCTGCCTGTCGATGCTTTGGGGCCTTCTTCGAGCACGCTTTGATAATAAATATGGCTGCGGCTGCCCCCATCCGAATCCTACCTTCCATCACCAACCTCTACCTCTAACTCACCACTCTCTCCCCCCAACCAACCCCTCTTCCTCTCCCCTCTCCAACCTAAGCCGCTTGTCCATACAACATCAGTACTCCCTGCCCCATGCCCACCATGAACAGACACGCCGGCAACCACTACGTTGCTGCCGCTCCGGCTCCCCGCTGCTATTCAAACTACTCGGGCGGAGGCGGATCCAGCGCCTTCAGTGCCTCAGCAAACCCCAACGAAGACTGGACCAAGATCTCAGACTTGGCCGAACGCCGCCGGATACAGAACCGTATTGCTCAGCGCAACTACCGTAAGTTCCCGTGACGGCTCGTGTAGCCACACGTCCCTAGCCTCGTGTCGGCATGCTGATTTGGTGCTAGGCAAAAAGCTCAAGAAGAGGCTTGAGGATCTCGAGCGCAGGGCCGCCTCCAGCTCTGCTTCACCGGAGCAGAAGCCCGTCGACCTCCAGCGTCCCACCCGATCCCCCCGCCCAGACTTTCCCTCGCCAGCCTCGTCCGAGTCGGAATATGGCCGCCGGACACCCGACATCCACAGCCACTACGTTGCGCCGCCCGAGGAGCGTCCCATGTTCTCGCATCAGTATACGCGCCAGCTCTCGACTTCCCCACCTCCCTTCTCGTATTCGACGTATCCAGCTCCCGACACGGCTGCATACTCGGTTCCTTATGCCGCATCACATGCCCCCTACCACTCGATACCGACAACCACCACCACGCCCGAGATGCATGCCTACCCCCAGTATCTCCCACCGCTCTCGTCGGCCTATCCGACACCATTGCCCAGCCTCGTGCATCCCCACAAGAGCGAGTACTATGACGAGAACGACATCAGCCCTTTCGGCGTAGGCTATGCGACCATGGCTGGCATGGAAATTCCACCGCCTCATCACTACTCCGAAGCCGATCCTCATGTAAAGCTCCCTCCCCGAAAATCCTACTACGCCCACTAGGCCCCTCCCTCCATTGCTACAACCCATTATCGACGAGCCACACGCTGACAGTCCGTGGCAGACTCCACCACTATCAGAGTCGTTTGAGCCTTCGGTGGCCGGCTCCCCGCCCGAATCGGTGTATCCGACAACCCCCAATTCAATGCCCCGGACGCCACCTCTGCACCAGGTTCAGCTCTGTTGAGCTGCAATCTCGCCTTTGGGTCCCTGGGGACGCAATATCTTATCTTTCTCCCTTCCCAAGAGGGTCCTGCCTCTGTACATTTATGAGTCGCTGCTTTTATTCTTTTTGCCATGCATTTCAGCGAGCGGTCTTCGGACAGGTTGCCTCTGGTTCTGAGGCTGGGATATCACATTTGGGCCCCGGGTGTACTGCGCGCTTCTTCTTTTCATATTGTGGAATCATCTCCCCACATGGTATTATGGTAGATTGAGTGCTGGAAAGATTTGGGTATATAGCGCGGTGCACTTGCTCATTGCAAGTTAGCTGCCTGCGACGGACTGCTAGCGATGGGTTCTGTCATCCATGTCGATATGATATATAAATACGTCTCTTCGACTTTCATTTTACACCTTCTTCTACTCGTGCCTGCCTAAAGAGAAAAAGATCATGACAACTTCCTGAGGTCGTGAGTCTTCCAGTTTGGACTTGCGCTCGTGATAGCGTGCCCTAGGAGCGGGCCGCTGCAGAAGCGTCATGCCAAGACCCCCGAAGCATGCGTCGTACCTTCCCTCGCGTCGTTTCCATCGTAAGCAACGAAAAAGAAACAAAAACCTAAATCCAACCCCATCTCATTCTCCTCCCTCGGAGGACTCCCTCTTTGCATGGCACCCACGAGGAAACGCTCCCGGCAGGAGAAAGCCCGGCAGTACCTCACCGGCGGCGCCGTCCTTCGCGAAGACTCGGACGATGAGTTGGGGTATGAGGATTTTCCGTGGGAGTGGATTTGGGACGAGGAAGATGCGGCAAAGGAGGGCCAGAATGGAAGTGTCACACCGAGGAAGAGGAGGGCACTTGAAGGTTCAGAGGGGAAGAAGAGGCGGATTGTAGGGGCCCGAATGGGGAGCTTTACCTGCAAGTTGGGAGATACGGTGCTGCTCAAGGCCGACGGAAACACTGCGTGGGTGGGCATCATATGCGAGTTTCTCGAGGAGGAGTACGAAGGGGAGAAGCTGGCCAAGTTTCTATGGTTCTCTTCGGAGAGGGAAATTCGCAATAAGAGCAAGAAGCGGACGGATTTCCTGCCCGTACGCACCACAAATTCAGTCACTGCGGATGTCACCCACTGACGTATACCAGAATGAACTGTACATATCCGCGGCCTTCGATGAGAATCCCCTTACGACGATCAATGGTACGGCAAAGGTCATGTCGCTCCAAGCCTTCAACCAGAAGTATCCCAATGGCCAGGTCAAGAAGAATTCCAAGGACTATGGCAAGGTGTTTGTTTGCAGGAGAGGCTGCAACACGCGCACCACGACATATACGCCGGAATTCATATGGGAGGATCTCTACAAAGGGGCAGACGATATACCTGCGCTCGTGGAGTTTGTCGAGGCTCAAACCAAGGCTACACGGAGACGACCGGGGCGTCCGAGGAAACAGGCAGAAGACGTAGGAGACTTTGTCGTCCCCGACTCTGACGATGAAGAAGGGCCGAAGACTCCACGAAAGCGGCGTAAACTCAACGACGCATCTACCCCTACTTCGGCAAGGAAGGACGCTCGCAAGTTCCTGACTCCAACGCACAAACGCATAGTTGTCAAGAAGCCCCTGGAGTTCACGCCTCTGGGTACGCGAATCCTCTCGCCCTCCGTGCTCTCCTCGCCCTTTCAGCTGGCAAGAAGCCAACTGCATGTTTCGTCCGTCCCCGCCGCACTGCCGTGCCGCGAGGAGGAGTTTTCGACCGTGTATAGCCATCTGGAAGCGGCCATCACCGACGGCTCAGGGTCATGCATCTACATATCTGGGACGCCCGGTACAGGCAAAACGGCCACGGTGCGAGAAGTCGTGGCACAGCTGCATGCGGCAGTCCAGGCCGAAGAGCTCGACGACTTCATCTTCGTCGAGATCAACGGCATGAAAGTCACCGATCCCCATCAATCGTACTCACTTCTCTGGCAGGCAATACGGGGCGATCGCGTCAGCCCCTCACACGCCCTGGAGCTCCTGGAGCGCGAGTTCTCGACCCCCTCGCCCCGGCGCGTACCTTGCGTGGTGCTCATGGATGAGCTCGACCAGCTCGTCACCAAGAACCAATCGGTCATGTACAATTTCTTCAATTGGCCAGGCCTGCGGCACAGCAGATTGATTGTGCTCGCCGTAGCAAACACCATGGATTTGCCCGAACGGACACTCAGTAACAAGATTAGCAGTCGTCTAGGTGAGTGGGTTTCATTACATGGTTCCTCATCCTTTCTGAATGCTGTGCTGCTGTGCCCCCTCGAAACGCCCCGCGTGAGATGGGGGCCGTGGGTCATGGTGGTACAGATGTCTTGCCCTTCTCCCCTCAATCTCCATTTCCCCCAATCATATGGCGAACCTGGTCGAAACACCTCGTGGGCAATCCTCCTGTCACAACATGTCTTAACCCGATTCCTTCTTCCTTCCCTTCCTTCCTTCGGACACCTTTTTTTTCCACGCTATGCTCAAGGGCTTCGAAACACGTAGATTATGGGTGGACGGCCGGTGACGGGTTAACTAACACGCGCCGCGCACAGGGCTCACGCGCATCACCTTCCCCGGCTACACGCACGAGCAATTAATGCTAATCATCCAGTCCCGACTGTCGGGCGTGCCGGGCCACATTGTGCATCCCGACGCGGTGCAGTTTGCGGCGAGGAAGGTCGCGGCCGTGAGTGGGGACGCGCGCCGCGCCCTCGATATCTGTCGGAGGGCGGTCGAGATTGCGGAACAGGAGGCTTTGACGGCGCAGCAGCAGCAGCAGCAGCGCGAAGAGGATGAAGATGGTTTGCCTGATACGCCGAGTAGGAGGGGCAAGGGAAAGGGTGGTGCTGCTCCTGCGGCTGGTGGTGGGACCCGACAGCGTCGCGACCCCGACGCTGGCGACGCCGCTGGTTTGGGCGATAAATTGCAGCAACGTGCTCCTGCTGCGGGTGCGATTGCGGCAGCGGCAATGGCGCGGAAAAACGGCACTGCTGCTGGTGGTGGTGTAGTCACGATTGCGACCATCAAGCAGGCTATCAACGAAGCGACGAGTAGTCCCTTGCAGCAGGCGCTGCGGGCGCTACCGCTGGCGGCGAAGGTGTTTCTCGCGGCCTTGTTGGCGAGGATTCGGCGGACGGGGATCGGGGAGGCGGTTCTTGGGGATGTGGTGGATGAGGTGGGGAAGATGGGGGGGATGTTGGGGGAGGGTGGTGCGATTGCGAGGTTTTTACTTGGGCAGAATGGAGGAGATGGAGATGTGGAGAGAGAAAAGGAGAAGGAGATGCCGTTTAGTGGCCGTGCAGCGGGAGGAGGAGGAGGAGGAGGAGCAGGGAAGAAGCAGGTTGATGGGAGGAAAGTGGCGAGGGCGTTGGGATTGCAGAATGCGGTTCTGGAGCTCGCGGAGGCGGGGATCGTGGGCGTGGAGGCGAGGCATGGGGAGAGGGTTGGGAGGGTGAGGTTGGGCGTCGGCGATGATGAGATTCGGCTTGCTTTGGGGGGCGATGAGGAGGTTAGGGGGCTGGGGTTTTCGTCGTGATGGTTGGGTGGGTGTGTTTGTTTATGGAAATGGGATGAGGATAGGGCAGCGTTTTGATACCCAATGGATGTTTTCAGTTCCTTTTCTTCTTTCTCTCTTGTTGAATCGCCATGCGGCCGTCCAGATATCTTCTTACCAAGTGCATGCATGAATCGAGCACTCTGCCTTGCAGAGGAGCTCGGTTCAACTGCCCCAGTCTCTAAACATGCTTTTGCTGAGATGTCCACACATCCTGTTCTTTCTCTGGCACAGCATGTTTGTTATATTTGGCACCCTGGCCAAAATCGTTTATTGCATTCGCCCTCCTCCCCTTGCTTATACGTCCAACATACAGGTGTGTGCCAACCGCTCTATTATATCTCCTTCGCGTATTGCTCGCCAAAGGAACCGGAGCGGCACGCTTCGCAGCGCAGGATCCTATGCGGCTAGTCATTACCTCAAGAGTAGAAGTCGAGATTTGTATGTATGCAAATCGGTGGGAACTATCCAATTCAGGGCTCAAGTCTCATATCAGCATTGTTGTAGTATTTGGAGTTTGCATCCCGTCTACCTTATTCTCGAGGCAGCTAGCTAACCCCATGCATACATGGAGCGATTAGATAGACACCGTAGCTGTCTCCAGTGTGCGTGAATAAAACACAGCGCATGCCTCTCGCCCCTCGCCGCCTGACTTCGTTACTCCTGAAATGATCCTGTCGCCATCATCGAAAAAGCCGCATGCCCCTGGAAAGAGAACCCCAGACGTCCCCACTTGCAGAATTGAGGAAAACGTGCGTCAGGGGTTTGGTGCCGGGCTTTCTTCCGGACCCTCTTCATCCCCAGAAACTGTCTAAACATGTTCTGAGACGGTTGGGAGAGCTACAATTCCCTTCATTGGCCGTATGGAGTGCTCCTTGAATCTTGCTGTGTCGGGTTCTGATTGTACTCGGTACTTTCCGTGATACTGACGATTGCGCTTGGTCTAGGGGACAGGTGTGACACAGCAGGATCCAGCGTTTGGGTGGTCTGTTCCTCGTTGAAATTCTTGATCTGTGGGTTGAATGAATCTGCGTTGCAGGTTGCCTTGATCATGTGTACAGACGGGACGAATCGTTTGCATGCATGGGGGATACGCTCCCTCCTAGTAAATGTTCTTCGCCTGTTTCCCCCAGGACATCCAGACACCAATGCTGAATATGCATTGAGCGTGAGAAGAAATATCTCACCTCTTGTTGGTAAACTGACCACGACAACCGTCATCCGCACTCTAGAACTTATGTCGTCCAAGGGTAGGCTGCCAGTCAAGCGGATGAGTCTCTTCCGTGGCATCCTCATCCTGCTTCCAGACCTTGATACTCTTATCGCTCTCTCCAGTAATCAGACGGAGTCCCGTCTTATCGAACGTCGAGCACATAATTCCTGCCTCAGCGTCGAGAGATCCAGGTTGAGCAATACTCTGCGACGACTGGAATTTATGGCCTGTCTTCCAGTCCCAGAAGGCGACGGTGCCGTCATCAGCACCCGAGAACAGTACATTGTCCTCGTTAACGGAGAGCGTGTTGATGATGCCTGGATGCCCCTCGAAGTTCTGCATGAAGGCGCCTTCAGGGCACTTCCACTGCTTGATCGATCCGGAGGATCCGGACGCGAAGGTGAATTCGTTGGGGTGGAGGGTGAGTGCTCGAACGCTCTTCTTGTGGTGGGTCAGGACACCCATAGTCTTGCCAGCGGCGAGGTCCCAGAGCCGGATGGTGGAGTCCATTGAGCCTGTTATCACCTGCGGGTCCGCCTCTTGACACTTGAGATCCGATATAGTACCTTTGTGTCCGCTTAGGACATGGATGTTTGTCCGTGTCCGCATGTCCCATACGCGAGCGACACCGTCCCGACCGCCGGTAACCAGGACGTCTAGAGTTGGGTGAAGATCTAATGTGTAGACGCCACTGAGGTGTCCGTGGTAATGTCGAATAACCTTGTTCTGTTCCAGATCCCAGCATTTGACCATCTTGTCCTCGCCACAGGAGAAGAGGTACGGATGGCGAGGCGAGACGGCAAGCCCGCGCACAGCACTGATATGGCCAGTCAAGGTCAGCTTCAGCTGTCCACTTGCCAGGTCCCAGATCTTGATGGTACGGTCACCCGCTCCGCTGGCGAACCACTTGTTGTCGGGCTCAACAGCCAGACTTCTGACCCAACCCATATGACCACTGATGACTCGGAAAGGTTTCCACGGAGCGTGCCACTCGGGATGCACTTGTCTAAGGGGCTCACAGTCAGAAAAAGAGGGAAATTGCAGAGAAGCGACTGGCACATACCTAACGGTATCCTTCCTCACCAAGGCTGACGATGGAGTATTCCTCATGGGAGTTGGGCCCGTCGCGTTCGGAGCTGCACCACGACCCCCTACTCTCAGCGTCAAAGCTGTCGATTGCTCCGCCTTTTTCTGTTCAGCCTTGGTCGAAGCTCCTTCAATCATCTTCCTCATCTTTGGATCCGATGCCTGCTCCTCCGCATTCGCTTCTCTGATCTTCTTTCGCCGCTCCACAGCCGTGGAAGCTGCGCTCGCCATCTTCGCCGCTAGGGCGGGAGGGAGTTCTCTAACATGTTCGTATTCGCTACGTATTCGCGACGAGACGCCTATTTGCTCGGCCAGGTCGCGCGATGCAATTGTGGGAGGAGGTATCGAGAAGACGCGGTTCGGCGGATGTTCGAGAGCTACAGGTGAGGCAAAATCGGCTGCGAATATCTCCCGCGTTCGTTTCATGGAGCTGCGCACCAGCTGCTCTGGATTCGCGGCCGCCATAATGAGGTCTACTTGGGCTATGGTAGGTGTTGATATCACTTCTGGGGGTTGCTACTTTGGAGTACATTTGGGGAGTTAATTCTTAGCGCGTTCCCAGCGCGGCGTCAGTATTACGTAATCTCTTGGCGCTCTTGTCATATGGATGGCGAATAACGACATCTAGGAAGATATCACTTCGGGGCTCCACGTTCCCTTTCCTTGGAAACATTCCTTCCTCTCGAATTCAACAGTCTACTTCTCGAATCCAACTGACTCACGATGTTCGAGCCCTGCCGACTTATTCACTATGGACGAATGCGGTGACCTGCAGCTCACAGATCACGCGAGGACGACATGACCGGATGCAAGATACGGTTCTATCCCTCCTTTTTAGACCAACAAAAGTCCGGATGTGTAGACATTATCTGAATATATTCCAATACACGACGCAGTATGTAATCGAGGGGTATTGTGGAAGCCAACAGGCAAGATGGTGACGTAAACGCAGCCAGCACGCTTTCCAACGGCATTCTGACTCGTGCTAGGGTACGCACCCACCCAAATTCCATTATATCTGCAGCATGAGCTCCGCGATCCGGTCATGTTCCTCCTCCAACGTTGCAGAGTCAGTATGTACGTTCAAGTGATATGTCTCGGAAACTCTGGCGTCTGGGTGATGAAGGTGTCAGGATGCAGTGTGCGGCACTGTGACGATCGCCAGACTTTCAAAAGGTGGCCTCCCTCGGCCTGAGCCTTGTTTCTGGGCAGGGTCGCTTTTCGGTGTGTCTCCACTGGTGTCTCCATTTCCCCAGGTTTCGTCATAGGCTGGGGTCCCAAACATTCGCCATTGTCGGATCAATAGATGCACATGCAACCGAGGAACCACGCAAACACTGACCCGCGCACAGCAATTGACAACACCGCGAAAGACACTGATAACGTGAAGTGAACACGAAGTCAACAAAGCGAGATGCCGAGTTCTTTACACCGTAGGACGTCGAATCATTTCAGATGCAGCTACCGGCTCTGTCGTTTTGAGTCGGCCACCGGGGAATGCCAGGTGCGCTGATCACACAGGAATAGAGTCGAGCATCTCCAAACCAGTGTCCTCACAGTACATTATTTCGCTGTCTTACGAAATCACAAACTGATGATGAACTGGCTCAGCATAAGGGATCCCTCATCGACTCGGTGCCGAAATGAGTGCAAGAACCAATTGGATACAACAATGTTGGTAACAATCGTTCTTCTCTGCTTTTGAGCAACTCCACTCCGGCGCTTGATGCTCGAAAGTTGCTCTCCTTCGACTCCTTTCCAAAGGCAACATTCGGATGAAGTCGACGGGCGACAACCTTCCTGGTCTGGATGGGTGTCTGACCCGCATACTGCAAGGGCACGGACAGGTCAACCCCAGATTCTAACCGGTTCGAATTAGACGCACCAAAAAGTTGTCCCGAGGTTGCAATAAGGTGCGCATCCCCACCCAATCAAAACGCAAGGCGGCGTCTGGGGCAAGGCAGCTTGGCTTCTTCCAGCGTCATCCCCGACCTTTGACCAAACAGCAAAAGCTGTTTCTCCATTATTCCCGCCGCCGCCGACGAACCAACCATCAACGTAAAACGTCCTCTGACTTGCAGCCAATAGTCCTCGCCGACCCGCTGTCGACGCCAGGTCCCAATCAAGTTTGCATTGTTCACTTTCTCCTGGACGGCAATATGTCCTGGGCGATCAGCAGTCATCATTCGCTGCCAGGTCCATACGAGGCAAATCTGAACCGGCCAAACAAACAGGCCTCCTAGCCCAGCACCCCAGCCCCTTCGCAAATGTGCATACGAGGTGGTACCGAATTATTAAGACGGAGCAATCGCGAGACACGACACGAACCTCTTGGAAATTCAGGGCAAACAGAGTGGCCGTCGATGAGCGAATGCTGTCCAGTAGAGCTGATTGTGCGTAACGCTCCCTAGAAGGATTGGCAAGACGAATACTCAGGATCCTTGAATGAGGGCCGTCTTTATTCATTCACAACCAGAGCGGTTGTTGAGACTTGGAAATTGATATGCATGCTTCGGGCCAATCACCCCAGAAGGGTGTAGTCTCTGGCGACCAAGCGGGGTTATGCATGGCCTCCCGCCTCGGGGGCTCCGCATGTGATGCCGAATGGGAAGTCCCCTGAGTTTCCCTGTTCTCCAGACGTCGAAAGAGGTGGATCCAATATTTGAAGCCTGCGACTCCCTCTCTTCACCACTTCCCTGAGCCCTCACCAGCCTTCAATCGTTTTCCAACCCATCGGCCGTTACGACACTCGCCCTTCCAAGTCTTCATCACTCGCTAGTCGATCTACGCGCACCTAATTGCCAACATGAAGTCCTTCACTGCTGTCGCTACCCTCGCCCTGGCCGCCGTTGCCTCGGCCCAGCTTGAGAACATCCCTTCCTGCGCTGTATGTACAAGTCCCTTGGTGCTGTGGAAGCCGATCCGAGCTAACAATTGTATAGTTGAGCTGCTTCCTTGGTCCACTTGGCTCCAGCGGCTGCGCTGAGCTTGCCGATTTCAAGTGCCAGTGCAGCAAGGCCGACACTCTCTTCGCCTCCGTCACTCCTTGCGTCGAGAAGGCTTGCAGCGCTTCTGATAGGGACGCTACCATTGCCGCCGTCGAGAACACCTGCGCTCAGGCCGGTGTCCCCGTTCAGGTTCCGGAGCCTGGAAAGCCCTCTGAGAGCGCTGCTCCCTCGTCCGCTCCGCCTGCCAGCTCTCAGCCTCCTGCCTACCAGACTTCGGAGGCTCCTGCTTCCAGCTCCGAGGCTCCCGCCTCCTCAACCCCGGCTGTGTCCTCCTCCACTGTCGTTCCCACCCCCTCTGGCAATGCCACTATTCCCTCTGGCACTCCTCCGCCTCAGTTCACCGGTGCCGCTCCCCATGCTACCCAGGCTGCCGGCCTTCTCGGCGCCGCTGCCCTTGCTATCCTTGCTCTGTAATCGCTCCGTCTCCATTGCTATGAAGGGAGCCAGTCATGCTATCAGAGCTGGATCTCGCATTGGGTAGGTTTAAGCTACGAGAGGGTGCGATTGGAAATGCACTCGGCCCGAATGGTATATACGAATGACACTATGACGGTGTATGGATGGGACGAGAGACGAGGTCTTAATGTTGGATGGCTGGGGTTGTGATGATCTCGTGTACAATACGAAAAGGCAAGAATAATAATTGAATTGCAATCTTTTTGCGATATTTTTGGTCTCCTGTCGTCTTCGAATGAAACCAATCCCGACTTCGCTGTCGTTCTACGTCTCCTCGTCCATATGTTCGTGGATCTGCTCGGCTTGTTATTCGCGGTGCCGTTCCATGAAGCCAGTGACATCACCGCCGTTCATTTCAGCACTGTGCATGGAGGCAATATTTGCCGTAAGGAGCTCTACGGAGTACGTTGTTGAACCACATTACAGCTAACGTTGAGACCTCTTCAGGGTCATGAAATGTATTGTATACTAACTTCGAGACGCTTTATCAAAGCTAAGGCTCTTCACATACGGTCGAAGAGAAAAGTTGCTGCCTCTTCTCGCCTCGCGTGGGACCGTTATGCTTGTCCAATCGTTAGGCTAGTACCTAATGTAGGCCTCTTTCATCCGACCTGTACGAGAAATGTGTAAATCTGGCACCATCACTAAACAGGCCAAGTCTCAAGTGTTCGAATAACAAACATCAGTCTCTCTTCTTTTTCCATGTCGTTATATATCTTACTGGTCAACATATTGGTAAAGCATACACACCACTGACGGCAAGCCGAACGACGCCTCACGCCGGCCCGAAAGGGATCCCGCTTCCCCCTCACTTTCACTCACAACACCGTCAAGCCACCAAACTACAGTGCAAGAGAGCGCAGTTGCGGTAGGCCGCCGCCAAGTCGCTAATAAACTCATGCATTCTCTCTCACGATAAGGCCGATGACTTCGTTTTCGCTCCGCTCAACCTCACGAATACACCACCGGTACTTATACCAGATGCTACCTTCGAAGGACAACAACACCTTGTCGGCGGTTGGTTCGCAAGATGACTCCCCAACAAACGGACAAGACGAGCGTTTTAACGACGTAGATGGATCTGAGCATGTGTCGTGGAGGGAACAAGCGTTTGCGGATCTGAAGGCCTCCCGCCATCGAAATACGTAAGTGCGTTCCACACATCATTTGTAAAAAGAAGTTGCATCGTTGGTTTGGGCAGGATCAAATCTGGCCTGCATATGACCTGATATGGATGGCTTCCAAGGTTAACAAGCTGGGTCATTGCGCTGGCATCCAGACGCTGTGACGCATCTACCCTAGGTACTTGAGACCCTAAAGCCTGGCTCCATCCTATGCACCTCTTTATCTATCTTCGAGAGAAGGAGTTACTAGCAAGATGCTGATGTCATGATAGCTACATCGGCGCTCTCATCTTCAACCTCTGCGCCTTCACACTGCCCGCCCTCTACGGCACGCTCTCCAAGCTATGGGTCGCCAACATCGACTCCTCCATGGTTGTAACCACCGATACTTACACCTACATTGGCGTGGTCGCAGAGGTTTTGAACGAGGGTTTACCACGTGCTTCCTACCTCATCATCGGCGACAAATCTAACCGCACACTGCGTGAACGCGTCCAGCTCACACACACACTCATTCTCTTCCAGGCTGTTCTCGGTCTGATCATGAGCATTGCATTTGCGGCGGGAGCTTCGACGTTCGCGCAGGGTTTTGTACCGATCGAAGTCAGGGAAGTAAGCGTCACATATGTTCGCATATCGGCTTTCTCTGCATTCACTTCTGCGGTGGAGTACGTAGTCAATGCTTCTACGCGCGCCCTGGACAAACCAGACGTACCACTCATCATCAGCTCAGTCAAGTTCGCCGTCAACATTATCCTCGATCTCATCATCATCTCAAGGTTTCATGTCGGTGGTATTACTCCAACGGTTAATATGCAGGCCGGGATTTCACTTGCTTGTAAGTCAACCTCTGGGACGTTGGAACACCCCCAGTCTCTCCTCGGAGGCGTTTGCGTTTCCCTATTACCATTCCTATAACATTTGAACATGTCCGAACTATTGTTTTGAAACCCTTCACTAACTGCATCTCCACACTAGGCAACCTCACATCCGCCTTTTGCAGGGCTAGCCTACTTTCTGTCCACCACTACGATCTCCAGTGCCAACTCCGCTCTCCACAACAACATCTCCGCCCGCAAAACCACACCGTCACTACCCGCCCTTATCACTCTCTCCAAACCCGGCTTCATCTTCTTCCTCGAATCCGCCGTCCGCAATGCCCTGTACCTCTGGCTCGTTCACGGCATCGTCAGCCTGGGAAGCGACTACGCCACAGCCTGGGGTGTCTTCTCCACCATCCGTTGGGGTCTCATCATGGTACCAGTGATGGCGCTCGAAGCCACGGCGTTGACCTTTGTGGGTCATTCGTGGGGCAAGTTCCGCGCCTGGCTGCAACTGGGCTCGCAAGCGACTCCGCCATCTCTCAAACCGCGGGTTTCGGCGCGACAACTCTGGGACGTAGTGCGCTGGGCATGCTACTCCGTCGTCGCAGTCCTAGTCGTCGAGATTCCGCTGTGCCTCCTCATGTCTTTCCTCGGCGCTCGACCGTTTGCGAGGTACCTTTCGGGCTCCGAAGACGTCGCGCGGATAGCAGCACATATGTGGCGGACCATCGATTGGTGCTACGTTTTCTACGGAGTCTCGACACAGATGGCAGCTGTGCTCGTGGCTACGCGGCCGCATTGGTACCTGTACCAGTCTCTCACGTCGAATCTGCTATATGTGTTGCCATGGGCGATTGTCTGCCAGGTGCTCAACTTGAATGTTGGCGATGCTTGGACGTACCATAGCCTGGTCTTTGGAGGCAGCCTGGTCTTTTCGTTCCTTGCGGTGCTGGTGGTGATTGGCGTGTGGACGGTCAGGTTGAGGAGAGGGAAGATGCGGGCGGATAGGCTGTGGTAGACATGGGTACTGACAGGTTGCGCCGTCGTCGCGGTATTGGAGTTCTCTTCTAGGCATGGGGATCTGGAGATTATTCTGTTGAATATGGCAAAGGACCGTCTCTGTTGGGAAATTGCGGCAAGCGTACACTTACGGTTCTGGCAGTATCCAACCAAATTCAACCCCGTGATATGGTGAATTTGAACGCTTTCCCATGCCCTTCGTGCATTTGTCGTGATGTGAGCACAACCAGAAATGGTTGAAGTTACAATGTCCTCAAAGTGAATGTTCATTCTATCTCATTGTCGCTGCCGAACCACACTCCGGCTCAGATCAAGACCTCTTGAAGACAATAAATGGTTACTTCTGTCAACACTCTCCTCGGGTTCCTAACACCGATGTTTTCTAGTATCCCTAGTAATGAAGTGGAGTGTGGGGCACAAGACTAGTGGTTAGGACTCCCTGATTGATACGATAGTACTCAGTAGTGCCCTGAATTCAACGCGTTGAGGAGTAGCTACAGCACGCGGTTTGTGCAAGATCATATTCAATTGCGGGACATGCACGGGAAATCGGTCCTCGAGGTCGGACTAACTTAGTACAATGTACGAGGCTGCGTTGGCCGCAGCCAACCGTGTGGCCGGTGCAGATTCAGTCAATAGCTTAGCATTTTACTTGTAACAGCATACATAACACACTTCTCATGTGTAGTCTTACAAAATGCTCAACGCAGCTGTTGCCACCGTTGATATAGGCATGCAGAAAGCCCAATTGTCGAGGACTCATTACAATGTCTACTTCAGGCCGACTTTCCTTCAGAGTCCGGCTCCAAAGAGAAACGAGGGGGCGTAGCCCGCAGGTACACTCCTCTCTGCCTCCTTGTGCCGCTGAGACTCCAGAAACTCCCACACCTCAGTTTGCCCATCCAACCTAGCGACATCCGCAGCCGTATGTCCTCCTCCGTTCTTGATGCGCAAACTTGCTTTCCAAGAGACTAGCAGCTGCACTACCTCAAGATACCCATAGCTCGCGGCCCATATTAATGCCGTACGACCGTAAGCGTCTTGACGGTCGATTTGGACACGGCCGGTTGAGAGCAAAGCTTCCACCGTCGCTGGAGACCGGACAAAGAGTGCCCAGAGCAGTGGTGTCCAAGTGTCAGCATCCACATCGTCCTCGCCGCCACACTCATTTCTAAGCAAAGTACGCAGGGTGTTGGCATGCCCTCCTTGACATGCCCAGGAGATTGCATTCCGCAGGTCGTCGTCTTTGGTGGCTTTGTCGATGCCCGCTTTGTGCATTAGAATACTAACCACTTCATCTTGTCCGTTTGCCGCAGCCCACAACAATGGAGAGCGCCCTCTAGCATCTTTAAGATTGAGGTCAACAGAGGGGGACCGAAGTAGGAGCTTCAGAGCTCGTCGCTTGCCTTCCCCTGCAGCCCTGGATAGGATTGAGCGTCCAGATTTGTCAACTTGGTTAATGTCGACGAACGGCTGCTTCAGCAAAATTCTCACGATGCTTGCACAGTCTCCTTGCACGGCCCAGAAGAGAGGCGTCCAATGTGCGTTATCCCGGTCCTCTGGCCTGAATGCTCCACGTCCCAGAAGGGCTTCAACAATCTCTAGATGCCCATTCCCCGCTGCAAACGACAGTGCTGATCTTCCTGATTTACCTGTTACAGTAATGTCTGTACGCGGATCATCAAGCAGCATCTGGACAGCATCCAGATGCCCGTGCTGCGCAGCTATGGTCAGGGGTGTTTGCCAGTCAATACCCATGCCGTTAGAGTTTGCACCATGCTGAAGCAACACCCTGATACAGTCCAGAGAGGACATTCTTGCTGCCCAGAATAGTGCGCGGGTCTTCGTTGCTTCCGTATTAAGCTTCAACCTCCCCACCGCGTCGGCAAGCAGGATGGGAAGGTTGAAGAATGCGGCTACTTCAATCGTCCCGAAAGCATCTGGAAACGAGTATTCCATGTTGCTTTTAATCCAATAGTATTTCAGCCAATTCGTCAGAACGCAGCTGGGACTCGTGGTCAGTCGATGAACGGCCATCCGAACAGACGTTGGGGCGCTGTTTTCGCACAGGGAGTAGTGCTCCGCCCAATGAGTCGCAGCATAATCAAAGAATCTGTACTTTTGGGCGCTTAGATTGCATCGTCCCTCATCCACATTCTGTGAATCTTTGAAGAAGTTGTCCAGGCCGAGATATTCGTCTGGACTGAGCGGGCCGCCGCCCGAGCCCACTGTGTCGAAGTCTGTCAATGGGAGCGAATTGAGCGAATTGCGCGAACTGATCTCGAGGCTGTCTCGTTCCGATGCAAAAATATCCGATTGAAATTCTTCCATGAGAAGGTATTGTATACATGATTGGGATATGCTCAGCGCTGCATCCACTAAAGGAACCCCGAGGCTCTGCACTATCATGTCTTCTGAATGTAGTGCGATATCTGTTAGATACTCTTTAGCAGACTGATGAATGAACGAAACTCTCGAGTCTTCGTTTGCGCTCTGATTTACTTCTCTGATGCGAACGAAAGATCCCACAATGTTCTGTAGAGTTGAGCGGATGGACAGCTGCAGATCGTCTACCACGTCGGCTACAGACCTGTGGTCTTCGTTAACTGTGAAGGCATTGTTCATTTCCACTAGTGTCAGGTGTCTCGAGCTTCCAACAAGCAGACGTAAGAATTTTCCCGCGTCTTCTCGATCCTTGGATGAGATTCCTTGTAGAAATCTGCTATAAGTAGCTTCAAGTTCTGCGGGAACGTGTTGATGATCCGTTCAAATTCTCTCTTCGACGCTTTTGGGCTTGCTTCCAGGCTATGAATTACCATGTTCAACCAGAGAAAACTCTGGTCGGACTTCGAGTACAGCACTTGTTCTAAATAGTTCTTCGTGTCTTCGTAACAGTGAAACTTGTTGGCAATCTCGCCGACCTTGCTTCGAATGACCAGCTTCACATCTTTGCTGACGTTACAATGGTTTTGCTCGATTTCCAGTCTGTTCTTCATCAATCCCGTGAGGTTGTACGAATTGCCCAGCGATGGACGGCTGGTTATCAGAAATTTGATGCAGTTCCGGGATTGTCGATGTACGTCTTGGGGCTCGTTTACCAACTGCATTATCGCGTTCAGGAAATTATTGCGCGTCCTTATTTCACATTCATCAATCGCGTCCACTATAATTCCGATTGTGCCTGGCGTAGAATCGACAACTATTTTCAGGAAAAGTTCCCAGAGCGCTGGGAAGGAGTTTACAAGGCTGGGCCCATCCAATTCCAACCGACTCTTCACATGTTTGATGAGTTTCCTATGTTGCTGTAAGATCTGATATAGGATGCCTCGAAGTATAGCGATTGCATCTCTCTGAGATTTGACTGTGTCGTCGCAGAAGAAGAAAAATATTTGAGGCTTGACAGGCCCAGCGTTACCGAGACTCAGGTGGTCTGTCACATAAGCAGAGAGCATGGTCTTGCCGCAGCCAGGTTCGCCCGTGACCCAGAGTAACCTATTCTCTTCAGCGGTTAACCAACTCAGATATGCAGGGTGACTCAAAATCCAGCTGCAGGTCCCTTGTACTGGCCGTGGTAGTTGCGCTTTGTATTCTGCCAGATACATAGAGTTTAGGAGAACCATGCAGGATTTTTCAGCTTCGCTTAAAGCTAAAAGATTGCTTAGCTGATGCGGTCATGTAACCCCTCTTTTGTTACATACATTGGTTGGACGACGTCCGTTTCGTGTTTGTCACCATCTCTCTGTTCAAGAGGGCTGTCCTGGCCAATCGTTTGAGGGCCGCCAATGCGTACGTGTACCCATCATCCGTTGCCCCTTCGAAACGGCACATGGTTCGATGATTCGCGAAAAGGGGAATGATGTATTCGCCTGGTATCTCCATTATAGCGGAGTGTTGATCAACAACCTAGAAACAGAAGCGTATTAGGCGCTGCCTCGAAAGATGCATTTTCCAGCAGTGGTCTTACCAGTTCGGCCAGCCCGGGCATGGTTTCCGTTTCGTAGAAGGAAACAATCTCCAAGTTTCTCAGACGATTTCGGGAAGAGATGGCGAGATCGCTTAGTGCCTGGGAATTGGACCCTAGGGTTGTGAGAAGGTCATCGCGTATCGATCGAGCTATGCCTGCAGTCTGTGATGCGCGTAAACACACGTTGACGACACTTCCCACTATTTTCGCGATATCGGCTTTTTTCGAACCGCGATGCGGTGTTCCGAAGAAAATAACGGCTGAAGTGGCAGACAGTATATCACCATGTAGGCGGTCATCTTCATGCGCCAGAACAAGAGCCTTAAAACAGCTTAGAACCTCACCTCACAGACACAGTATTGTCGAGCTACTCACCTGCTTACATACTATGCCCCCAAGGCTATGGCAGATAAAAATTATCGGACGCTGCTTTCCTTTCGAAACGGATGTGAGAGAGATCAGCAGGTTCAGTGAGTAATCTCGTAATGTGGCCAGTGAATTGCTGCAGAAGAGTTCGGATGGATATCCGTAGGTGAATACACGAGACCCTGGAAGGGCATCCGGAAGCAGATCGCGAAGCCACAAAGTTCCATTCTCATGCTGCCACGTTGTATAAGCGTCCCCATTCAGACCATGTATGGCCACGACGTCCACTCCTATAGAATCTCTCGAGTCGTCAGACGGCTCGTTCTCATTGAGGAGGAAGAGCCCGTAGCGTCTCGTGCGTACGGCGACTGGCGCCGGAGCCTGCAAGGAATGCTGATGCGGAAGACATTTCTACAGTTAGACGTCAGAAGCGCGTTTCATGCGCGGTTGAAAGGTTGGTTCAACGAAATACTAACTTCGCGATCGGGAGCTTGCTCTTTTCGGATAAGTTTCCGTAGTCTCTTGCGCAAGCTCAGCATCGTTTTCAATTCGGATGGCTTGCACTTAGGCGCAATAATTAACCTGTGCAAAATGTTGGAACCGAAATCGTATCTTACAAACGTTCATATACCCTAAACCCAGGCCTGCTAGCTGAGGCTGCTTATAATTGCTATAAGTGATCCATTGATGTTTGTTATGGAAGTCCGTGCGCTGGGTAAGACTGGTCCGCCAAGAAGAACAGACAATCTGATCAAATTATGCGTCCTCGTGACATGCACAAGCCCACTCTTCCCGGGGTTCCAAGGTTTTAGCATCTAACAACACAGACACCATGGCTACGACCTGGTTGGTATCACATTCTAGATTATGGCGTCTTCCATGCTGACTCTGGAAGTCCGAGCAACAAAACGCTAGCTATCGTCGGGTCTGGAGCCAACACGGTTACAGGAAACTTGGTCTACAAGGTGGCCTGGTCCCGCCTGATCGCCGACTTGTGGACTGTTGGCTAATACATCCGATAGTTCGGTGGCATAGATTTGCGCATGCTTGCGAAGCTGCAGGAAAAAGGTATCAACTCATACGACAAAGCCGCGCAGAAATTAAAGGACACCAACGAGGAGTTGTACTTCTACACGCCGCGGCACAGAGTCACTGTCAAAGGTAGTCTTGCTATCTCAGATCGTAGCTGCCACATGATGCGTGCGCCGCTGACACAGTTCAAAGACCATATCCCATGCGCCGATAGCCTTCTTGTCGTCGTAACGCCGCCTATTCAGGCGTCTGAACCATGTTTTACTGGGAGTACCCTCGACGAGCTTAAGGAGTCGGCACCATTCTTCGCGAGGAGAAAGGCAGTCATTCTCATCGTGAGCCCGTATGCTACGCCTAATAAATATCTCTGCTTCTAGCACTAACTAGCTAACACTACTTAGTGAAGGCCACGATTCGTCTGAAGGCGTGTACAACAACTTGGTCCGAACTGTTAGGGATGCGCTTCAACAAGTGGGCATCTCCGCTGACAGGTACATATAGTGTAGGTTGCTACATACTAGAAGAATTGCTCATCTGGTACAGTACTCCTCCGGTGCCAGTTGACCTTCACGGTGGGGGCTTCATCGAACCGTCCCCCAAGACTCCTTGGTACACCGGCGCCACTCTGATGGCTGCAATGGATGAGATCTTCTCATAGGGTGTCGACAAACCAATGTGTTTAAGGCACTGGGTGAATTTGACAAGGCACTATCTTAGAATGATGAAAGGTTTGAATGGCTTTGGACTGCATTGTGTGGTCGAGATATTGTTTCAGAAAGACCTGTGTCCTACATGATAGGGGCTCCGCGTGTCGCAGAAAAATGGCCCTGCGCCTTGCCATCGGCATGGAGGGAGACTGTGCTGCATCCTCCCTGCCTTGCGCATATCCCGGATCTCCGTACGCAAAACATGATGCAAGAAGTACTCTTCTCCACACATTCGGGGACGCTCTCTTTGACAGGACTCATACGCATCAGTCGGATCATATCCCAGCTAGTATTCTCGACGAGCCTCAGCTTCCTTTTGATACAGTGGCCATATCAGGTGCCCACAAGGCGTCATAGAACTCTGAACACATGGATCCATACAACATCGATGCGATGCAAGAGTATTTCCTGAAGCAAATCAGATTTTCAGGCATGTGAATCGCATAGGAGCCTGGTATATAATCGCTCTTGGTCCATCGCTCGAGCGCAGCCATGCGCATTTCAGCGCATTTGCAATCTCAGGTAGCACTGCTTCCCTTCCTAGAAGGTCGAAAACCCCGCGCTTCTTGTTTGTAAGGAGATCAGAAATCTGCAGCGGTAAGAACCCTAGAACGATTTCGAAATACTGTTTGTGAAAGCCGTACGCTGTTTGGCCAATTCTTCCAGTTTAGTATTCGTGGTCTCTTTCAACGTCTGTGAGAACAAGCTGAATGAAGTTGATGTTAAAAAAACGGTGATGTTGTTTCTATATTCGAAAACGTAGTATGCCACTTTCATGAACGGCACAAGCGCGATGGGAGTAGTAACCCACGGACGGTGTGGCGTTATAATCGAATGCACTGGGCAAGGTGTACGTCAAAATGTAGGTTGCTGTGGACTAAGTCATGTATTCTGAGGAAACCAAGACGACACTGGCATGTTCGCGCACTAGGCGGCCATACGCACTTTGCGGGCGTAGAAGGCACAGCAGGTGCGGACCAGGAAGTGCGAACAACCCATCACAACCATCTTCTGTCTGTAAGCCTCAGTGGGAACCTTCGTCGGTTCTATGGAGCTAATATGGAAATCCCGTCAATGTTAGACACTGGCTCCGAAATCTCCAAGCTACACGTATTTCGACCCTTATTTTGTTCACTCCCCGTCAGTCACTTCCTGTTGTGCGCCTCCACCAACAATACGGCAGTCCGCCCTAGAATAGATAGCCAGACACCTAGGCATATCTGAATATACTATTGCATTGGCCGTCATGCATTACCGCCTCTAAGTGTCTTGAGACGTCTGAGCACAACTCTCAACGGACGGATACATGCACTGGATCATTGACTTTCAACAACTGTACCTTGCACTAATGAATCTCTTACTCCACCACGGCCCTCCTCACCCTCTCCTACTCCCCCTCCGCACCCTCCAACGCCCTCAACGCCTCCAACGCCTCCTCCTCCCCAATCTGCTTCCCCACGCCCGCCGCCGCCTTCAACCCCTCAGCCATGGCCACCGTGACCTGCTTCAACGGCGTCATGGTATCTCCCGCGGCAAACACGCCCCTCACACTCGTCTCATTAAACATATCCTTGACCACGACATTCCCGCCCATCTGCGCCGGCGCCGTCTCGACCCCCAACTGCATAATCAAATCCCCGGCGCGATTCACCGTCGGCGGCTTATGCACCAGAAACCCCAACGTGACGGGTCCCCCGGTCTCAAACTCCAACGTAATCCCCCCAGGCGCGTCATCCCCCCCACCATGCCGAATCATCCTCGTAATCTTCCTCTCATCCAGACCAACCCCCCACTGCTTACACACACTCAACGCCTTTTTTACCGCCTCATTCTCTTTTTCGACCTCGCCGTTGGCGAAAATGGTAACGCTGGAAGAGAAGTTTTTCGCCATGAAGACGAAATGCTGCGCCATGGGCGACTTGAACTCGAGGATCCCTATCGGTCGACCCCTCAGCTCGAACCCGTCGCACGCAAGACACTGGTAGATGTGCGAGGGCCAATTCTCGGCGTACCCGGGTATACCGGGCAGGACGTCTTGCGAACCAGTCGCTAGGATGAGTTTCCTGCCCTGATACGTCTTCCCCGTCGAATCTTCGACTTCGAAACCGTCGTACTCTCTTTCTCGCGACCCTAGATGCGCACTCTTCAGGGTTAGGAATTTCTTCCGCGCCTGCACGACGGTCGCGTCCTCGAACCAGACGGTCGCGTAGCGCGAGGTGATTTGCGAGCGCGAGATTGCGCGGAATTCGTAGGGGTCGATGTGGTCGCGCGAGGGGACCGTGTGCATGTGGGCGATGCCCTCATTGCGGTACGAGGACGAGTCGAAGACGAGGGCCGTGGACAGGGTGCGGGCGAAGGCGAGGGCCGAGGTGAGGCCTGCGGGGCCGGCGCCGATGATGAGGCAGTCGACGATGGAGGGGCGGGGGGGTTGAGGCATGGTAGTGGGGGTTGGGGATTTTTTTTTTTATTTGGAGGCGAGGGGAGTGGTTTTGGGGAATGGTGCTGAGGTGGGAGGAGATTTGACTTGGTACTGTAGAGGGATGAGGGGGGAAAGGGAATAAACTCGAAGGGACTTGACCTTTAGACTATGTGGAAGCAAGGAACATTTATACAACTTCACAAGACAAACCAGCCGAAAAATAACCATGCTGACACCTAGCGAATGATACCCTGGGAGGTGCATCAGATGGCGCGTCGGAAACAGGTCAAAACTTCCCATCCGCAATCCCAATGGCTGAGATGCGGGGCGCGGAGATATAATGAATCATGGATTCCCGAATCTGGGGCCGTAATGCACCAGGGCTGCGTTGATGGTCGCTGTTTAAGTCTCCGAGAAGTCTCCTCAGGGAGCCCAGTAGTAGAATTGGACTCACATCACATTTCACCTGAGCCAGTTCGTCGATTGGGAAACGCCAGCGGTTTCGAATGGCTCAAAGAGTTTGCTACCTGCAGTAGGTTTATCGAGAGGCCGTCCCTGACACCAATCCTACTAGTAAATTGCTCGGTTCCCGAAGTAAACGTTTGTAAACCCTCCAGCCAATCACATAACGAACCGTCCGATCAGGGATGGCTGGCTTATACTCTTCTACGGGCACCGGGGGGTAGACGCCACTGCGGACAAGATTTTCTTTGAACGTCAACCCGTCTCAAGAAATACTGAAGCAATAGTAAAAGTCCCTGTTCCTCTCTATTCGTAATAAGAGAACATGAAGAGTCATGGATCTATAGGATCAACCGCCTACCTAGGTTGAAGAACATAGATAATCACGTGATTCAATAGGAAATGCATACTGTGCACATACATATTTTTTGGATGCGGGTACCAAGCCGTGTACTCCTACTCTTCCTCTGAAAAATCAGAATCACTCTCTCGGGCCTTCAAGACCTTGGGGATTCTTCTCTTATTACGCATGCGCACCCTCACTCAACCCAATCGATAAAAAACTCCATTCATATGCAACCACACCTCCATCCCCCTCCTCAAAACACCAGACTAATCCCCTCAACAAACTGAATAAAACCAACGCCACATCATATAAACAACCCACCAACCCTTCCACCTTCCAAATCCCTCCCACCAAGCACGCTCCCCTGCCGTCACACTCCCCCCCGCCGGCTCGTTTTCCTTCCCAGCAACACGTACCACGACATATGCGCCACGACATGGAGAAAAGAAGAAAACGCGCGATCCGACGCCCTGGACCCACCACTTAAATTCTCCGGAAGGGAAAACTAAAAGAAGGGAGCCGGAGCCGACCGTTTGTGTGCAACGTGGGGACTTCGTGGCACATACGCGGGTTTTGTGATTTTTGATTTGGAATTTGTGGATGGGTGGACACGGAAAGGCAAAGGGGAAAGGGAAGGCAGAGTTGAAGAGACGCGCAGATGCAGAAGATATGATTGACGAGTCGTATTAAGATGGTAGTTAAGACCCTGGGTGTGGCTCTCCTCGGTCCAACAGAAGCTGCCTTTGACGGAGAAAATCGTCAAGGAGACAGACCATCCTCTCGCTGGTCATCGGTATGAAGTTGCTCTGCTGTCCAGGAGAGAACCGAAATTTTGGCCGCGCTGGTGTTATTTACCGGAAAAGCGGTGAGGAGAAAGGACCAACAACAGTCTCGTCAGTGGGTAGTTACAAAAAAAGGAAGCGTGCCGATTCGCTATCGCAGACTGACACGGCATAGGCTGATCTTCACCTCTGACAACCAACGTCGGTCCCTCGGATAGACGTGGAATAGGGGTAAGTGGATGCGCCAGGGACTCTCGGTCGCTCTGCTTGGTTAGCTTGCGGCATCTCGGGAGTACATTTGTCACCTCGGTGAGAGGATATCATCATGATGATATGACCGAACTTTCTTTGTTTCTCTATCGGTCTCTGTGGAAGACTACATCCTCCAGCCCTAGCAAATCATCTCTCGTTTTGCCCACCACATACCGCGAAAGTACAATTACTTAACCGACCCGCAATGTGCGCAGAAGATCAACCGAAATAGCATTCCGTTGAGGTAAACTCCAAAACCGCCTAATGCTGCTGTTGCCGCCATGCAGAAGTCCGAAGACGTCGAAAACTGGATGAGAGATTTCTCAAAATGAAAAGGAAACCGAAGGAAGGAGAGGATGTCCAGGCAAGGCCTAGAGCCGTGGCTTACGATCGTAAAGATGAGGCCGTGCGTCAAGTAGTCCCTTCGTGATACAGTAGCCGGCACTGCGCAGCGGAGTAGATATGAATCTCGAGCGAGAGAGGGTGTGCATCTTGGCAATCGTCCGTAGCTGCTCGAATCCACAATGCTCTGGAGACCCGGTGTTACCTGGCCTTCCTGCTTGCAGTCCACGAGAGCATGGCCATATCGCAGATGCGGGCAATCACCTGTTGAGTGCTGCTGCGGCATTCGTAGCTGATATGTCCCATCGCTACAGTCAACTTGCTGAGATCATTTTCGGGGTCCAGGTTGGGCGGCGCCACAGGCACACTGTTCGGGAATCCACCAATGCGGTTCCCTAGTCGCCTCGCGATAGAAATTGAGTAAAGAGCATCCCGAGTCTCCTGGCCCAGAAGAGCGCGCATCGTCGAGAGGGCGTAGTCAGCCGCGCTTGGCGGCGGAGAGTCATTGTCGTGCACAACAAAATTGCCAAGTTCCCTCCAGAAATCAATCTCCTGTCTCCTATAAGTCGGTAGCTCAGCGGGGTAGTGGAGCGAATAGAGCGGATTAGAATGGAGCACCTCGTTTGTCAAGAGAGCCTCCAGGATATCGAATCGCGCGCGGACCTCCTTGAGGGACATGTCGTCATCTTCGGGGGCCGCGGATGCTGTCCCGTTGGTGCCATTGGTGGCGGGAGGTGCATGTTTACATACGCTCAGCATGTGCCATATGAGGCGAGCTTCCTGGCTAAATATGCCGCTCATGTCGGAGGAGTTGCGCCGGTAGTTGCAAGTCTCCACGAAAAATATAGCTTCCTCACGCAGATTCTTGTCCGCCATGATTCGTCTCAAGGCGTTGTTATTGGTCGAGAACCAATTGGTTTCCAGAATGGCATCGAGGCCCTGGCAATAGTCCTTCGCGAACATGGTCGCAAACTCATCGTCGAGTTCCTGTGAGATAGGCGCTTGTCGCGGAGGCACTTCTGGAGGAGGATGACCCGCAATGGCGAACAGATCGGTAATCTTTAGACGTTGCCCTGTGGATAGAGTTAGTTTCTTCAGCGTAGCTACAATTGATCATGGATGAAGAGGGCGCACCTTTCACAACAGGAGCTGCATGTGTAGGTGCAGTGAAGGGACTCGAGCTGGCCACGTCCCTGAGTACAGGATTCAAGGCATGTGCACCGTTGTACGCTGGCTGTCCGCCTTGCATATTGGAATTCTCGGATGCGAGCGCAGGATCAATGGCGGGATGGCTGAAGTTCTCGTGGGGTTGGTGGCTAGGTCCGCTACCAGTCGCCGGAGGCACATAACCCGCGCTGACGGCAGGAGCGTAGCCGTGGGGAACCTGCCCACTGTAGGACGAGCTGACGGAAGGGGATGATGCCGGTGCGGGAGTCTGATGAGAGGCCGAGCCTGGAGCAGGCTGTATCTGTGCTGGGCCGGGCTGTTGCTTGAAAATGGGATCGTAGCCGGCGCACTCGCGTTTGCTCTTCTGACAATTGCGGCAGACTGGATGCGCCTCATCACACTAAGAAAGATCGATGGTCAGCGGTTCTGGGTCTTGAGGAGATGAAGTTCAAATAAGCTTGTGAAGGGATCGCTCGCTTCTTTCGCTTCATGGTGGCTCGGCTAGATGGCCAACGACGGCCTCTACCTAGTGCACCTTGCTTAAAGGACCGACTTCACCACTTGCTCGACTGGCGGCAGATAACCGAAATGAAACTGACCTTTATCCTGCGTTTGCGACATGTCAAACAGCCCGTCTTTGTCCGACGCTTGACCTCCTTCTTGTTGCGACCACCGGAGAGGATCCTGTGGTCACCTTGGGGAGGGAGCGCATATCGCATCTGCAGATGCGGCGCGACTCCCATGCCCACCGGTTGTGGATGAGCAGCGTGATAGTATTGGGGCATATGGTGTTGGGGAGGAGGGTGCGGCGAGGGCATCGGCTGAGGCATGGGCGGTTGTTGCGACGATTGTTGCACCTGTCCATCTTGTAGACGTATCGGTGGAAGATTCAGCGGTGGCAGCGGCAGGTTGGTGCCCTGAGGTGAGCCCCGATAGGCCTCCTGGTTCGACTGGCCCTGGGGCGGGGGATACGTGTATGTGAGCTGCATGGAGGGGGACGGGTAGGAGTGTGGTGAAGGGTAGGCGTTTGAGGGTGGAAGCGAGTGTGGAGGATTCTGGTCGGCCATGGTGGAGTGGGGGCAAGGCGAATATGACGCGGTTGAACGCTTGACGGCAGAAAAGCCGTGCGACAGTCAGGGCCGTCGGCGGTGAAGGGGCCTCGCTGGGTCCCCAATGCGGGATTGAGAGGAGGGAGCCCCGGAGGAACACAACAATTGCGGCGCGGTGCACCCGCGAGAGAGGTGTACAAGCGAGAAAGCTTGAACTGGGGGGAAGGGGACGGGGGCCACCAACGACAGGCGACGAGGGCGAGCGACTATCAGGGGTGGATGCGGCGCTGCTGGGGTCTCGTCGCTCGCGAGGAATCTCGGCGCAGGTGGTAAGCGACCAGCCCTCTGGAGTCCCGGGGAAATTGGGCACTGGAAATTTGCAGCAATCGAGTCGATAAAGTTCGTCTCGACGGAGAGGGAGGATACAGAGGTGGGAGGCTGAAAAGGCACGTGACGGGTGCAGAGCGTGGGAGCAGGGCAGCAGTCGAAGAATGGATGATGGATGGGCGATAAAGGCGGCAAGTCGCGAAGAAGGGACAAGAGGTCCGGGGGTGCTTGGTGAGGCGCTGTTAATAACTGGGTCAGCGAGCTTGGAAAGCACCGAGCGAGGAAGTGCCCATCAAGGCGCAGGAAGGGCGGCACAACCAACCGCGCAACAACGGCAAGGCCATGCTGCAGCGCTGCACCACCTGGAGAGCACGGCGAAGGGGGAAGCGAAGAAGTGGTGCAGGACGAGGGACGAGACGAACCGCGACAAGTACTGTAGAGAGGTGTCCAGGTGAGGTGACTTGGGAGCCTTTCCCTCGCCTAAGTTAGCGGGCTCGCTTTGCAGCGCCTACCACAGGTACGCGAGGCTGGCAAGCAAGCACCAGAAGACGGCAGAGCGCAGACGAGGCCGTGAAGCGCTGGCTTTCTGCGGGGGTGGTGATGGATGGCGACGAACGGCGTCGACTGGAGAGGTCGAGTAGTTGCGGATTCGGAGAGAAGGTGAAGGGACGCGTGAAAGCAAGAGGATCAAAAAGAATCCAAGCCGCACGTTGCCAAATTGGGATTAGCGCGGTTGTGGACTTTGCCCAGACGCCATCCCCTGGCACCATGATTGACCATCCATTCCACCACCCACCCACCCACGCGCAATTCCCCTCCACCGTGCCATCCTCTCACCATCCTTCTTCGACTTCAATAATGGTCACTATTGAGGAGCCTCTCACAACGCCTTGCCGGCCGTCTTTCCTCGTCTTACCGTGCAACAGCAGGACGGCCGTTCCGCGTTACACGTCGCCCACGTTCATCAGCTCAGCTGCACTTACGTTGCTGTCCTGCGTCCAATAATCCCTAGGCCGGCCTCTCTCCCGATCCGGACTGGCAATATGCGTTTAGGGCTCAGCGCTGTCGCTACACTTCCTCCCGCAGCGTCGGGCACCTTTACCCCAGCGTCTCGCGAGCGCGGGACGACCATCCCGCAAATCGCCGCCGTCGTCCATGTGGAAGGTCGAGCCTTCTGTTGGAGGGCCAGTTGTCTGGCGAACCTTCATTGCTGCGGCGTCACCATTGACCAGCACTCACTGGAGTGCTACTGCATGTTCGCGACGCCACCCCCGGGGGTCCACGCACAGGACGACTGTTCCGCACGAGCCTGTGTGTCCGGCCCGCCGATCCACATCCAGTTTGCCAAAGACCTGGGGTATCAGCGCTTGCGTCTTGTTCTTCACAGAAAGGCATCCACCGTGTATGCACTTGGCCGCCGCTGACATGGAGTTCGGTCCCCTCGTTCGTGCCGCCTCAAATCTCCCTTGACCATTTTCCCTTTACCATTTTACCCGTCAGGCACAGCATATAATCAGCAGCAGATTCATCTTTTGTGACCCACCTTGCTGAGCACGGCTGTCGGACGGAGGGCAGAGCGTTGCAGGATGCTCTACTCCGTGCTAGCAACTTGCCCTTCCACGTTGCCCAACTCAGGCTCAGCGCACAACCTCAGCCATGTCCAACCAAAGGGTTGTCAACGGATAAAGACATATGTACGGCCGTTGTAGCCGTTGCCCTGCTGGTAAGCCTTTGTGACAGGTGCGGTTTGTTGGTGTAGCAGAGCAATTAGCCAACAAAGCACGCCGTCTCCACATCGCCGTGTTGCAGCCGTGTAGCGCTCCTGAGTCCTGGGGCTCCTGCCGTCGGCTGTCAACCAGGAAACTCATGCTGCTCATCATTCCCCGGGACTAGCTTCGTTCGAGATCGATTGCATTTGCTAGGGCCGATGTTGTTCCAATAGGCTCATTTCCAGCTCGACGACGAGAGCGTTCTGTGCTACGTTGCGCAGTACAGCAGTTTGACACTGCCTCTTTAGGCGACAGGGTGCGCCAAAGCAGGGTCAACTCATGCTTCTCATCCCCTCTGGCCCTCTCGTAAATGTGCGGTCCTGAGCGCACAGGGGAAATGAGGACGAATGCTTGATGTCCGCGATCCGAGTCTCGTCTATCAACAAGCCGCCCATCTCGCTCGCCAAAAACGCGGCATGGATGGCCCCGGAAAGGCACAACATCTGTGACCTTGCCGGATGCGGAAGCGCGGTTTTCGAGAACATCGGACGAAGCCTTCCAGGCTTGTTCCTGTTGAGGTGTAAGCGAGCCGGTGGCGCCCAGGACTCTCCTCGCCGTACTGTGAACCTACTACCTACTACACCAATGCCGGTGTTTCAACACGTCCATGGCCGACGATGCGTGCTCTTTCCCTGCCTCTACTGTGTAGAAACAGTGGCATCATGTCGCAAATTCTTTGCAGGTTGCTATTTGGCTAGGCCCGGGGATGTAACTGCCTGTTCACGGTTGGGACAACAAGCCATATGCAGGTAACCACCAGACGATACCTAGGTATGTAGCACAAGGTCACATGCTCACAGAGAAAGGGGTCTCCAGGAACGCCTGGGGATCCGTCACGCTAGATAGTAGACAAGCTGATTCAATTTCTTTCCGCTTTGGCGACCGGCGGGAATGAGAAGCATTCAGACTGCGAGGCAGTAGTAGAGTGACGGACCCTGGATCCCATTCTCCATGGAACCTTCTCTCGGGAAACCCCCCTGGGTCTCCGATATGGACCTCTTCTGTGGATTTTTTGACCTAGGAGAAGGCTGATTCCCATTCACGGTGTCGTGTCCGTTTTCCATTGCGCCATGTCCGAATTGTATCATCAATACTTAGACGGCAATGTCAAGAACTGCATCTCCCCTATATTCAATCCCTAACGATTCTACATTGGGTAGGGTACTGGAAATCCAATTTCACTCGAACCTGATGCTTCCCATGCCAAGGGATGGGTTTTACACGACTTCTGCAATTGATGGGAGAATCCGGCTGTTGCTCTTTCGCTTCACCATCATTCCAGGCAGTGTGAGGATTATCGCCTCCGTTGCAGATGCGAACTCTCTGCGTCCTAGGTTCCATGCTGGATACCACCATAGCTATGCGAATCACTGATTGAGATTTTTGCCTTCCTTGAAATTCGCAGACACAGAGGTAGTTGGATAAATCGAGTCGTCTCTAATGGGAAATTCGATGACATGGTAGATGGGGACGACGGAGGACATGGGGAAGGTAAGCACAGCAATCTGTAACTGCCGCGCTTCTCATTTCTCTACAGCTATGACTACTTTCGAGAACAATCATTATACCACAGGCAACTTCGCATGTACCATAGTCGCTCCAGCACTCCAAACACCTCCATCACCTACGACCCCGCACTCTGCGCCGCCTTCCACTTGTACGCATTCGCCATAAACTTGGACAACTTGGCCGCACTCTCGTCGTCGGCCGGGAACACATACTCGAGGTACTCCTCAAACGAATCGTCATCCAGCTTCCTCCTCTTCTTGACCTTGCGCGGCATCTGCTTCTCGATCCTCTCCACATCCTCGGCAGACCCGTACGTCGTCTCGAAGTCCCTCCATGCATTCAGCAGCGCCACTCGGTCCTCCTTCAGATCCTTCTCCTTCATCGTCTTATGCGCCCTCTCAAAGATCCTGCGTGCCCGCGCCTTCGCCTCGTCGCTGACGGGTCTGTCCTCCTCCGTCTCGCCCTCTTGCTGCTGCTCCGCACCAGCGTCCGGGACGCTAATCTCGAATTGCGCCCAGCTGATCCAGACCTTGACGTGGCTCGTCTTCTGCAGCAACCGCTCGTACAGTTTCCGCGTACGCTCGTACTCGCCCTCCTCCTCTTCGAAGTCAATATAAGACTTCCACACCAGCTCGGGCATATCGAGCTGCGGCTCCTCGACCGCGAGCTCGTAGATGGCGCGCGTGCGATCGAGGTCGTCGAGCCCGCGCTCCAGCTCGGCGAACTTGATCCACACCTGCGAATTCGTAGGGTTCCATTCGAGGTACTTTTCGTAGAGTTGGCGGCAGCGGCCGAATTCGAAGAGCTTCATTTCCAGCTCAATGTACCCCTTGAACAGCTTATCCTTGGGACACATGCCTATCGACTGGCCCAGGTATTTCCGCGCGGTCGTCAGTTGGCCCTGCCGTATTTCGAACTGGGCGGCCATGAGCCACACTTTGGCGAAGGTGAAGCGTTTGTGGGGCAGGAGCTTGATGCATTCTTGGTAGATCTGCCGCGTCCTCTCAATGTCGCCGGAGACGGTTTCTTCGTAGACGGCGTAGAAGAGCCAGAGGTAGATGTATCGTCTCCAGTGTCTCTTTTCCTGAGTCGGTGGGAGCTGGGCGATGGCTCGCTCGTAGACGTCGCGCACGCGGTCCGTGTTGCCAGACGTCTCTTCTAACCGGGCGAAATCGATCCAGGCGTCGTAGTTTTTGGGGTTCTCCTTGACTTGTTCTTCGTAGTGCACTCTCCGTTTGGATAATATGACGTCCTCGATGCCTTCGCGGTCGCCATACTGCTTCTCGAACTGCGTAAATGCCTTGTGTAGATTTGCGGATTTCGCGCGTGGCATGCGATCCAGGGCGAATTTATAGATGGCTCTCGCTCGCTCCACCTCCTTTAGCTTTGCCTCAAACTTCGCATACGCCATGAATAGCTTCTCGTCCATGAAATGGTCGCCCAATGTTTCCACCGCTGTGCCATAGACCTCCCGAACCAGATCGCTGCTGCCGTTCTCCTCCTCGAACTTGGCCCACTTGATCCAGTTCTTGGGTTCGGGATGTACCATGGTAAACCGCTCGAATATCGCCCTCGCCCTCTCGATTTCCCCGTGCCGCTTCTCCATCTTGATATACGCCGACCACGCCGCCTCGTCGGGCTCCCACGACATCCAGCGCTCAAACACGGCCCTCGCGCCATCGATATTCCCCAGCGTTTCCTCCATATACACATACTTGTACCACAACTTATCCACGCGCGGCAGGATCGTCACGGCGCGATCCAGCAGATTCCTCGCATGATTGATATTCCGATGCTTCATCTCCGACTCAATGTACCTAATCCACAAGACCACAGACGTGCTATCGACATCGAGCGCGCGCTCAAAAATCGACCTCGCGCGCCGAAACTCCTTCTGCTCGAGCTCCCACTGCGCGTACCGCATCCAGTTGTTCATGTTGATGCGGTTGCGGCGGATGTAGTCCTCGAACTCCTTGCGCTTGCGGCCCTGGTAGTCGTGCAGCTCCTCCAGGTCGGCGAAGCGCTGCGTCGGCGCTTTGATCTTGTCATCTTGTCGGTCGACGGCTTCGCGGAGGAGTTGCTCGGCTGTGATTTGGATGGGCGCGGCGGCTTTGTTTTTCACGCGCGGTTGGCCGCGCGAGGAGGAGTCCATGGTTGCGGTGGTGCTGTGATAATTGGGAGGTGGTTGTGGTGGTTGTTGCTGTGGGTATTGAGATGAGAGAGCAAATGAGAGAGGTCCAGGATGCCTTTAGGTTTCGGGAAAGCCGTATGCGGATGTGAGCGCGTCCGCCTCGGCGCTGTACGGGCAGCTTAACGCAAACTACTGTGGGAGATGATCTGCTGTGGAGCTTGGGCAACCCGCTGGCTGGGAAACTTCACGGAAACCTAGATATAGTCCGCCGTACGAAGGTTGCTCACCGCCCGGCAGAATTTTGGACGCCAAGACCACTGATCCCGCGTCGCAAACTTCCATCCTGTTGTCGTTGCCCCATTTCTTCCATAGCGTCACCACGTTCAGCACTTGATCACTTTAACATACAGCAAGAGAAAGAGGAGGGAAACTCACCTCATCATGGCGACGCTCGAACAGGAGCTCCTGGCGGATTTCGCTGATTCCGGCTCCGAGGGCGAGGGCGAGGGCGGAGATCTGGGGCTCGATGCGCGCAACGATGTCGACCAGCTGGAGAAGGACTTCGGAGGCGGCTCGTCGGCCGGCGAAGAGAATGAGCAGGAGGACGACGACGAGGAAATGGCAGATGAGGAGGCGGAATACGCGGAAGAGCAGAAAAAGCAGAAGGGCCCTGCGGACATTCGCGGTGCGGCGAGTTTGCTGAACAAGCTGCAGCGCGTGTTGCGGGAGATTGAGCAGACGAAAGAGCGCATGGAGGGCTTGATGGACGGCGAGTCGATTGAGGAACATCCCGAGTACAGGCTCCTGACACAGGCGAACGAGTTCTCGACGCAGATTGATGGGGAGATTGCGGCGGTGCACAAGTTCATTCGAGACCATTACTCGATTCGTTTTCCGTACCTGGAAGAGCTCATCAAGAACCCTGTGGACTATGCGAAGACGGTCGCGATTATCAAGAATGGCCCCTTGGATGATATCAAGACCATCTCGCAGAGTGCAGACAATCTGGTTGGCGTGCCGCTAAAGAGCATCCTCGATGGACCTTCACTCATGGTCGTCACCGTCGAAGCTACACGCGCCATCGGACGCGACCTAACCACCACCGAACTCGATGCCATCCTCGAAGCCTGCACCCTCCTGCTGAAGCTCGACCAGGCCAAGCGCGTACTGACACAATTCGTACAATCCCGCATGAACGTCTTCGCGCCCAACCTGACCGCCCTGATCGGCTCCGAAACCGCCGCCCAATTCATCGGCTTCACCGGCGGCCTAACGGGCCTCGCGAAGACGCCCGCCTGCAACATCCCACCGCTAGGCTCCAACAAGGCCAGCGGCCTCGGCTTCTCGACAAACGTCGGCATCCGCCAACAAGGCTACCTCTACCACAGCCCCATCATCCGCACCGTGCGCCAGGACCTCAAGAAACAAGCCATGCGCATCGTGGCCGCCAAAGTCATCCTCGCCGCCCGCATCGACATGGTGCACCAATCCCCCGACGGCTCCATGGGCCAGCAGCTCCGCGCCGAATGCGAGCGCCGCCTGGACAAACTCACCGAACCGCCCAAGAACAAAGGCGTCCGCGCCCTACCGGCACCAGACGACAAGCCGGCGCGCAAACGCGGCGGCCGTAGAGCACGCAAGGCGAAGGAAGCGACCGCCATGACTGAGCTGCGTAAAGCGCAGAACAGAATGGCATTCGGTAAAGAGGAGAAGGAAGTCGGATACGGAACGGGGGATACCACGCGCGGACTCGGCATGATCGGCGCGACCGACAGCGGGCGGCTCCGCTCGCAGCAAATCGACCAGCGCACGCGCGCCAAACTGTCCAAGAAGAATCCCGGTTGGGGCGGCGATACGGCGCTCGGGGCTGCGTCGTCGCTCAAGGGGTTCGGCACGGGCGGGACGGCGACGACGCTGCGGGCGCAGGGGCTCCGGACCGCGGGCGTGGGCGGAGGCGCGCTGGGTACGTCGTCGATTGCGTTTACGCCTGTGCAGGGGTTGGAGCTCGTGGATCCAAAGGTCAGGGATGAGATGTCGAGGAAGAGGAAGGCGGAGGAGGATCGGTGGTACAAGGGTGGGACCTTCACGCAGATTGGGGGAGCCGCGCAGCAGCGGAATGGGAATGCCAATGGGAATGGAAGTGCGAATGCGAATGCGGCGGTCAAGGTGGATAGTGCGGGGTTCAAGGTGCCGAGTTTGCCGGTTAAGAAGAGGAAGGTGGATGGGGAGTAGGTTTTATAGAAGGGATGGGGGAGAGGTACATGTTCAGCATATGGGTTTGAGGGATCGTGGTTAGGGAAGGGAGGGTACGGTGATGGTTGGCGTTCAGGGTAGTCTGGGAGCGGGTTTACAGTGTATCATTTGGTCATGCATAGGGCGGCGTTATGTAAAGGTAACTGTCGAGCGAAGGCAATGGGCATTTTCTGTTCACTTGATGGCCTTTCCTGGCCATGGTAGATATCCCACATAAGATCAATGTATGAATGAAAGGAAAGCTGAGAGCAAAGAGACAAACTTCTGCAACATCACTTGTGATATACTCCTATCCTTGACCAAGAGCACTGCCACACTATTGATAGAGAGCAATAGTAAAACGGAGACACCAGGACTCCGTGATCACAGCCCATATCTCTCAATGGAAAACGAAATGAGCTCAGTCATTGGCTCGGTGAAATTGGAATGGCATGTCTTTTCAATTCATATCCATCATCTATCTACCTCCACATCTCCCCGAGTCAAAAACTACCAACTGGAACAGTGGTATCTTGCAGATCAGCCATGCATGCAAATCCCCCAACTCCGCGCTGAGCTGCAGTCTGTACATCCCAAATCAGTAAGGAAGCCTCGAACGCCCATATAGTACAGATGGGGAGGTGTGTCATGGCAGCTAATACTTCTTAAGTCATCTTGTCGCTCGTCTTCGTAGAGAGGTCGTGTCATCGTCCATTCGTAGCTATGATAAGGCCGAGCTTCCTGTATGCGAACCACAGGGTGATCAGAATTGCGACTGCAGAAATCACTGAGTCGAATGAACCGGGGTCGAGGAAGCGGAAGGCGAGCGCGTAGATGGGAGAAGCACAATCTCGGCCTCGTAGTCTGGCACTGTCCACTGCACTCCCATCTTCCGTGACGGGCCTCGACCCTTGTCCACAAGTCACCTCTGCCGTCTTGCGTAGATATCGTTGTTCTCCTGTACAGGGGATACCCGAAGTGGAGGCGAACGTCGTAGGGTCGGCGAACCTCGAACCGAATCCGACGCAGCTGCCACCGCCGGGCTGATGGGCATAATGGGCGACTTGCCCTTGTAACTCCCGCCGCTACCAGGCTGCTGTTGTATCGTCCGCACTGTAGAAGGAGTTGCAGGTGAGCGGCCGCCTACACCCTGGGGAGCCCTGGGCGTAGTGCTACCTCCACTCTCCATGCTGACCTGTCTTGCACGAGGCGTATTGTCTTGACTTCCTTCCCATTGCCGAGCTGGATCCGCTCGAGGTGTGCGATCCTGGCTTCCTCCGCTACTGCGTTGTGAGCCTATCCGGGGTGTATGATCGCTACTTCCGGCTCCACTGTTCTTCCTCTGCCCGGACTGCTTGACCGAGTTGGATCTACTTCGATTTCCGGACCCAGCTTTATGAGCGGGTGTCTTAGGTGTTGACTCTCCTTCGTTCGTTCGCCTAGACGCTTGAGGGCTTCCATGAGTAGGGGCCGGTTGCACAGGTCCTCCATTTCGTTTTTCCTCGTGTCCCCAAGATTCGTCCCTACTTGTTGCTTCAGGAGGGTTGGGACTCGGAGCACCCACGCGAGGTGTGCCCTCCCAGTCCTTACGCTTCATCATTCTTCCCAAGATACCTACCAGCTCCGCGGCGTCCTCGAATTCACTATCATCCATAGCCTCCTGCGCGCGGTAGACATCCTTGATGGCGCGGCGGGCTAAGCGACGAGATCCTTCATGGTCGTGGACGCAATCCCAAAGGAAAGCACTGTGTTCCAAAGCGACGGAGAGCCGCAGTGGGTGCGATCCGGGCAGGAACGCGGTGGCGTACGCGGTGGCTGTGTTGAAGTAGCCTCCGGCAAGGGGAATAAAGTTTAGAGGCGGCAGAAGAAAGGACGATGGCTGCGGGATCGGTATGGGATTGAGGCCCGGCGGCGGGTTGAGCGGGCCTGGCGAAGGTGTCCCTACTGGCCCACCACTGGCATATGGATTTGTGAGGAACGACGTCTCTGAGGTGATGGAATCGATTGGATCACGAAGCATCGGCTGCTTGCCAGCTCGCTTTGAAGACGGCGACGGATCCCTCGGCTGGCCGTATAAATCGTTGGATGGTATGTTCGCCGCCGTCACTGGAGGCTGATTGTGAAATAGACAGAATATGTGATAGAAGCTAGCCCGCAGCTTGACGCTGAGGACCCTGCATTCTGGGCCTTGCTGATTGTCCTGCGCATAGGGTAGAACATAGAGCTCTAGAATGGACAGTCCCTCACGAGAGAGCCAGAGGATATGCTGGTAGGTTGCAAGTGAGGGCGTGTCACGCGACGTATCTAGTTTGCGTAGCTTCCGGGCTCGAACCAGCCGTCGTGATAGCAGAACAGAGAGGCCGAGGATCTGGTACAGCGAGTTGGACAGCAAGGGGTTGGTTTGTTCGGTTTGTTTGGCGATTCGGCCCAGAAATTTCTGATCGAAGTCCAACGATGCCATCGTCTAGTGCTAGTTGTCTTTGTCAGCCGTGTCAAAGTGGAAGGAAGTAGAGAGGACGCGAAGGAAGGTGCGGATGAACTGTATCCCATACGATCCGTAGCATCACTCCCTCACCTCTTCGCCTCTTGGTCTGTTTGGAAGCGTTGTGTGCACGAAGGTCAAACAGAATGGAAGTTGACATCAAACATCTCAGCAACGGAGAGAGATAAAAGGAGACTACTCACCACCAATACAGGATCCAATCGGTCTCTGCGCGCTGGAAGCTCACTCCAGCCGGACGCAGCACAACCCTAACCCGGCTGGTCAACAATGCCTTTGTGGACCGCACTTGGGGATATGTGACGGAGCCTCGACAGCCAATTACGGCGGATTGAACAGGCTTACCACGCGCACGGGCGCAGTGAATAGCGGTTTCCCGTGACAACCCCCGAACAGTGAACCTTTATTCGACCGAAGCTTTTCGACAATGTCCCAGAATGTTTCGAATGCAAACTTGGCGAAATGGTAAACGATGAGAGGAGGAGGTGTATTATGGTACACGGACTAAATATATGTGCTGAGCTCCGTCCGATATAGTACAGATGAATCTGTTGCTACCAGAGAAGAGGAAGGCCAGTGTACGGAAAAGGGAAGGGAAAACCTGCGATGTATGAGCGAGAGCCTCGAGATGTCAAGACAGGATACCAACTAAGCTGCTGTTTAGCTCGAAAAGGGAGCAGAGGTCGCAGTGTTGCTGTCCTCGTGCTGCTATTCTCCCATTCGACGATCGAGGTTGAAATGTCGGCCAATTATATCGTCTGCCAAACGAATCGACTCGGATATCCACTTGGGGCGAGTTAACGAACGTCATCCATGAGGCGGCTGGCGCGGGGTGGCTGGGACGTCAGAGGGCGATGCTCTGGACAGCGCATTGCGACCTCGTCCTGCCTCTAGACTACGGCGTTTGCGCGCCGGATCCTGCGATTCTTAAGAGAATCGAGCCGTGACGTCTAGCAGGCGGTGTGTCGGCGGCTGCCAGGCCCTGGCTCACTCGGGACACAAATGCCAGGCACCTGAGAACTTTGGACCGAAAGACGAATTGGCGCCTCTTTGCGATCCGGGCGGGTTTGGAGTCGAAGCCAGCCGATGGTGGTGAGGAGCGAGCGACGAGAACAACAGCGGGGCGGAGCAATTGAACAGCAATGCGGATGAGAAAAAGACACAGCGCACAGAGCATGCCGGTTGCTGCTATTCTATTATGGCACATTTGCCAACAAACGCACCCCACTGCATAGTGCATCCATCTCTGCCGGGCGCAGCTCCTGCGTCAATCTGCAGAGGCGAGTATACGTGGTTGACGTGTCAAGCGTCAAGCACCGCTAAAACGCACACCACCAGCGTCTCCGGGCTTGACCCACTACTGTGCCTTGAATAATGAATGGGGCGATTGCCAGCTGGCACTGAAGTCAGAACGTGCTTCGCCATGCCACCAGCATCCCGTCGTCTGCTGTTTTTCTGTCATCGAGGCCAGCCGGACTTCAGCCCTAGAGCTCACGGTGTCGAACTCCTACCCATCTAGTAGTACTACAGGAGGTAGTGTCTCAATCCATGCGTTCACTGCAGGTCTCCAGCAGTTCGCATCGACCTGTCCGAGGTTCCAATTGGCGGTGAAGGTAGGCCGTCATTGGTCAGAATATCCGGAAAGGTTGGTTAGCAACAACTTTATGGAGGTCCGGTCTGATGAGAAAGACCATCAATGCAATCAGTCGTTTCCTGTTTCTCATGATTATTGCAAGCATACCGAGCACACAAGCCCTTCCACTGCTCCACTGCAGTTTTCGCTGCTGCACTGCACGTCTTCGCTCCGACCTGTCCTCACTTCAGGCCCTGGGTTACACAGCGTGACAGCAGACGGGCAATCGTTCGCTTAAGGCTGTCCCGAAAAGTGAATCTGAGATGAGCTTGTGGCATATTGATTGGTCATTGGGAACGCCTATCTGGAAATGCAAGTCTCCATCTCCACGTTGGCCCGAACCGTTGGTACTTCCCTACATGCCGAACATGGCCTGAGTTAGGAAAGATTTGATATCAAGCGTTGACTCATCGTCCTGCTGCTCGCCGACGGCAACGGGCCCCGATGACAACCCCGTCAGGAAGAGGAAACGAAGATATCAAGCGAAAGCGATTATTGCATGTCACTCTATAGCTAGCAAACTCGCCAAATGCTGAGCAACCTGTCCGTACAAACGCTCGTTCGTTATTGCGCCATTCCACTCCCATACTGCAACCTTTCACGGATGACTTGTCCCTCCCTCCCACGCGATTGAGTAACAAGGCGATCCATGAATCCGTTTCCGCGCCTTGACAAGCCTGTTACATCCATGTCCGCGGTATGCTTTTCGAAATTTAGGCAATGTACACTTTGAGCAAGTACCTCCGAGACTCCTGTCTGAGTCGTCAAACTCTAGCAATCCAGCGTTACTCCCCCGATCTGGTTGGAGTACGAACCTCAATCTGATGTTTTGACAGTGTTCATCCGACACGTTTCCATGGTCACCGTCGCGCAAACTTTGGATCGGCCATAGGCTACAATCCATAGACAATCAAACTATCTCTACTGTAACGGAGAGGATGGATCGCATGGATAGCATTATAAAGGAAAGGAACGCGGACGCAGATGACCTCTCCGACAACCCAGAATCGCGCGTTCATACACAAAGGACCTCACAGTCTCTTCCGTGCTCACTGTCATTAACGTAGAATTCTGAATTTATTTCCTCTCCATCCGGCACACCCCCTATCGTTCGGCACCAGAAAGCTTATCCAGTCACGACTGGTACGTGGAAGTCGAGAAACTGACATCGTCTTCTGACCTGCCAGTCGACAGATATTCACTCGAAAAAGCACCAAACGTTTGCACGGTCGAAGATCCGTTTGCCGACAACGAACAGCTCACCTGATACTCCGAGTTCGCCGAAATCATGTGCTACTACCACGCCTATCAACACCACTGCGGCCACACGGAGATGATCTTTCAGCAATTCTGCTCGCCGGCCCAAATGTTGCAGCAGAGGTGCCCCAGGAGCAACCCGGGAATTATTCTCACAACGGTCAAGCTGGAATATGCATGCGCAAGCTGTCCGAGTTCGAAGGTAGGCATTCTACACATCAAGACTCAACCAAATCAAGCTGATAATGAGCAGAAGTAAACAGCCGGCTTGATTCGAATATCTCTACCGGTGCAAGGCCGGAAAAAAAGAACCGAAATTCTTCCTTGATTGGTGTAGTCCTCGTTAAGCTCTCTGCTCATAAGTTTTAGACATCTTTCTAGACTTCAAGATCATAGATTGTTTGCCATTGATATACACACGTTTTCTCCTTCGAGACGCATGCACGAGAGTGAAAAATGAAATGACTTGTCGAATTTAGTTCGGCCCTGACGAGTGTCGACCGCTGAGTGTGTCGAATCCTCTAACCCGGCCGTTTTTCTGTGTGAACAGATGTTGGTCTATCGTCTAACTTGACGCATTTTAACAGGTCTATGATGCATTTTGAATCCTCATTTTTACCAGAATCCGAACCACCCCTTCGAAATTTCCCTCCTTAATACCAGATACTCCTAGTCCTGTGATGCGGAATCACTTCCTCGCCTGCGCTTTCTTTCTTCTTTGCCAAGTCATACAGGAAGAAATCGATCAAGATGGCGTTGACGGTTGAATTCGGCCGAAGGGCTAATATCTCCCGACGGATGAGCTCCACTGCCCAGATACTGCATCCACGGATTTGCAACTCCCAGGAGTGTCCAGAGGTAATCGGTTTGAGTTCCCTGATGTGCTTTTCGAGTGGTGGACAGTACGATATACAACCCAGCGAATGAAGCATCTGGGGGACGCGGTAGTCTCATATCTGTTAGTCCCAGCACTTGCAATTCAAATACTCGAAATCGACATACCTGCAAACATAGTGATTTTGTCTATGTCGGTGAATTGGCCGAAGCCCTCGCCGTCGAATGCAGCCCACAGATCGGCCACAAAGATCTGCGCTCTCTTCAAGAAGCGCACCTTCTTTCTCTCGAACTTGCCTTCGTCTTTGAAGCACGGGAAACGGTCTGCAAGAATGTTGACGAGTCTAGCCGCCGAGTGTTTTGCATCGTCAATCAGGATGGCGACACTGCTGTCGAATTCCTATAATGTTAGGTCATTGATCGCACCAAAGTTCCCCAACAAGCAGTAACCGTGATACGCACCTCTTCTAGTATTTGCCCTGCTTCACGAAGGCAACGGGCACGTTCCTCAAACAAGGGAATCTCCTCTTCCGTATCTGGTCTGAAGATGTTGCGCAGCACTTCATCAGTGCATTCCTCTTCATTGGCCCAGAACGATGGCGTAGTGATAGGGATTCCTTCGTCAAGCGCTCGCTGCAAAGCAGCCACAAGACTCCAGTAGCCCGTCCACCTCTGATCCCGATACCTGACCGCAAACCTCTCCCCCTCGCTCTTCTCACTCCAGAAACTGAAGTTCAAAAGATCCATTGTGAAAATAAAATTCACCGTGCTCTCATCCTTCGCTTTCGGATGCAGCACGTGTTCCGTCCACGTCTTCGTGCTGTACCTCTGCTCTTCCATCTGCTTCAGAATCTCAATGGCCGCCACCTTCGTATGCCGCATATCCAGCGCCACATCGACGCTGTTATTGTAAATGAACTCGGCATCCTTCAGTACCCCGGTCTCGGGCGGCGCATTGGGATCCTTGGGACCCCATCCCAGGGATTTCCTCAGCAAGTCCAGCAATTCGTGATCAACCTCGTCATCCGACATGTTTGTTCTTGTGAGAGTTTTCGAATATTCACCGCCAAGCAATATGTCCCCTGGGCCTGGGCCTTTGGACTTTCCTCACCGCCAAGAGTTCGCGGCTTCGCCCACGTGCATGCGGCTGGTTTCGCCAGTAACGGTTTAGCGCGATCCCACGTCCTGGCGCAGATCGCAATCCACAGCCCGGAGAACGCACGGCCTCCTCACTTTCATCATTGACCTTCGTTGCGTGCCTCGAGACCTTCTTCACCCCTCTCTCACCTCCATCCATGCGCCATCCTATCTAACTATCTCACACTCACTAAAATGTCTCGCGACAAATACGCGAAACAGAGCCTGGGCTCCGTCCACGCGCGTATCAAACAGGTACAGCCGCTCCATCGCTTCAATTGCGCCGCCCAGCCCTCTCGGACGTCATACTGACCCGTTCCCAGTCGCGCGTGCTGATGGTGGGCGCCGGCGGCATCGGCTGCGAATTGCTCAAGAATCTCGTCCTCACGGGTTTTGGAGAGATACATGTGGTGGATCTGGATACCATTGATCTGAGCAATTTGAATCGGCAGTTTCTGTTCCGGAATGAACATATCAAGAAGTCGAAGGCTTTGGTGCGTATTTTACCCTGACTTTGCATGAGCTTCGTTCTGTGACGTGGAACCTAACATGGGTGCGACAGGTTGCGAAGGAGTCTGCGCAGAGATTCAATCCGAACGTGAAGGTCGAGGCGTACCACGATAACATCAAGGATCCCAGGTTCAACGCCGCGTGGTTCAAGAGCTTCGATATCGTCTTCAATGCGCTGGATAACCTTGAGGCTAGGCGCCACGTAAACAAGATGTGTATTGCGGCGGATGTACCTCTGATTGAGAGCGGCACGACGGGGTTCAATGGACAGGTGCAGGTCATTCGGAAGGTGAGATCAATTATGCATGTAGCATGATCCAAACTAACGTTTCATAGGGCATAACTCCCTGCTATGACTGCGAACCCAAGAATCCGCCGAAAAGCTTCCCCGTCTGCACAATCCGAAGTACACCAAGCCAGCCCATCCATTGCATTGTATGGGCGAGAAGCTACCTTTTCACGGAGATATTCGGGACGAGCGAGGATGATGCGCCGGAGATGGACCAGAGTGAAAGTCCCGAGAACGCGGCTGAGATAGAGAAGTTGCGACAGGAAGCCAAGGCCCTCCAACGAATACGAGAATCTATGGGTTCGGCCGAGTTCCCACGATTGGTCTTCAACAAAGTATTCAAGGAGGATATCGAGCGCCTGAGGAGCATGGAAGATATGTGGAAAACCAGGAGAGCTCCTGTGCCACTGGACTTCGACGAGCTCTCAGAGGCGGCCTTGGGGGTTGGCGATACAATCGTGCATAAAGATCAAGTGGTCTGGACTTTGGCGGAGAATTTTGCCGTCTTCCTGCACAGCTTGAAGAGGCTCAGCGATCGGTTGGAGGAGATCAGGGCCAACAGTCACGCGGAGATGGGGAACGCGCCGCCCATCTTGACATTCGATAAGGACGATGTGGATACTCTCGATTTTGTTGCGGCGAGCGCAAATCTTCGATCACATATTTTCGGCATTGAATCCAGGTCAAAGTTCGATATCAAACGTACGTATATACATCTCAAAGACGGCGTTGTTGTGAGACTAATTGAGATAGAAATGGCGGGCAACATCATCCCCGCGATTGCGACGACCAACGCCATGACCGCCAGCCTGTGTGTCCTTGAGGCGTCCAAAGTTCTACGCGACGATATTTCCAACACCAAATCTATCTTCCTTACACAGCTAGCGGATCGGGTCATTAGTAGTGGACCTCATGGACTGCCGAATCCTAATTGTCCAGTTTGCAGCGCTGCACAGACGACCCTAGTGGTGGATCCCTCGCGTGCCACTCTGAATGACCTGGTAGAAGGTTTACTCCGTGTGGAATTGGGTTACGGCGAGGAATTCAGTATCCAGAGCGAAGCCGGCATTCTTTATGATCCGGAAGAGGACCAAAACCTTCCCAAGACGTTTGGCGAGCTCGGGCTGAAGGAAGATACCTTCATTACGGTAATCGACGAAGCCGACGACAACACAAAGGTCAACCTTGTCCTTTCCATCTCGGAGAAGCCTCTCGACAAGGACGCGAAACCGATCCAGTTGCCAGAGAAACCCAAGATCGGTACGAAGGCTAAAGAAGCGCCTCAGATTGAGAGGGACGGCGAACCTCCGGTGACTAATGGTCACGGTCACGGAAAGAAGCGTGGCGCTGCGGAAGCTGATCTCTTGGACGCGGAGGTGGCGAAGAAGAGGGGGAAGGTCGCTGCTGCGCCCGACGACGATATTGTCATCTTGGACGACGCCGAGGAGGGCGCAATTGTGCTCGACTAGGTTTTATTCTTTCTGAAACCGAAACCGCTTCCTAAGCTCAGCGGCGCTTTTGGCTCCATTGGTTGGCGTTGCACCTTGGCGGCTTGTATTATTCAAACGATTTTTCTTTCTTTCGAGCCTGAACGCATAGTTTTGGCGCGAGGCGTTTGGTAGGGGTTGGCTTTGGTTTATGGGATATACCTGGGTGATTCCATCTCCTTGTCATAAAGGAGATGGGAAATTCTTAGGTCGCACTGAGGCCACCGTCGAGATTGACGACGCAGTTCATCGCATACTGGTTCCGGATGAGGAAAAGCGCTGCATCAGCAACTTCTTCTGGTTTGCCGAACCTTCCGGCGGGGATTTCGCTCAGGAGGTTGGGAGCGTGCTTCAGGTCTGTGTGTATTAGTAGTTGAAAGGCCGCTATTTCAGAAATGAAGGCTCGCAGAGGAATTGATAGACTCTGCTTTCACCTTGTACTTCCGCGTTGGTCTTCACTTACCCGCCGTCATGTCGGTGGAAATGTAACCGGGTACTATGGCGTTGACCCTTATACCACTCCTGCCCACTTCCAGCGCCAGCGCTCGGGTGAATCCTACAATAAGTCAGTCATACAAGACCACTCAAACCTCCATCTCCATCTCCACCGCACACGCACCCAAAACCCCGGCCTTTGACGCCGCATACGCAACCGCCCCCTTCCCGCCCTTGACACCCAGCAGACTGGCCACATTGACAATCGCCGGCTTGAACACCTCCGCGTCCTCCCCTCTTTCTCCCCCCTTGGCCGCCGCCCCCTTAACCCCAACAATCACCTGCTTCCGGAGCAAATACCTCGTCCCCACCATCATAGCCGTGAGATTCATATCCACGACGTTGCGAATCTCCCCCGGCCTCGTCCGCATGAACAAGCTATTCTGCGCCACGCCCGCACAATTGACCAACACGTCGATCTTCCTGTTGCTGGCGGCCAGGTCCCCCGCGTCGACGCCCAATTTATGCGCGATGGCTAGGTCCCGCGCGCGCAGCTCGTCCCATTCGGCGCCGAACTCGTCGTCGGTCCAGAAATTGGGCGCTGAGATGTCCCCGGCTATGAACGCGTGTTGTTGGTGCGGGGGCAGGTGGGAGGATTCGAGGGTTTGCACGGCGGAGGTGAGGGAGGGGCGGGAGCGGGAGAGGAGCGTGCAGCGGTAGGAGTGGGCGGAGAGAAGGCGCGCGATGGAGAGGCCGATGCCTCGGCTGGAGCCGGTGATGAGGGCGTGGCGGAGGGGGGGTGAGGGGGGCATTTGTGGTTTCGGTAGAGGCGGAGATATGGGGAAGATGAGGCGGGGATTCAAGATTGTGGTGATGTGAGGTGAGAGCCCTGGAGCGAGGTGCTTGACGCGAAAACACGTGCGCACGCGTTGAGGCGTTAGGGCGTCGAGGCGTGGCGTTCGTTTATTCTTGGGGTGCACGACGAAGTCCAATACCTGGAGATTGCAGCGCAGGCTTCTCTTCTCCAAACTCGTCAACTGACTGCACATCAACGCACAATCTCAAATTTCCACTCATTGCCGGTTCCTGCACATCACATCGTCTTCCAAACCCCCTCTTCGCCCACAATGCCCACGCCAGAACCCAGCGAATACGTGACAATCGTCTCATCAGACGGCTTCGAATTCAAGATCCTGCGGTCCGCGGCGTGTATATCCGGGGCGCTGAGGAAGGCTTTTGACCCAGCTTGTGAGTAGTAGTTACCCCCGAGTTGCCTCTCCCAATCATTCACTTCCCAAGAAAAATATGCGCATGATATGGTGTAGTGCTGCGTCGCTGACAAAGGACCAACAGCTGGATTCAGAGAGCAAGTCGAGAGTCGGTTCGTGCTGGAGAATTTCCCGTGAGTATACCGCCCTTCTTCCTTTTCTTAATTTCCCCTGTTGCCCAGAACGTCTCCTAAAACTAACACCTCACAGCGGCGTCGTCGTTGAGAAAATCTGCGAATACCTGTACTACAACCAGAAGTACGCAGAAGCAAAGGACGTCCCAGATATGGAGATCCCGGCGGAGCTGTGCCTGGAACTGGTGACGGCGGCGGATTATCTGGACTGTTGACGTTGAGAAAAGATGAAAGGGTGGAAGACTGTAGTGATGGCTCCGAACTTGAGCCGTGGAATGGGGAAAAGGGAGCAATGACTGGTTTGGGAAAGAGAGTAATGTGATTATGACGGTTCTATCCTTTACACGTCGTTACGACGGAACAGGAGTTGCAAGATGGAAGAGAGGGTTTTCATTCGAGGAACAAGGAGGTGTTTTTCAACAGAGAGGCATCACACGGCGCACGGAGTCAAACAGGTCAAAATCAGGTCGAACTCTCAGTTATACGTGCATCTGCATGGATAAGCACGTTCTGCACCCCGCTTCCACTACCTTCGAGATTCTCGTGCCGCCCTACCCAACTTCCAGGAATCCCAAGAACCCCCTCCCCGTCTCTCTCCCCCATTCTTCCCACCACCAGGCCCTCTCCTCTTCCACCGCCCTACGTCCCTGTTCTCATCATTCCCCCTTACACACTCATTCTTCTCCTTCTTCTTCCCCCTCGCCGCCTCACCACTACTATTTTTCCCAACCTTCTGCTTCGTATCATTTAACCACCCACGCCGCCAACTCCACGGTAAAACGACGTCTTCCATTTCTCGAGACGACGACTCCACGGAGATCTTCTTGTAGCGGACCTCCCATTTTAGATAGCGGCTACCCGGAGATACCGAGGGAACGCGGACACCCAGGGTAGGTAAGGCGAGAAGTGTTTCTTTCTCTTGCTGGTACTCCGCGGTTGTGGTGGTAGATTTGTCGGAAGAGGAGGCAGCGGATCCAGTGCCAAGGGAAGATCGAGGCCTGCGAAATAGCGCAGGAATGGTTGTCCTCAAATCGGCCGGTTTGAGAAAGCCTAGCTGCGGTAGCTTGACCCGAGCCTGGTCTTCCCTTCTCTCGGATGAAGGAGAAACGCCTTTCCCACTAGACAGCAAACCCACAACCTCCTCATCCGTCAACATACGGACTACAACGTCATCCCCGCCTTCTAAGCGGTTCTCAACACGCAGCCAGAATCTGTCATCGAAGAGGTGCCATGTTGTCGCTGAGCTTGGATCTAGTGACGTGTTGGGAATGGTGAGTCTGAGAGAGGCCGAGTCCTTTTCCTTTGTGTCGAGGGGTTGTCGCGAGAGGAGGTAGATGTTGTCCTCCTCGTTCGTATTGCTTTGATACCAGTCCGCGGAGAACGACGACGGAGCGGATAAGATGGCAGATACGGTCGGGTCCTGCCGGGCGCGAGAGGGCAGGGCGTTTCGGCGGAACCAGATGCCGAGCACGCATAAGTTTGCGGACGATGACGAGGGTGATGCCTTGCTGGTGTTTTTCGTGGTCGCGGTTTCGTTCTCGTCAAGGCGAAGAGCGGGCCAGACGTGATCCACCGCCGCGGACAGTTGGCCTATGGAAGGCAAGTCTTTGGGGCTGACGAGCTCGGCGACGCGCTGAAGATAGAGGAATGCTGTGTTTCTTGCGGCGTTTCGATCCGAGCGTTTGCTTAAGTCGCCTGCTTGGGATGCTAGGAAGGCCGATGCCGGCGGGAAGCGCACGATGAGCGAACCGGTTTGGATATCCAGCGCGAGAGGAGTCTTGTCAAATATCTTCTCAGCTTGCTGGCGATGCGATTCCACTCGGCGTTGCATGCGTTGGGCGAGGGAGATCAGGGACTTGCTGGTGAGGGCTTCCGGAAGATGATGATTCTGCAGGATATGTCGTACCGCGTTGCGCGTCGTAAAGGTAGGGATATGGTTGGTTTTGTCTTCGGCCCAGGGGATGGAGTTGGCTTGACAAGTTGCTATGAGGCGGGATTTCTCAAAGGTAAGCAATGGCCGTAGAATTTGAATGCCCCCTTTTTCGATGAGGAAGGGAATTGGCGGTCGATTGGGTGTGGTCTTCTTGATATCCGTCCTCGTTAGAGGCAAGCCATTGGTGTCTCCGCTGTGATGGACCCCATGGATACCATGGCACTCCGGGATCCATTCCACACTATGCATGCCCTGAAGACCCGACCGAAGCCTCCCTTTAACGAGCCTCATCATGATGGTCTCAGCCTGGTCGTCTCCATGGTGCGCTACCAGTAGCGCGTTTATCCCATGGTCTCTGCATGTCAATCCCAGTGCTTGATATCTCAGGCGACGCGCCACCGACTCGAACTTCTGGAGATTTCTGGGATCCACGTCGTCCGGCCATGTGAGGGGAATAATCGTGGAGGGTATTTGCACTGGATCGTGTGAGCTCCTAACCGTCAGTCTATGGGCGTCAGGGTCCAATCTCACATTTCTCGCGCAATTGCTCAGCAACCCATTCCGCCTCCTCAGTGCTCTCCAGTCGTACTTTATGATCAATGATGATCGCATGCGGTTCCGCCAACGAACCATCCATCCGATAAGATTGCGTGTACAGAGTCGCAAGAGCCATGGAATCAACTCCTCCACTGATAGCCAGACCTTCTTGTTGTCAGCGTCCGGAAAGCTACTAGAATACTCAAGGTCGATTCTCACCCATAGTCCTGCCAGTCGCATGGGGATACACATCGTCCAAAGCCCTCGCAAACTCCTCCCGGCTCACCGGCTCAGCCGTCACACTGCTATACCATCTCTTCTCCCACGCCCTTCCCCAAGCAACAGTCCGCTTGACAGCGGAACCTCCTCTCCGCACAACAACGCCATACCATCCCAACATATACACCTACACCATCCGGCTCTTTCGAGACTCAGTCTTGGAGAAAAAGGGAAACAATGGACGGTGGGACCAATGGACGCGAATCCCTCGGTAGACGTTCGCGTGCCTTCGGAATCTTTTTTCTGGGTTGCGGCGGAAAGCAATGAGAGCAGACGCACGAGCCACCTTCGGACTCCCGTTCTCGAATTTTCCAAGACGGCGCGCATAAAACATTGCATACCGAGCTTCAAAGCTACAACTTCCTCATTAAGTTTCTCAACGCCAATCATCCATCCCGCGCCTCTCAATCCCTCTATTGCTGCACGCCATCATCTTCGCCTGCTCTCAGAAACCACCAATTGAACAAAATGGTACGCCCCTGCTGCCCATCCGAGAGCTCCCAAGCTCGAGCTTCGTTGCAGTTCCCCAACAACAACAATCCCCAATCCCCCCTCCCACGAATCATCGAAACTAACATCTTCCTCCTTCTCTCACAGTCCGCCCTCAAATCCATCCGCTCCATCGCGCCCCTCCTCGACCGCATCCTGGTGCAGCGCATAAAGCCCGAGGCCAAGACCGCAGGCGGCATCTTCCTGCCCGAGAGCGCGGTCAAGGAGCTCAACGAGGCGAAGGTGTTGGCTGTGGGGCCTGGCGCTCTGGATAAGGATGGAAAGAGGATTACGCCGAGCGTGCAGCCGGGTGATAAGGTGTTGATTCCGCAGGTATGTGGGTTTTTGATGTAGTCGTTATTGCATGGGTGGAGCAGACGAGGAGGAAGAGGGTTGAGATCGAGGAAGATGGAGGAGCGGGGATGGAAGATGAGGTACAAGAAGGGGAGGAGCCAAATAGCGGTCGACGTGATGAAAACAGCACGCACAACCCTCAATGATGGATGAAGACGCTAACGACACCCTCCCAGTTCGGCGGCAGCCCCATCAAGGTCGGCGAGGAAGAATACACCCTCTTCCGCGACCACGAGTACGTTCCCCCTCATCCCCTTCTCTTACAGCCTCACCTCCTAACAGCAATCCCAGACTCCTGGCCAAGATCAACGAGTAGACGTCGCCTCTTCCACACCACTTTATTATATACCATCATCGCCTTTCACATCCTCCCTCCCAATGTCCTAATGCCCTAGTACCATGTTTCTGATCATGTACTTCTACCCTGTACCACTACTATCGACCTCGCCCTCTTGCGCTAGCGTTTGCTGTCGGCATCTGGGAAAATGCATGTCCTCTGAATCCGCGCAAGATAAGCACTGCTGAAGGGAGCGTCATCTTTCACTTCTACTGTACGTAGTTGGACCGATTTACTACTGGGTGACGGTGAACCCGGGATGTGCAATAGTAAAGAAGATCTCTGCTCCCTCTGAGAAGCTCCATATGGCCCAGTTCATCTCCGCTCTCATGACCCTATTTGTGTTCAGAACTGTACCCACACGCAACACCGAGACGCAGAGCCCTGATAGATTTCCCCGATATAATAATAGTATTCTTTCTGCAGTTAACTGTGTTGTACAGCGCACTTCGCCGATAGATATACTCTGACCAGAGCAGCATTCCCATCCAAACGCCACGCTCCCAGGCCAATATGCATCATCAAATCAAGTATAACGAATATTCTATGAATAAGGAACTCGGAGTAGTGTTCATTGCAATGTGCTCCTTATGCGGCGAGCCTGAAGGAACGGGTATCTTGTGGTATATGCGATAGGAAAGTCGACCGAGTGACGGTGAGTTTAGGGGGCTAGGTGGTGGATGTATGGCGCCGAGGAGATCGAGAGCGGTATCGTGTAAAGCCTTACGTTTTCCCGAGGTCTAGGGACGCAGTTTCCATGATACAGGTATATGACAGGTAAGTTCCTGTACTGTGTCGATTGTCGATAGTACGTTGCGGATACTCAAGGAATGCCAATGACCTTCTTCGATTTGTCGTAGACAACATACGTGATAGACACAGCCGGGACGACCTTCAAGAGGTTGGGCGTCAGGCCCTTGTAGAGCCCTCTTATGCCCTCGCCTCGTATCGTTTGCCGCGTAACGTCCATGATTCCAGTGTAGGTTCGCGGATGGAGGATGGTGCCCTGACTTTGGAGACGAGTCCGAAGAAGATTGAGGGGATACACGGCACTGGCTCCTATAGCGCCCGATAATCCGCCTATGGCTGCAGTCAGAAAGCCCCCGGGCTGTGCATCCTCTTCATGGCAGCCAAGCTTCTTTGCACTCCTCACCGTGATGGCGCGCTTGAGATATTCAAAGGTCCCGAGATCGAGTGCAGCGTACGGAAAGATGCCGAAGAGACCCATGGGTAGTCCTCGGTAATACGCAACAATACCTCCGGTGGTCCACATCTTCTTCGCTGTCGCTACGATAAGACGGTTGCCGTGCAGACCACCGGAGACCAGCTCGCATTGCATGCGAAATTTGAGCGTGTCAATGGGATAGACAGCAAACTGGGAGATCATGCCTCCAATACCGCCCGAAACAAACTTTGACCATGATTCAATGCGGGTGGGGTCATTATGGCCTTCGAGTTTAGCGAACAGCCGTTTCGCAGCTTCGTAAGAACCGAACTTGATGGCGGATTCCGGCATGACCTTTATCACGTTCAAGCCATTTCCTACAGGTTCAGTAAGCTAGGATAGACAGTGAAGCGGTTAGACTCACCAGCATAGAGACTGCGCACACCACCGGCCTTCCATAGCTCCTTCGTCGCGGCAGCTAATGGTCTCCAGGAATTGATGATGGCTCGGTAAATGTTTCCAGACCTCGCTGCGGCAACAGCTTCCTGAGCGACGTCGGTTTGGGCGATGAGGTAGACTTTGAGGCGGTCGAGAGGGGCGGTTGAGGTGCGAGATACGATTCCGGCTACACCTCCCGCCACGAAATAGCCTGGATTCGGGACACAAGCAATCAGCACGGATTTGAAGCTATCCCAGAGCGAATCCTGCGCCTCCAGGATGAGGATTTCAGGGGCTGAACGGAGATCGGTAGGGCGTGGCGGGAGGGCTTTGGAAACTGAGGACAGCGAGGCTGCAGGAGATGCAGCCACCTCAGACATATCGAAGGATGCCATGAAAGTAGGGGAAATGGGATGCTGGGGTCGTGAACCTGCCACGAGAAAAATGGAACCGAAGAAGACGCGAAGAAACTTTTCTGCTATACCTAATCCTTGGATTGTGTCGTCGCTCACGATCACGTCACCCTCCAGATTCATCTTCACCGTTGCGGAAAAGTATGATAGAACGGCCCGAAGGGTCGGGGCTGTGACTGGGATGAAAAGCAGAAAATCCCTGAGAAGAAGTGTCAGTGAAGTGAACCTGCATCATCTGGTCCATAGAGGGACGTCATCCGGTGAGCGCATAATGCACCGCACACGTGAACATCGCGCAAGTCCAAGCCGCCCCCGAACGCTTTGAGTATAGGCGCCGCACTGTCTACTGTGTATACGAAAGGCAATCCTTACCGCCATTCGTCAAAAGTGATAACTCCATCATGATTGGTATCGACTCCGAGGAAGAAGTTGTCCAACTTGGAATTGGGCACAGCAAGCCCGGCCTGTCTGAATGCGAGTCTAAGCTCGTCTTTTGAGATCTTGCCATCACCATTACGATCGATGCTCTTGAAAAGAACGAGTAGCTCCTTTTCGGTCTTCTGTACAAAACTGCGGAACTCTTGAATGCGTTCGGGTCAGCTTTATGTTGGCGAGGCTCGACTAGTTTCGCTGACCGTTGTATTGTATGCACCCATCCCCATCGGTGTCGACGGCGGTCATCACATCTGACAGTAGATGGTCGGCGTTCTTCAAGGCTGTTGACGTCTTAGTTCGTGGACGCTCCAGGCATCGAAGGACGGCCGTACGGTGATCTAATTTCCGCAACCCCCTTTTCAAACCCGCCATATCCACCTTGCCCCGTTTCCTTGTATCCAGCGTCGCCCACAGCGCATCCACGCGCGCATCTTGGGCGTCCGCACTCTCGGTGTCCATCGTTCGGCGGTTCTCTATCGATGGTGTTCTTGCATGGCTGGAGGTCGTGACGCGCAGTGCAGGCAATCTATGCTTTCACGCAAGCAGCGACTGCTGGCAGAACCGTAGCAAGGTATAAAAATTGGTCCATGGGACGGAAAAGGATGAAAGGCGGCGGGGTCCACGCTGAGTACAAGTAGGTATGATGTTATGTCGAAGTTTCAAGCACGAGCCCTATATCCGAAAGGGCTTAGTGCGAGAGCGCCTTGGCAAATGCGGCCCCAGCGGCTCGGTTGATGGAGCCTATCCGTAGCCTCCATTTCACATCCTCAAATTCACCACTCCTCGATGACCTTTCAGCGTCCTGTTATAGGCCAACAGGCCGTGACCTTTAGTTGGAAGCGTCTGTACTTCCAACAGCATACTCACACAGCATAACACAGACCTTTTTAGGTCATTGTTCCACTTCGAATGCATCGTCCAAAAAAACAGCGCCATGGCAGCCAACTACTGGGAATCGACGCAGCGCAAGTTCTGGACCTTCACCAGGCAAGATCTCGCACAGGAACGCAAGAAACTCGAGGAGTCTGAACGCAGCCTCGTCAACGCTTTTCCCATGCCAGACCGGAGACACCTGAGCATATACTTTTCTAATCGTGGGTTGCCCTTCCAGGGCGCGGCACCCCCACCTATCCCGTGCTGACGGAATTGCTCCAGAACTTACAAAGATGGCTAGACCTCTTGCTATCCGCCAGCAAGCAATGGCCACCGCTCAGGTCTACGTTCGAAGATTCTACACGAAAGTGGAGATCCGGAGAACGAACCCATTGCTTGTGCTTGCGACTGCCCTCTATTTGGCTTGCAAGATGGAGGAATGTCCTCAGCACATCCGAATCATTCTGGCAGAAGCTCGCCATTGCTGGGGTATGTTAAGAGATGGAACCTCCCCTGCATCCGTTGACGTGGCTCTCAGATGCATCTTTCAACGACATATCCAAGATCGGGGAGTGTGAATTCACCCTCATTTCTGAACTGAATTCCCAGCTTATCGTCCACCATCCCTATCGGAGCCTGGCCGAGTTGCAAACGCAGTTCCAGCTCACCCAGGAGGAAAACAGCCTGGCGTGGTCCATCATCAATGATCACTATCTGACAGATCTCCCCCTCCTCCACGCCCCTCACGTTATCGCCATCACAGCACTGATACTGGCCGTTGTGCTCAAGCCGACGCAGAGCGGGTACCAGTTGCATGCTGCAGGCGTAGCCAACGCGCTGCAGACTCTAAGCAACGTCGGCAACGCTCGAAATGCTGAGGGACCGGGTTTTCCGCCCCGGTTACAAAAGCTGATTGACTGGCTGGCCGAGAGTAGCGTCGACATTGAGGCAGTCATAGAGTGCACCCAGGAGCTCATCTCGCTTTACCACGTATGGGACGATTACCAGGAAAAGGCAGTCAAGGATGCAATAGCAAAGTTTGTCAAGGCAAGAGACTGAGCAAATAGGCATCTCAAGGAGAAGCTTCAGAAGCCAAATCCGCCTCTGCACAAGAGCATCTGCAGACAGAAATTGGCCATGGTGTCGAACTCAAGTCGACAACCGTACAGAGAACCTACATTCGAGATTTATATACCGGCCATCGGCAGGAAGAAGAGATATGGCTGATCCGCTTGTGCACATCACAGACGAACAGTCGATGGGAACCAGCGTGGCAGGCTGGTATTGAGGATACCGTATTCGGCGACTTTCGGGATTGATTGGAGCCAGGGATCCTGTACAATGATGACATAGGGACCAGGACCGATATTGCGGTCCATATAAAGGGACGCTTGGGTGCACGAGAGGGGTCCAGGGAACAGATGGGTTTCGAGCCTTTGGTTAACGAAAGCGCTTTGGGCTGACTTGACTGGGTCCATTCTGATCTGTCAGGGTCTCGCGAGGAATGGTGCCTATATCGATCAGGTGGTGGGCAAAATGGATGGGACAAGGTCCAGGCTTGTCGGACTTGTCGAACGGTGGCAGCAGCGGCAGTTGCGGAGGCTGACAGGTGAACTGACCACGACCATGTCGGCCATATCAGGGTATGCAGAGGAAGGGAGGATGCAGGCCAGAGCCACCTACGGGGAAAGCGTACTGTGGTAGGTGGTTCACGAGACAGGGACGGGTCCGTCGCTTATCTTCAGATTGATTGGTTCCGGGACCAGCGAGCGGTGTCAGCGAAAGTGTGGCAGGCCGCCGAGCAGCTCACCCCGGGCCATAACAGATGGAGAGAGGCTGAGGTGATGAGGGAGGGGGTGGGGATGGGCCACAACCACAACCCCAAGTCGAAGGCAAGTGATGCAGCGAAGCTTGGCGGGAGTTCCCGTGCGAGTAATAAGAGGCGCCGAGCTTGGAGATTGCAGCGAATGATGGCAGAGTTGGGCAGAGGACGGGTTGGTGTTTGGGTTTCTAATTCGAGGCAGCTCCAAAGGGGGCGGTTGGTCAGGGTCTGCAAGGCAGGCACCGAAAGGGTGTCGGCCGGTCACATAGGGGAAAAGGGTTCTGCAACTCCAGCGTCCCACGGCCAGCAAGCAGAGAGGGTGCATCGTCTGGAATCATGGCCACCGAAACACGATCAGGGCCTCGCAACAGCAGCTTGTTGAGAGCCAGGCTTTCACGCCATGGAAGGACCAGTGACGTTCAGCTGTGGGGTTCTGGACACGATGGAAAAACGGGAATTGCAAGCGATCAGCGGTCGCTGGAACGCCGGAACGGGTTGCAAAGTTGCCACAACAGGTGCTGGTCAGGGCTCCCCGCGCACTGTCGGGGTTCTCGAGGCGCTGAGGGCTTGGCGAGGGGTAGTTGAAGTTTGAAGAGGACAAGCATGGGAGAAAGAGAGGCGGGAATGCAGGAAAGAAGAGAGCTTCCCCCGCCGTCCAGCCCACTCGCAGGTGGCTGCAGAGGAGGAGCCCAGCAGGAGCAGATGTGGGAACACGAGCGGTCAGAGGCATGCAGGCTGGGGGACCAGAAGGCTGTGTGCTTGTGTGTGTGTGTGCGCCCCTGTGTGCTGGCGGGTGGGGGAAGGGGGGCCAAGTCGAAGCCCTTTCATTGGGTGTTTGACATTACGGTTACTGCGCCTCTTGCACCCTCTCCCCCAGCCCAGGCCACACACCTCCAGCTGAGCGCTGCGGGGTTTTCCCAGCTGCTCTCTGTGCTGCTGCTGCTGTGTGCTAAAAGGGAATTCGGAAAATCGCAGACTCGAGAGAGCTTTGTCGAAGAGAAGATCAGGCCAGACTCGAGCTTCGGGGAGATTGGGGACCTGCCTGTCCTCCGGGCCTTGCAGAATCACCAACCTCAGAGAGTGCTGCGAAAGACCCCCCGACCGACCGTGGCCCCTGCTCTTCTCTGGTGCTTTCCATGACTGGCCAACGCTGATATGCACCGGCTGCTGAGCGGTCCCTGCTCCATCTGCGTGGCGAACCCTGCAGCCAATGAAAACTCGTCCACTTGCGACCGTGCTCACTCTACTCCCCTTACGGCCTAGTTCGAGATACAACAACTCAGCCCTTTTGAGGTCCGCCCACCCTCCCGCCATCCAGTCTCGCTCTCCCACCTCTCTCTGTCTCTCAGCATTTGCCTCTCGCCATCTCTGCCCATCATCCGCTCTCGTCCATCTCATCGACTTTTCATCAAAACGCCGTTTAATCCTCCATTGCGCTTCAGTTGACCCTCGACCTGATCCTCCTACCAATCCGCTACCCCTAATCCTTGGCTTTGTGCTTTCGCCTCCGCCTTTGTTGTCCTCCCCCTCCTGTTTGGTTATCGTCGACCCTTCGCTCTCTCCTCCATCTCTCGCCTCTCTCGCCATGGCGCAATTTTACAATCCAACTGCTCAACAGCACTATCCCGCCGCCCATGTGGGTTCCTATGCCCACAACCCTGCACACTACGGAGGCCGCCAGCGACGAAAGACCCCAGGCGCCGCACAGCACCAGAAGCAATTCCGTCAGGCCCGCCCCGTGAGGGAGGCCGTGGATTCGGCTGCTCTCAAGGCTTTTATTCGTGATTTTGAAGCCGCTCGCGGCTTCGACGTCGAGGATGACGAGCAGTTTTGTCCCTTCCATCTCCTCACCGAGGACGATGTAAGCACAACCACTAAAAGCTCCCCGTGAGCCAGCGCTGACCTGCCTTGCACAGCTGCAGTCCATTCACTCTGGATCCGATCGATCTTCCCTTTCCAGCGGTTCCCCTGAGCAGTCACCCCTGCAGCATCAACTCCAACCCACCCCTACCTTCGTTCTTTCGTCCGTGCCGAATCCCTATGTCCCTTCTGGTTACCAGCAAGCCGCCACGCAGACCGGTAAACAGCGCAGCTCTCGTGCCGTGCCCATCATGGATCCCAACACCCGGGATGTTGTCAGCCCTCGCACCAGCCCCCGGGGCTCCCACGCTGTCCCCATCATGGATCCGAGCACAAGGGGCGTCGTGAGCCCATCATCATCCGCCTCTCCCACCCCTCACCGTCAAATGCAGCAACAGTTCGTCTCCCGCCGCTGGTAAAGTGGTGTGGACTGGCGTGTGGTGAGGGGTGCTCTCTATGCTGGGCATTGCGGCGTCCTTGTGCGAACTAGTGGCTACCTTTCTGACGCTGGACTCGTCCTCTTGTCCATCCCTTTGAATCCTTCGAGAATCTAATCGCTAACCTATGATACCTCCGGAAGGATTCTTCGTCTATATCATCGACCTACTTGTACAGTTTATCGATATCCTTCTCGACTTGTTGGGTATACCACTCTGTCCGGACGACGGCGTTGCATTCTAGTGAAGCATTTCCCATTGATAGAGAGCTCCTCCTTTCCACGTCAGTTACGCATCACAGGTTCGCAATGTCCTCGGTGTTTGGGTCGCATTTTCCGGATTCCTTCCTCGACGCTTAAAGATTTAAAAAATTTCTACGGTTGCAGATAAAAGGTGCTTTCGCGCCCAACGTCCAACTTTTTATATATTGTCGCCCGGGTTCCGACTTGCTGGATCCTTTTCCGGACGGTAGATTTTCTTTTGTGCGATTCCACTTAGGGCGGCGACTATACCATGGCGCGATACACTCGGAAGCGGCGGTGTTGGAGCATTGGCAGGGTGCATTTTCACTTTTGGCGCGGGGTCTTTGGGTCAGACGGTCTGATGATACTACGTATGCGTGAGCGCTTTTTTTGTTTGGTCTTGGTGAGGAGCTACCCTGGATTGTCTTGCATGCTTTGTTCTCTCTATACTCTTTCAGTTAGTCGTCACGCCTCGCTTTTTGAGGGCAGTGCTATCTCAACCTGCAGGAGCGGTGCGATGTAAGGGGCGCCAGATGGCCAGGGATATCCCGTGCGGTCATCTGGTAGCTTGGCTTATGTCGTCCCTCGTGCGGGTTTTGGGATCTGTCTGTATGTATCTATCCATCACAACTGTTCAACGCAATCCTCTCTGAACGTAGTTGCAAGTGAGGTTTGGCTCCATCGAGGGTGTTGCGCTTGATGGGATGTCTTCGAGGGGTGGATTGCAGGAGATGGCTGTGAATGCGCGCGGTCCATATGGACTCAATGCAGCATCCGCTGCAAGCAAGATCCAGCATATTCCATCGGCACCTTCATGGCGCAGCAGCAAGATCGATACCGAGGACTGCATAACCAGGTGTCGTTGTACTATGCATCAACACTGGCAGGTAGGTGTACTAGTATACTGTGTGCTCTTCCTCTCAACCGCGCCTTTACTGCCTCTGCCAGCGTGTTGTGGGGCAAGGTTTAGCAGAGAAAATCATTTCACTATTCTCGGTGGGTGAATGACGAGAGCTGCACTGGGGCCGGCCATTTGCTGTCTGTCTCGACGTAATGGTGGGCCACTTGGATCCATACAAAGTTGTGACGTCATGGGTGGGAGCTCGCTGCCGAGGAATCAGCTTTCTTTCCTTCCACCGCAGCACGGAGGGAGGTACAAAGCTACACATACTCATTGCAAGCTCTTTTCTACTTTGTCCTCCAGTACTCATATTGACATCTAAGTCATCAATTGACTCCTCCTTCAGCTTCGATTGTCGGCCTTATTGCTGTTCGAGTTGCTGAGAGCTTACTTAGCTTGCTACCCTCTATATACCTCCTACCTTCCCCGCACGAAGCTATCCCTATCGTCGCAAACCGCCTTCAATTCACTTCCATCACACAGACCATAACAACACCGTCAATATGTCTGCTCTCCGCACCATTGCCGCTCGACGAACCCCCTTCCTCACACAGCGCGCCGCACTGCACCGGTCATCGGCGCTGTGGGCGGGCAAGGAAACACGGCTCAGTACGCCACGCCTTCCCCCTAAGTCCACAGCCATCATTCGCCTGAGTGGCTAACAAAAGCACATAGACACCGATGTATCAGGCCAGGACCTCGAGAACAAGAAGGAAGAACATTTGGACAAGCAGAAGAAGGGCGAGGGTCATTGGACGGAGGAGTTGGCGAGTGATAGTGAGAGTATTGTATGTCTGTCTATTCTTCTTTTTTCTTTTTTTTTCCCTTACTGGATCGCGCTTTCTGTGAGATGTGTTTGCTGATGAAGAGGAAATGCAGGTCAAGGCCGATCGGGGCGAGATTGATGCGTCCGAGGATACGATGAAGAAGTTACAGGATGAGACGAAGAAGGCTCAGAAGGGGCAGTAGGCAGTGGGAACGCTGGGGGTATTGAGCTGCGCGAGATTGCCAGATGGATAGGGGTGATTTGCTGGGAGTGAATGACTTGTTAAGCAAGTGTCTTGTTTGAGAACATTGATCGAGGGTACTGGGGAAAATGCTGAGAAGGAGATGGAGTTGTGATGGTGCGATTGCATATGGTTCTCTCCTAAAGAGATCATCTATATGCCATCATGATGAAAATGTACTCGCCGTCATTGGCGCCCATGGTTTTGGTAGAATCAAGTTGGCATGGTGTTGATTTCAAAGAATCAAAGAGATAGACCGGAGCACGCCGTCTACTCCGGAAGATGAAACTGTACCAGCTCGAAATGAAAAGCGCGCGTAACACTATCTAAGGTTTTCCAGCTCCACAATCCACATCCGTCTCTGCTCATAAAAATAAGATCGCAGGCAAACCCCGATTCCTTCCTTGTCTTTGAAAAGGTCGCCGAACCACCAGAGACTCTAATGGCGAACGCATCTAGTGTGACCCATCCATCAGATACCCCACGAAATGTAGTCAGCTACGTCATTCACCCAACAAACGCTTCAACAGCACGATCAGATAAGCGTAAATACAACGACCAAAACAACAAACAAACAACACCACATATCCCCTGCCTCCTCCCATGTCAAGCAGCGCAAACACAGACATCCTCATCGTACATCTCCCCCCCTCTGACCCCTCCCCACCCTTCCCCCAAAAACAACAGCCAGAAAGAAAGAAAAGCGCTAACCAACTTGCGATTTTCACAAACTTAGGCCGGCGCCATCGCAGCCTTCACCATCGACCTGCTCGTCTACCCGCTCGACACGCTCAAGACGCGCATCCAATCCCCAGACTATGCGAGATTATATCTTGTGGGAGAGACGGGGAGGTGGAATCGCGCGCTGTTCAGGGGATTGTACCAGGGGGTCGGGAGCGTGGTGTTGGCGACGTTGCCGAGCTGTAAGATTTCTTTTCTTGTCTTTGTCCTGTCTTTGGGTATTTCTGGGATATATGGAGAGAGGAGGGGGGTGTGAAGCAGTGGAGCTGCAGATGCAAATGCAGATGCCTATCTATGATATCTAGACCATGGGCTGACAGCATCTACCCGCAGCAGGAGCATTCTTCACGACGTACGAGCACGCCAAAGCCCTCCTGAGCACCACGGCGACGACACGAAACGCGCCATTCCTCCCCGCGCCCGTCGTCCACGCGGCCGCCTCGTCGCTGGCGGAACTGGTCTCGTGTGCGATCCTCACGCCCGCCGAGGTGATTAAGCAGAATGCGCAGATGGTAGACACATCATCACCCTCCTCCTCCTCCTCCTCCTCCTCCTCCTCCTCCAAACCCAGCACAACCACCCCTTCCAACCCCTCCGGCAACAACCGCCCAAGCGCCAACGCAACCCTCGTCACGCTCTCCAAATTCCGGCACCAGCCCCTCGCCCTCTGGCGCGGCTACACGGCGCTCGCCGGGCGCAACCTGCCCTTCACGGCGCTGCAGTTCCCGATGTTTGAGCGCCTGCGCGAGGCGATGCATGCGTATAGGGAACGCAAGGGGATTCGCACGGGAAGTTTGACGGAGAGGAGCGTGGTCACGGCCTTGAGTGCGGGGGCGGCGGGGAGTGTGGCGGCTGTGGCGACGACGCCGGTGGATGTGGTTAAGACGAGGGTGATGCTTGGGGCGGGGGAGGAGGGGGGAGGGGGAGGTCACAGATATAGCGGCAGTGGCGATGTTGGTGGTGGGATGAGGAAAGGGAAGGGGAATGGGAATGGGCTGGTCGATGCGTTTGGTGAGGAAGCGGGGGAGCGACGACGGCGAGAGCGAGGGAGAGGTAGGGAGAGGAGGAAGGGGGCGTGGGCGATTGGGAAGGAGATTCTTAGGGACAAGGGCGTGGTGGGGTTGTGGAGGGGGGGTGCGTTGAGGGCTGTGTGGACGTTTGTCGGGAGTGGGTTGTATCTTGGGACGTATGATGCGGGGAGGATTTATCTGGCGAGGCGGAGGGGGCAGGAGGTTGGGGAGAAGGATTTGGTGTAGTGGGATATGAGGGGTTGGGATTGGTATGGGATGTGAGGTGAGAGTCTCAATCACGACAATGAAGTATTGGGCAATTGCATGAGGGACCTTGGAGATAGGCGCCTGGATTGTCGCCGAGCAGGATTGCTTGGGGTTAAGGAAGCCATGTCACGGTGAGTTCAAAGGGTGCTTCTCTAACCCATCAGGAAATTCTAATTCTCACCTGCTATCGAGGACATTCTCAGACTCCGCACGGCAGCCAACTCTGCCCTACAGCATAGCACAGGGCCTACAGGATCCACATGCTTTCACTCTGAAGTTGAGATACGCAAACATGCCCCTCTCGATATGCGGCCGTTGTCCTATTTATTACACACACTCTTGTTACGTCAATGTATAAACACACCAGTATAAAGCGACCTTGGATATTCCCTTCGCATGCGGGATTGTGTTGGCTTCCCTCTCTAGCAGCTTCCATCCCGTGTACAATCAGATTGCTAGGGGTCAGTAGACCTTCCCTCTTGTTCTTGTTTGTTTCACGCAGTAGCCTATAGATATATGTAGATAGCCTCCTGCACTGCAGAGAGATTCATACAATTCATCTCATCTCCGCCTGCCCATCTCTGCTTCAGATCGGGGTTGTCCGCTCTTAGGCCACATCAATTGTCAGCGTTTACTGCTTACCCAGCTTTTGGCATCTACCCGTTTCTGCATCTTCATCAGCCATGGATATTATCAAGCCAGTACAAACGACACTATATCGGGTCCAACATCAAAAGTCCTTTACTCATCACGACGTAAACAATGGCTTCGTTGCAAACGGCAACTACATGATGGACTACAGCCACTGGATCAACCCAACAAAAGTCCGGAACCATCTGTGTTGGGCGGATAGATCATTAGAAGACAGTCCATTCATATCTCTGTTTGACAATCTACGTAAGGCCATTTCTACCCCTCACGCATATGTACAGAGACTGATTGATAGCACAGCGGATGCACAACGGCGCGCATCATTTCACCGTCGCCGAGGGGATAAGGATGTCTTCATAGCGCGGATCAACGTCACCGACTTCGTCCCACACTCCCTCCGTATCCGGTTCCTCGAAGGATCGATCGAACTGCCTGGTTTGATACACCCTGCAACGCTAACGATGCTGTTCCCTATGCGGGAGGTTGGACCACGGTTCCATATCGACTTCCGAACGGTCCAGCGGTCCGAGTGGCTCGCGCTGCTGTCCATTCCGCCGGAACTGATTACCTATTTGCCTTTGTAGGCTTGAGGTACAGAGGAGCGCAACAGGTGAGAAGCGGATTTTGCGCTCAATTGCACGCTCGTTGTTTCAGGTTCACCGTCGCTATGTCCAACGTCTGATAGTGGTCGGGTGGCTTGTATACGATTGCTCTCATGCAGTGCGCTTCGCGGTTGACTCAGGCCGTAGTCAGGGGATGGATAGGAACCAATCTTATATTTTTGTTTCAGTCTCGTGACATCAAACAACGCCGGTGGAACTGTAGATGATGGCCTGTTTCTGGAGGTCTCGTTGTTTCAACACGCAGGGCCGGCAGTTGGTTGCAGAATCCCAACAAGCTACAGGCTAGACTGCATGGCCAAAATGTCGAGATGATATATAATACGACGAAGCGAGACTTTAGAGACTTGTTAGTAAGTGTATTTATTCCATAGTTTCAGTCTAGATATTAAATTTAGGGTGGCGATATGCTTGCATTAATATTGCGCGCTATATACAGCTCTATCGCTGGGATCAACTTGTATTACCACAACTAGGTTCTTAGGTTAGCTTGAACCCGTGGACAGCCTAGAGTACTGGAAACTTACCGAAACCTAATGTTAGCCCTACAGTATGAGTGCTAATGCTGCTCAACTAGGCATCACGTTTGTAAACAAGAGCGCGAGATTCCAAGCAAATGCAATTTTACAATAGCTAAGTTTAGATAGCAAGAGAAGACGTTTACCTATGTAGCCTAAGAGTTGGGGTCTAGAGGAGATGATTTCGTTTTGTTGTCCAAGTACTTTTCTTTTACCTGGTCCGGTACCAGGGATCTTCTGTTGCGGGCTACACAAAGATGTTCGTTCTATTCCCGTCTCTCGAAGCCCTACAAGCTAGACAACCTCATCCCCTAAGACAAAACTCCGCATCCTCCATCATCAACAGTTGTTGCGGATGCCGAAGGACTCCCAACGTGAACCATGAGATATTGCTCCCAGCTTAACCCCTCTCATTCCTACCCCCCGTACCGGGCGGCGGAATGACGGTCCCCGGCTTAAAGTCGCCAATATCATTCACCTCGCTGGACCCACGCACCACATACTCCCTCGCCAACCCCTTGAGATGCAACTCGGCCAACTCGCTATCATCGATGCGGATCGGCCCAATATGCACAAACTTGCCCTCATCCCAGTTGTACCGATCAAAGATATGGACCTGATACTTCAACGACCCACCGCCGGGCTTCTTGGTCACCACGCCCGTGACACTGAACGAAAACCCGCCAATCGCAAAATACCAATCGTTGCTCTGCTCCTGCGTCGCATAGTACGTCTCCCACGCACTGCTAAACGCCCTCTCGCCGCCGCTCTCCTCGGCAATGGCCTCGTACGCCTTGGTCGCCTCGTTCTGCGCCAGCGCCTGCGCGGACTCGCGGAACTGGGGCAGGTCCTGCATCATGGGGCCCGGGTGCACGTGCAGGTCGTCGCCCGTGTTGCCCAGGTAGTGCCGCATGTTGCGCTCGGCGTTGACCATGCCGATCTCCCCCGCCGCCGTCGCGATGGCGTAGAATTGCGCCTTCTTGAGGTAGTCGAGCCAGCCGGCGTCGATGGAGTCGTAGGGCCCCGCGCCGTCGCCCTCGGGCGGTTGAGGGGGGTCGGCGGGGGGACCGGGGATGGAGAGGTCCCGGGCTTGGAGGAAGGTGGTCGGGAGGGTGGCGGCGGGGGTGAGGGGGGAGAGGAGGGCGAGGAGGGCAAGGGTGGTGTGGAAGAGGACCATGGTTCTTGAGTATGGAGTTTATGTGACTTCTTTTAAGAGACCTGACTGCCGGTCGGAGGAAGAAAGGTAGGTAGGGACTTCCGGAGGCTTTTTGGCTCGTCGAAGTGTTGCGGGTCCTGAAAGGTGTGGGCTTCTCCTTCAACCCTTTATATACCCCACCCATTGCTGTCGTTTGTGATGCTAACTCGGGATACAGGTGTAGATCGCATTCATCGCGAGATATTCTCATCGAGGACCGGGCTGACGGCATCTTGGCCATGCTGCAATTTTCCCAAGACTCCTAGGGCTCGTACTTCGTATTCTCGAACCGTCAAGATGTTTGCCAATACCCCCGAAGCTGAATTTCCGCTCCTTGGCCTTCATCATAGGAGCTGAATCGTCTCCTAAAGCAGTGTCAGCAGGTGTCATAGAGGGTTCAGCTCTAGGCATCGGAGTATGGGAAATCCCTGTTGAAAGGTAAGATGATCTGTTACAAATACATCTATGTTCGTATTCTACCGGTCCATGAGTCTTGCGCAATGGGGGCCGGTAAGTCTTGGGATGTAGGGAAATCATGCTGTTCACCGGATTCAGTTTATTAATACCGACCTATGTCGTTCGGCGCTGAGCCACAGACATACCTAGATAGCGGAGTGGCTGTGCTGGTCATGTGATATGTACCCTCGTAATCCAACAGTTAACGACGACGTTAATGTAGGACTTTGCCAATGTTTGCCAATTTGTGCGTGAATAGAGCTGGATTCACCTCTACTATGTTGCTTTCTTTGAGCGGGAGCGACGTGGCTGAACTATGGAATGCAGATGGGACATCTTGAGGAAAGATTCAGGGCCGAACCGTCGGAGCATGTATCGAGTTGATATATAGTTAGAGGGTGGTTTACTAAACTATATCTCGAGCTAATTGGCTACTTCGCTGGAAGCCGAAGCGAAGTGCACCTGCAACAGAGAGTGCACGTTAAGATGCCTAAACATCCTATTCTGCACAACATGCAAGATACAGATAGATGGGAGCAGAAAAGACAGAGAAATTGAGCCTACCATTCTTTGATCTATCATTTGAAGGGTTGCAACTCTATGCGCGATTACTTACACGATGCGGTCTCCCTGTTGATATTACCGCAACCGAAACCCCTTCATACAATAGAAAACCATTTCCATACTTAGTTCCTCGATACTCTCCTTCCCTGACATTCCATGTTCCAATTCCCTCCTCCCTCTTCCCTCCACCTCCCACCAACCGCCCTTCCCATTTCCAGTCCTACTCCCAATCCACCAGCACCCGTCAACCCAACCACCCCCACCTCTCCGCCTCCTCCTCCGTCACGCCCCTAATCAAAACATGCACATGCTCCAAACTCCTCACACTCTGCAAATTCGTCGGATTCCGAAACCACAGCACCCTCTCCCCCTCCCTCCCCTCCCCCTCCCCAACCCTCTCCCTAAACTCCCTCCTCACAAACGCCTCCACAATCCCCGCGCCCTCATCCGTCAACCCCCCGGTCGTAGCATGAATAGGAAGCCGAATCTTCGACCACACAACCACATGCAGGATACTCTCCGGATCGACCGCATACCCCCAGTCATTCCTGAGGATGGCGAAGTCGCGGCGATCCGCGAACGGCGCCGTGCGGCCCTGCGTGTCGAACACGAGGCGTCCTTCCTTCTCGGCTTCGGGGGAAGGGTGCCAGCCCAGGCGCTGCGAGAGAATGTAGTTGGTGATGGAGCCGTAGAGGGATTTGACGTGCGCGTACCAGGCTAGGTAGGCTTTTAGGCGCGAGGGCCACCGCTTGAGTTCGTCGAGTTGCCCCGTGCTGATGAGGTGCTGCAGGTTCGACCACGTGTGCGGGGTGAATTGCGAGTCGGGGAGGGCGAGTTGCTGCCAGTCGATGGGCGTGAGGGGAAAGGGTGGGGAGGAGCGCGGGAAGGGTAGGGCGGTGGGATCGGGGTTGGCGGTCCAGGTCGAGAGGAAGGTGGCTGGGAGGGAGGTGGTGTCGAGGTGAATGGGGAGGTCTTGGTCGGGCCGGGGCGGAGGAGAGGGAGTGGTGGTAGTACTAGTGACGATTGAATCATCCTTGAGGGTAGTGTTTTCGCTGGTGGTAATGGGATTTGTGAGGACGTCTTCATGGGATTCTGGAGGCATCATTTTGTTTCGGTTTGATACTCTTCTCAATCAATCTCTTCTCTTGTGGACTCCGTTGTTTGCTGAATTGACTACACTTCAATTGCGTCTTTTTCGAGAAATGGTACAGGGTCGAGCTGCGGCGGTGAAGGAGCGGTTCTTTCCGAAATAGTTATTATTTCGTTCAAATCCCAATCGTGAGAAAGCGAACTTTGAAATTGCGGCTCCGCAGCGAGGAGGGTCGGATCGCGCTCGAGGTGTGAAGAGATGTGGTGAAGCAGCAGTAGCGAGCGACGAGTTTACATATGAAACATGACTATTGTGAGGGGCAGGTTGGTTGGCCAAGCCGGCCACGAATATAGCCAGGGGTTTTTCGCTCTATACGAATTTGTATAGTAACCACTAAAACTACGCATTTTGCCCGCCAACGTACGAAATAACGCGATCTACCTCTTAAGGCTGCTTAAGGCTGCAGATTTCTATAAGATTTCCTATTTAGGACAATCGTATAGAGTCGCAGTTACGAATTCGCTACCTACAATGCCGCCTGTACAATTATTTAGTTTCTACCTACTGTTTAGCGCCGCGCACTTAATCTATTTAACAGTAGACTTTCTAATTGCGATATATATAAGGTTCTTAGTATTGCAGAGCGTACGCTGCGCAGATAGAGATATAATCTATCTTACTACGGCTTAGTAGATCTTCCTACGCGCCCTAGTAGTTAACTAAAGATAGCACCCTAGATAGAAGATGTAAGTTTCTTTAGCACTATTTTAGATACCCTTACTTACAGGCGTTTAAAGGCCCTGTTTCTATAGCTTTGAGAGAAGCTTAACGCGTATTTTAATAAAATAAGATAGTTCCTGTTTAATAAATTTAGTATAGTAGTTTCTAAAAGGACTATCTGCTAAGTCTTCTACTGCTAGAGATAGAGTAAAAAGGTAATAGAGAAGAGGGCTATATAACAGAGCCTGCCTCTCTAAGCTAAGTAGCTTGCTTGTATACGTAGTTATATGGCAGAGCAGTTTATATTTATAGATAAGTTAGCCTGCAACTCTAGGATAATAGATTATAAATACAGATAGTCTTTAGTAGGTAAGCCTGCCCTAGGCGTATAGGAATTAAAGCATAAAAAGCAATAAAGCTTTCTGCTAGTGTATACTATAAATAGCTACCTTCCTAGCTATCTGCTATACTAAGGATTTATTACTAGAGATATATTTTACAACTAGCTAAAATATAAGGTTCTACCTCTCTGCTAACCCTACCTGCAGCTACAATTAGTTATAGTTATAGATAATGTATCTATTTATTAGAATCTATATATTTAAAAGCTTATAGAAACTGCAGGTTGTAGGGTTAAATACCTGTCTCTATACTTACCTAATTTTAACCTAATTAAGCAATCTTTTTATAAGCTAAAAGTGTATGTAAAATGGCACTGCATGGAGGTTATACTATATAGAGATTTTAGAGAGTTTCTAGCATCTTGTTTAGAGAGATTAGAGCTTTATTTAAATACTGTAGTAGCTTATTTTAGAAAGAGTATAATTATATAGATAGCTAAGCAATATATAGAGTTTCTACCTGCCTAAAAGCCTTCCTTAGAACCTATCTTTTTAAGCCTCTTAGTAGCTATCTATTGTTTCTAGAAGTTATCTAGATAGTTACTTATTAGAAGTACTAGGCCTATTATAACCCTAATTGCCTAGAAGATAACTACTCTATAGTCCTTCTTTATAAGCTCCTAGGTAAGAGTTTTCTATATAAACTTCTATTTATCTACTAGCAGTATCTGCAGCTCTTTAATCTTAAGTATAAGATAAGGGCTCCTCTTAGAGATATACTTAAAAAGGCGCTTATTTTAAGCTCCTCTTTATTAGATTTTATAGGGCTTAAAGATAGGATTGCAGATAGAGATAAACCTGCAATTTCTACCCTTTTGCCGCGTATAAGAGGCCTAAATTTTAGCAGAGTTATAGGCAGAAACTCTCTGTTATTATATCTATATATAGTATCTAACACTTGCCTATCTATATAAGCCTAAGGAGTAGAAGTTTATAGGTTATATTTTAGTAGTAAAGACTTTAGCAGCAGAGAAAGTACAGCAGCGTTTAAAACAGTTAGTATCTGCATAGGTAGAAGAGAAGCTTAAGATAGCTGCTATAATGCCTATAGAAGGACTAGCAGGTAGCCTATTATTTACTGCAGATATAGCAGAGGGTAGTATATCTGTAGATAGTAAGGAGTAAGGTAAGTTTCCTGCTAGTTTTAACCTATCTGTATAAGAGAAACTACATTAGATATGCTTAAACCTGCAGCAGCTACAGAAGCAGTTCTTAGCGTTTAAACTACTACTGCAGGAGGCGTAGGAGTAACAGGTTTATCTCCTTCTTAAGCCTCTTAGGTATCCTAAGATCTCTACATCTTTACCTGCTAATGGGCGCTCTTACTGTTAATTCTATCTAACATAACTAGCTACTCTAAGATCTCTAGAGGAGGGAGATGTATAGTAGCTTTCCCTCTTTAAATTACCTTATCCTAGAGCTTTATAATTACTAGCTAGATAGTAAGGTAGTTGCCTATATATGTAATATAAACAATGCCCTTGTTTAGGCATCTTATACCTAATTTACAGGCATGTTTTATAACTAACTAAAAGGTGAAAGACTAAGTAGTACAAGGCTCTGCAGCAAGCTAAGTTTTAAGCTCTTTCTCTATCTTTATAGTTGTAGTAATTGCCCTCTTCTGTTTAACTATTTTGTCCTTAGGTATAGGTAGCTTCTTTAGCAAAGGTTCTCTGTTAGATATTTCCTTTAAGTCCTTAGAGCTCTTATCTTTATTACTAGTATTAGAGGTGCTTAATAGATCTATCTATATCTTAACAAAAACAAGCGCTTTTATAGAGACTATAAAGTAACTAACAAGCTTCTCTATCTGCTTAAAATTATCTTTGTTAACTAACGTGAGTGGCAAGCGAGCTGATCAGGCAAGCGAGCTGATCACTAAATACAGTGCTCTACCTCCAAATCTAAATATCTCAACGTTACAACAAGCTATTGCAGCTTACAATAGCTCAAATTAATTCTCTACATCTACTGCATCTTTTTGCATATACGCTTGTTGTGCCCTAGCTCACCACATGTCTTACAGTGTCGAATACCCTATATACCAACACCTGCTTCCTCTCTCTCCTCACGCCTCTCTGCCTCAAGCTGAGCCTCAGCATTCTTCTGAGCTACTATCGCCTCTGCTTCTGCCTGTGATAGGGTCCCTCCTTTTTGAATCCGCTTCTTCTTATGCTTTTTACATTTAGAAGCTGCCTAGCAGGCTAGCTCAAGTTTCGTGATCCTGGCAGCCATTAACACCTACGAATATGCTATCAATTCTGCCCTTTTTTTTAACTGCCTCACCATCTCAATAATTGATGCTGGTGAGGAGCTCCGGTATCTTCGAATCCGGTTAAAGATAAGCGTTGATTGAGCATCTATCTCAACTACATTGCTTGGTGTTTTGGGTTGCCAGACAGGGCCTGGTAAAGCTGGTGATGGCGTACGAGGCTTCACTTCAAGTTTTGATAGTACCACCTCTGGACTTTGTAGAACTAAACCAGTTGCTCTGAAGCTTGATATAATGTTTTTCTCTGAAAAAGCCTTGTCAAAAGCCCCAGAAAAGGCAGTTAAGAAGGCTTTTTTGTCGATATGGTTGATGTAGCAGTTTGCCAAGACATTGATCTCCTTCTTGTATGCTTGCTTTAAGGGAGCAAAACATCCTATATCAAGCGGCTGTAGGATATGGGAGGCATGTGGAGGCATGCAAAGGGTGATAATCTTATTCTCCTTACACAATTCCTGGAAAGCAGGTGACTTATGGCTCTCATAGCCATCAAGAATCAGCAGCCTGTGACTGCCTACTATCTGAGCCTGAGTATGCTTGATAAAGTGCTGTAACCAGGCCAAACCAAGCTCATTTGTTGTCCAGCTATTATCACTGACACCTATCCTCCAGCCCTTAGGATTATGGTACTAGGCTTGGTCGTGGTGCTTTGCCTTGAAGATCAGAAAGGGTGGGAGTGGCCAGCCCCTGGCATTGATAGCAGCAATCAATGTTGCCCACTCATGGTCCCCAGGTTGAACCTGCAGTGGTTTCAGTCACCTCTCAGACGCTGTTACCACCTTTACTGACCCTCCAACACCCATCTGGAAGCCAGTCTCATCGAAGTTGTAAGTATCTTCATCCAGGATGCTGTACTTGGCTTTGGTATTGCGTACAAGGTCAAACCAGGGACCAATAATAGCTGGATCACTGCACTTAACTCTTTGATGATCACGAAGTCTGGTTATCTGAGATTTGATCTCAGGTTTGCAGCGGACAAGGTTCCTAGCCCATTTGTCTCCAGCGTTCCCACCACCACGTGCAGCCAGCAGCTGATTAGCCATATCATATATGTCGCTGAGCATAGAGGTAGATCCTTGTGCATCAAGCTTCCTTATATACTAGACTATTGTCTTCTCCTCATGCTTGGTGAGCTTCGATGAGTTAGGATAGATATCATGTTGAGCAGCTGTTCCGGAGCATCGGCTACTAAGCGTGCTTTGAGGAATGCTATAGAGAGTAGCAGCATGTCGCTGGCTTAATGACATGTCGGATTTCATAGCTTTGATGGCAAGGATAATCCTATCCTCACGAGGGAACGATTCAAGATCTGGTTGTTGAGACATTGAGATGAGTGATTGAGAGAGGTGTAACCTTGGCAGAGTGATCAGCTCACTTGCCTGATCAGCTCGCTTGCCACTCACATTATAGAGCTACTAAGCTCTACTTTTCTACTCTTTCTACTTTTCTATACAGTATACAGAGGCTTTAGGCGCTAGAAACCTGCTACCTAGTGTTTAGATACTAGGTTTATATAGATGCTACTAAACTTATCCTAGTTGTATAACTCTATCTCTACTAGTTTCTATATACTGTACAGCTCCTTTATATTATCTAATTAAACCTCTAGCTTTAGTATATAACTAGCCTTTAAGCTAGTAGATAGCTCTGCTATAAGATTAAGCGTTTTAGGTGCCTCTAGAGAGGGCGCGGCGGATAGGGCTTTAGCAGTTTTAGGATTAATTTAGTAGCAGATTTTATAGCATTTTTAGCGCTTTTCTTTTTGCCTATAATTTTAACGGTTGCAGGACTTAAACTGCTTACTTTCTAGGTTGGCGGCGAGGTTATATAGCGTGTAGGCGGGCGAAATGCGTAGTTTTAGTAGTTACTATACAAATTCGTATGGAGCGAAAAACCCCTGGCCATATTCGTGGCCGGCTTGGCCCACCAACCTGCCCCTCACAATATCTGTTCTTTTTGTGGAGGGCAACGTCCCGACCGTTTATATAGCTCCGATATGCATAAGCAGGGCCCAATCAAGGCCGATGAATGGAACACGGCAGCTGCTCTGCTACCGACGGTTCGCGGCGGTCCGCATTTCGCTTCCGGCACTGGCTGAGCCTCCCGTTTGAGAGTTTGAAGGAGCCATATCATAAGAGGAAGGACTCATGCGCGATCTGGTTGCTGTGGTGCCTTGGATGGGATTGCCGGGGAGGCCGGGTGGCGGGATGTACCACCGGATGCATTACCAGAAGAGGAATTGTATATATTTTCGTGAATATACATTTTAAGCAGTGAAGAATTTTCCAAGGAATAGTCAATCCGTCGTTGACAGTACGAGAAGAGAGCCGCTACGAAAGCTTGGTAGGTATATTGGGATGAAATATGTGCATCAAAAGGGCAGCAAAGGCTCCTACCCTCCAGATACAACAGTGACTAAGACCTGATTCTCGACAACTGGATACGCATACTTTTTGGATACGTATAACGGTATCGATCAAAGACCGAATCCATTTCACTTATTCATCTATTCACTGTCTAATCTCCCCTTTCAACCCCCACCTAAGCCCTCCATAGCACTCCAAGCCGGCTAGCTGCTCTACTCGCCCTAAATATGTGTCCGCCCCAACTTCGAAAACACTTTTGAATCGAAGCTCACTGCTTCCCCATTCCTCGCTGTCCTTGCATTTCCCTAGCCATGATCGGCGAATCCATCCCAAACCAGAACAAAAGGGGTATATCCATGGAACCGCATGAAATAAAATATTCCTGAAACGCCGCCGCAAGGGGCAATCGATAAAGCCTTTGTCGGAACCCAGCTTTTTTTCAGCCATTTTCAGTGAAAAAGAAAGCCCATAATCATAAGTCATATCGAATGGCGATTACCTCATTACAACTTCGTATCCTGCCTAATCGAATCGCTCAACCTCCTCAGCGGTGGCATGCCCACCGCCGGCCCGCGCATCGTCGCACCACCAGTCGTTGGCGTACCACTTGCACTACTCCGGCCACTCCCGCTCGCACTTGCACTACCACCGGCCCTTGTCGCCGAACTGCTTGCCGACGCCGAGGTACGCTGGTGCAGCGTCGCGCTCATGAGCCAGTGCAACTGGACGCGCATTCCGTTGATGGCGGCATTGGTATGCAGCATTTCTTCTTTGACGCGTTGGTTCTCGTTCATAATCATCATGCTGGTGCGGCCTTCGAGTTCGCTGAGTGCGCTGGCGACGCGGGACAGCTCGTCGCGGAGCGAGTCGTGAAGCGTGAGGAGGTGGTGGATTTGTGAGTCAAAAGGAGGCTGGGAGTGAGACTGGTCGTTATTGTGTGGGGCAGGGGGGAATGATGCTGGTGGTAAGCGGAAGTCGGGTGTCGGCATAAGGGGCGCAGGAGGGAAAGCGTCGGGGTTGTTGGAATCCAGAGGATTGGTGACTGGGAAGGAGGAGTCGTTGGCGTTGGCCGGATACAGCATGTTCGTAATGTTGGAAAGACCATCTTCCAAGATGCCGACCTTCCGTACCAGCGGCTCGAAACGAGCTTCGTTCCTCTCAATCCGGGCTTGTTGGTCGCGGAAGAAAGGCGCCATTGTAGCCATTGGACAAGCAGTCTCATGCTCTGCCACTGTCTCTCGCTCCGCACTATACTTGCAGCCCACAATGGAGCCCGGGCATTGCACAGTAGCCTTCGGGCACACGTCATTAATGTGAGCGTTCAGGTCCAAGCGAAGCAGCTCAGCGGAACAGTGCGGACACGGAGCGAAGCGGAACTGGCAAGTAGCACGCTGGTGATCCTAGCACAGAAGCAATTAGCAACATCCTGCATCAACTTGAAACACGGTAAATTACCTCTAGATCCTTCCTGAGCAGAGAGGTGTGACAGTTGTCACAGCTTACACTGTAATGTAAGCAGCCCTTGTGGCAGTCCTTCTGTGAAACCGGTAAACGACAGTCGGACGCCGGGCACTCGACCAGCGCGTATTCGCAGTATAGCATAACATGATTCTCCAGGTTGGAGCGCTGTTCGACCCAGGGACAGCCCAGTTTGGAGTTAGGACACCTGACCAGCAGCTCGTCCAGCATCCTCTCTAGTATCTTAGGTACGGGCAAAGGCTCTTCATCTGCATCGACCTTGTGCCGGCATGTCGGACATGTCTTGCACCCCTCAGGCTGGGCATCCCACGCATGGTCGAGGCAAATACGGCAGAAGTAGTGCTCGCAAGCAAGACGTACGGGACGGTCGAAGGGGCAATGACAGATGAGGCAGATGAGGTTGCTGTCTGGAGTGTTTACGTAGTCGAGTAGGTGGAAATCGGGGGGGATCCTGGCACCACGGCTCTTTCGACGGTGGGGTGAGGTGGATGCTCGCAGAGCCAAAGGAGAGGGGCTGCCCGGCGGGCCTCCAACGACAAAGCCGGACGACTCGGAAGCAGCTATATCTGAGCTGTTCATGGGTTCTGGAAAACCGGCATTGCTGGAGGAGCGGGAGGAGCGTGAACCGCGGCGATCGTTTGGAGGAGGTATGGGCTGGGATGCGGAGGACATGCTGAAGGGGACACCAAAGGGAGTGAAGGGCGGGATCGTCGTCAAAGTATGGTGAGGACGAAGGCCGGTGGTTCAGCGACGACGGGGTTTATATAGATTTGTGGGAGGGGAGGAATGTGAGGTATCGGTGCATGGCTGACCCGGGACAAGGCAAGCTCATGGACGTCGTACAGAATAGACATGCATGGCATTAATCGTCGATGTTCGTTGCAAGCTGTGCCACTTCATAATCACGTGATCTGACCTGCGCCTCACCTCTCCGCTTCTCGTTAGCGCCCGCAATCCGGCCGTCATCGTTCGCGGACCAGCACGTCTCATCGCAGCATCCCAGCGTCCTTGTGTACTGTGCTTTTACATGTAAATACCGTAGCCGTATTTTGTCCTCCGCCATTCTCCCTTTGCCCTTTTGCCTTCGCTCCTGCCGCTTCCGGTCACTCGCCCAGCACTGGCCTTAGGAACTCCGCCTTTGCCTGTTAACATCCATCTGAACAACACAGAACCCAGCAATGTCGACCACAAACCCTCCGCAGCTATTCCTCCTCTCAGACCACATCAAACTCTCTCTTCTAGAACGCCAACGCGCCCTTTCCCTGAATCTACCCTCCAACTCCCAAGACGTCCAGATATCCCGCTCCCTCGACTCCCTACGCTCAGGCATCGAATCCCTCGAGTCGCAAATCGCAGACGTCCCGGATGAGTATGTTCACTCTCTATTCCTCCCCAAACCACAAAATACGACTAACAGCCAAACCACAGCTCCATATCCTCCCAACTCCCCCGCCTCCGCTCCCAACTCGCAGACCTAACCTCGCAATTCACCGGCACCCCCACCTCCCCCGGATCCAGCACGACAACGCAAACCCCCAACAACCCCGGCCTCTCCGCAGACTTCGCCGCCGCCCAGACCCTCCCGCCAGCAACCAGCTCCCAAACGAAACCCCGCCAAGTCTCCAAATCCGTCCGCTTCAGAGACGACGACGACGACGACTCCACCGCGGATCCCAACCGCTCCCAACTCTTTCCTTACCGCGACAACCCTGCAGACGACGACGCCATCCCCTCTCAGGACCATCTATCGAACCAACAGATCCACGCCTACCACGCCCGCGTCCTGGAAGAACAGGACGCCCAACTCGACACGCTCAGCCAATCCATAAGCCGCCAGCGCGAGCTCTCTTTACAGATTGGAGACGAGCTAGACGGGCAGGCGTTACTGCTGGAAGACGTCGAGGAGGGCGTGGATAGACATGCGGCGCAGTTTGTTCGCGCCAGGGGACGGTTGGACAGGTTTAGCAGGAAGGCGAGGGAGAATTGGAGTTTGAGTGTTATTCTGGTTTTGATTGTTGTGCTGGTGCTGGTGATTGTGATTGTGAAATAGGGAGAGGGGGTGGGGAAGTAGAGGTGCAAGGGCGCAAGGGGAATTGCATTTTGGGCGTTTGGTTTGGGATGGTTTCTGGGATGGGATATGCTTTGCTTCGGTATGCTGTTCAGGGAGTTCATATGTAAGATGGAGCTCGTCATGATTACTCGAGTCTTTCATTTGAGACGCAGTCATAAGACACGGTATAGAAGCACATTTCCTACCTTTCTCATAGGAGCTCCTTCCAACTCTCCGCCTCCACTTTCCTACCACGCCGAATTCCCACCCCCCTCTCCCCATTTCCTCCCACTTGTACCCGACGGTTCCTGGTCATATCCTCCTCCTCCCCCATAGCCTCCATACCCTCCCTGCTGTGGAGGCGGTTGGTGATACTCGTACCCCTGCTGATAAGCCGTCGGCACCGCATACGCAGGCTCCACGCCCCCACCACCGGTATAATGGCCGCCATGTCCATATCCCGATGTATGCCCATGTGCCTGTGCCGCAGGATCGCCGTAGTTATACTCCGGCGGAGCGTGATATGGTTCCTGGTTCTCCTGGCCTACTCCAGCATAGGCAGATTGATAGGGTTGGAAAGATCCCCAGTTTGAAGCGGGCTGGGGAGACGGAGGGGGTCGATAGGGGTCTCCGGATGAGGTGGGACGGAAGTCGACTTCTTCGCGGGTCCTGTGTCCACCGCCACTGCCTCCGAGGATGTTGAAGACTTTGCCGACTTGGTGGCCTACGCCGCCGGGAAGATTGCCGGTGAGATTGCCCAAGAGTCCGCCTCCGCTGCCGGAGCCAGAGTGCTGGTGGCCTACTCCGGAATGAGATTGCGAGTGCCCTGCATGGCTGTGGTAGCTCATAGTTCCCTCGCCGAGGTCCTGCGGTCCTTCGTGGTTTCTGCCTGCGCGGACCGATTCGGAGCTGAGGGCGTGATTGAGGTCGTGCTTGCGATAGTTACGAGCCCACTTCTCCACCACCTCGAACATGTTCCTGTGCGCTTCATTGCGGCTGTCCCGGATGGCCGGATGGTGCATCACGCTCGTTACGTCGTTCAGTACTTGGTCAACTGGTACATCGGGATGGTCCCAGGCGTAGACGATGCGTGGAGCGACGTATTGCAGTATTGCAGCGGCAACATGCCCGGCTGGCTCATTTAGGATATTGGAGAAATGGTCCTTGGAAAGCATGGAGTGGGTGGGATCGGTGCCGTGGGGGTTGTTCCATACATCGAACTGGTGATTGGCCGCTGATTCAAGAACGGCCGAAGAACCGGTCTTTAACTGCTTCGAAACAGCTGCAATGATTGGCATGATGAAAGGTGCGAGCAAGGACAGCACGAATAGAGTGACACGCTCCGTGATGGTCTCGATCATCTTCTCCAAGCCAGGGATCTTGGAGATGATGGCCGATATATTGCGTACCACCTTGTCTCTGAACTCGAGGATTGGCATGATCTTGGGAATGATAGTAGCAGGGTCGGTATTTGTGCCCGGAATATCAGGTCCTGGAGGGCCACCAACGGCTCCGGGTGGTGCGTCGAACGTCATGGGCTGTGCATGCGTATCAGCTCGGGAGCTGCTGTAGGCATCAGAATGTGCTGTTGCACGGTTGGAAGCAGTCTGCGCGTCTGAAGCGGTTTGGAGATTGAGAGCTTCCTGTATCAATCCGCCGGTACCAGGGACCTTGCTTAACGCATCTGTAAGCGCACTACACGGATTTCCAGAGTGGCCCGCACCGCGCTGTTTATTTCCAGTTATCCCGGCTGCGTCAGATAGCGCCGTGTTCATCTGATCGACTTCGGATTGTGTAAAGTGATCCGTTGCTTCACCCAGCACTGAGTGGAGGAAGTCGACCCCGCCAAATGTGCCAGTAATCAAGGGGTACACTTGTTTGCCATGGAGATTGATCTGAGTCTGAACGCCCGTGTGCGGGAACACGTTGCTATATCCCATCTCCCTGAGAACAAGCTCCACGTAGTTTGAGTGAGCTCCAAAGTCCTCAAGGCAATGTAACCCCTGACCTAAACATCTTAGTGCTTCGGCAAGATCTTCGTCACGGCCACGTTGGCCGGATGGGCCATGCGTATACATTCGGCCAAAGTGAATGGAACGGGCGAAGGAGAACTTCACATAACCGCTCGAGGTTGCCCAGCCGCCGCGTTCATTGGCGATGTAGTTTTTCATGCCGGTGTGAGGGTCGATAGCGAGTTCCTCTTCCGACACAGGTCCACGCAGGCGGGGGTCATATTGTCGGGCATCTTTGTTGTCTGCATAGTCTTTCTGGGGCTTGTAAGCTGCCGGATCTCTTAGTGATCAAAATTTTGTGTCTTACGGGATTATCTGTGCAGTGTTAGTGAAAAAAGTTCGTATATAAGTTGAACGGATGTACCAATGTGCTCTTCGGGCCTGTACACCCCGAGCCTTTCCGCAGTGACTTCGAACTCCCTCGTCGCATATCCAAACGACATGAAAGACAGGATCCATATAAGCACACGTATGGTCTCGGCCTTGGTGCAGAACTTAGCAACGGGAGCACGGCCATAGCATCGAAACTTGCCTGAACTCGCTGTAGGGTACCAACGTCCACAGCCTTCAACAATCAGCATATGACATTCGCAGACTATGCAGGTGCTCATACTTGGCTATAATCACGAAGCCAGTTTCCGAAGTAAGTACGCTGTTATTCAATGGTCAGAGCCAGATGATCAGGAGAAGTCTCAACGAATAATACCTTGATCATCATTGAGTTCCATTTATGGCCACGAAGGCAGGCGACCGTGGCCAGCACGTCTTCAATATCACCATGACGCCAGTTCTTGCCCTCTACCTTGGAGATGGATGCAATGTTTCCTGCACCGAAGGCGTGAACCTTTCCTGGAAGAAGCACGAGCAGGGCAAGTGCAACGAGGAGAATGTATTTCGTCTGGGGGTTGAGACTCCCCATCGTGGTCAACGATAGCGTTGCAATACAGTCGGTGAGGAGGGAAGAAGAGCAAAGTGAAAGGCAGCAGGAAGTTGCCCTTGCCAGGAGAGTCAGCTGGCCGGGCACACCTCAAGGGTTGCGACGGCCTGTCGCTGTGGCTGTGCACGCCCTAGCACAAACACCCACTTTCAAGCGCACACAACCCTCCAACGTTCTCACTATTAGTTCGGCTTCTCACAGCATAAATGTTTTCTCACACTATGCGGAGACAATGGTAAGAAACGGTTCTGATGTCCTACGTGGGAGCACCTTAGCAGCGGTCTGAGACAATTGGATCTTTTGCGCCACAATTACCCCACAGTGAAGGTTCGACACATTGCGAGGGTACCGAGGCCGACTGTGTATGGCTACAGGTATAGGGACAAAAGGAAAGATGTAAAACCATACCATCTATCCATCCTACAAATACTGAACTCTTGGGATTCCCTCTACTTTTCACGGAGTACTTCAAACGCGTTGAGAAGTCTGAGGAGGGGCAGCGATGACGTACCCATATTCTACAAGGATGTCGAGGCTGCGTCCTGATTAGTCGCATTTCCCTCTACAACATCTCGTTCCTTTACAGGCAGTCGAAACCTCCACATCTACCAAAGGTCCCATCGATTTGTAATAGTTCCCATACTGCTTTCCCCTTTCATCGTCACAATTGCTGGTTGGACAGACTCGTACCTGCCGTACATGTCCCGGCAGGATTCGCATTCATCACCCGTCAGAAGACATGTGCACTCCTGGCACACTTCACCACGGCTCTCCAGTCACTCGCTCGAACCATCTGATATACATGTATCCCATTGCTTGGCATTTATTCTATTCCATCAAGCACCTCTCGCGCATCATCAATTAACTTCGATTGTTGTGTCCCTAAAGGCTCTGTTAGATGGCTCTTCATTCCACCGCGTATCGCAAGAGCTGGGCCACACAGTAGACCAACCTCCCTCGCCGAAATCGAACCTTGGACCAAGCCTCCGTGACCGCTAGCCATGTCAACAACCGAACATCCTCCTGGGGAGGATGAGCCCGTCAGGAATCCCCCCTCCACCGTGACGAGGCCACATACGCCTTCCGCTCCAAGCGGGTCCATGATTACTCTGGACGGCTACTTTGACGTTGAGACGCAGAATCATTACACCTTCAACATGGGTCTGCAGTACGATTCGGACGATGATGTGGATACCATCCTTGAATACGCCGACCTGATTGGACGTTGCAAAAACCCAATCTCCAGAGATGAATACCGTGAAGTCGAACTATTGCCTGACTCGACCGGAGAGTTGCAGTTTGTCCAGGTGCCTCCATCACCACCGGCTGACAGTCAACCGGGTCACAATGCCTCGACCCTCAGCGCTGATCTCGAAGAAAACGAGTCACGCATAGCTACGATATCGCGAAGAATAACGAATAGGCTATTGTGCATACCGAGGGAGATGCTTACAAGACACCACGGAAAAGCAGACAGGATGCAAAGGAGATTGACGGCGAGCTGTTTTAAGTCGAGTAAACTGGTCCGCGACCTGGAGTACGCTCGCCAGCGAGCTCCGAGTGATGGAAGCTTATGGCAGATGACACTTGATTTCAGGGAGGAGTTGACCGGTCTATTCCAGCGGACATTGCGGAAGCTTCAAGAGTTAGAGCGTCTCCTGGATGGTCTCTTGGATGAGTCAATTCAAATACCCTCAGTGGCAGAAGAAAACCTCGAACGTACAAAGAACTGGATAAACACCATGAAGCATGGGGGAGCTGAATTGAAAGCGCACGAGAAACGCATGCGGGATCGGATTGTTGGTGTCCTTGCAACACTCGATGCTGATTCACCGTCAAATTCTCAACGCGCTCTCGACTCTCCAGATATACGGAACCGACCACGGTCATTGAAGCGAAAAGACGCTGCGAGTGGAAGCCAGGCAGCTCAACTTGCACTAAAACGAAAGAACCCTTTCACTCGGAGTCGCTTCTGGGATACTGCTGAACACTGTAACGCCCGTCAACCACAGTCCGCACCGTCCCAGGCAATGGTAGCCGGAAGTAGTTTGCATTCCAATGAGTACGCCTACCTCGGTCAATTTCCATGGGAGCGGCAGCCTGCTGAGGAAAACCTAGGACTCGGCTCTTTTCTTTCTGGCTTGGATCCGTCTCAGGGGAGGTATCAGCGACCTTCTCAATCAGAATTACATCCCAGTGGTTTCTTCAACCCCAGTCTTCCCCGAGCGAACCAGCATACGTTTTCACTTGATCCGTACTCCCACGTAGCGGATACAACTCAGAAGTCTGCGCGGGGGAGCGTGTACGGCACGGCTAGTAGCTTTCAAGCTTTTGTCGAACCAGCGCGTCCGATGCCAGTATCGCAGCCCTCGTTGATTCAGCAGCAGCCGCAGCAGCGGCAGCAGCAGCAGCAGCAGCGGGATGTGGTGATGATTGAGGACGGTGATAGTGATGACCTGCCCTTGATCATGAGACGGCAAAGGCGGAATCAGACAGGGAATCCAGCGTCTAGTATGCCACTGGGACACCAGGATCGGAGTGGAGGGTAGAGGTGAAGATGGAGAGGAAGAGAAAAGGGACGGTATCAAGGAGTCATAGGTGAGATGCTGGTCCGGGAGAGAGGCAGGGCAATGACGTCGAGGCTGCTGTGTGCAGGGTGGTGGTGATGTTGGTGGTGCACCTTCCTTTTTCTACGAGGATGCGGGATGAGCTTATTTCGACGACATTGAAGGCTTGGGTTGAGGCACCCATTGATGATCAACGGCTCCTGATTACATTACTGTGCCAACGGACGATTATGAAGACGGTATTACTGACCTCCTCCTCGTTTAGAGTCAATGGAGGTGCTACAACTTTTTGTCCGCCTGGTACAGTTGAATCATCAAGCCCATCTACGGAGTGTACTGCGGTCTCTGGTGAAATTAATTAGACGGCAGTGGCAACGCAGAGCGTGCTCGCAACCGTGTGTTTCTGTGAATGCCGTAATACATGCAGAACCAATTCTAGGTTTCTAGAAGGATACCTAGGTATGCATGTGTTGGTGTGAAAACACGTGATTACTATCGTGGACAGCACACCTGGGCATGCCCAGGTGCAGGTGGGAACGAAAATGATGGGTTTGCGAACGGCAATAGAATTTGTGTCCGGCTCGCGCTAGGGGAGTCGCTGACTCGTTGGGACCATTTTTGATTCAGATTTCCACGACGGGAAGGGAGGTGCGGCCTACGTCTCTGTCTAGAGCAAGTCCTTTCGGAGGTGAAGATTTATCGAGGGGGTTTCCTGTTTTCGCTGGGTCGTTGAGAAAAGACAGACAGGCGAAAGGATGGCGTGCAGACGCTTCGAAACTTGCGAGTTTGAACTGGTCGAGGGACAACACGGACCCACAGTTTGTGAAGGGTGTGCAGATCCGGAACTTTTCCTTAATCAATGATTTTATGCTGGGGCCGAGAGACATGGTGCACAACTCAACCTCAAACACGGATGCAAGGGTTTGGCGGCGCGGCGACTAGAGGGGAGGTGTGGCGGTGAGGAAAATCTGTAGGGAGGATCAATGATGTTGGCGGGGACGTTGTCATATGGATCTGAGACCAGTGTTTGGAAATGATGCAGTTAAATACAAGAAAAGATGAAAATTTAGCAAGTACATGTAGGGAGGATGCGAGGGCGACTGGAATTGACACACAGAGGACGGGCCGCCTCTTTGTCGGGTTGTGAAGTTGTGAAGAAGTGGGGACTTGCGGCCGTTTGCGAAATGTCGGTGGATGAAGACGGAAGGCGCCCCCTTTTTCGAAGCTTGGAACTTGGAAGAGGGAACCCGTTTGTTGGGGAGTGGTTAAGGAGAGGCATCATCATTCAGCCGGCATCGGCGCATATCGTCGGGGGGCAAGACTGCTTTTATGTCTCACTTTCATGACAGCTCGAAGCCAACGCGTCAGCCGCATCTGCAACCGCAATCTGCTTCCAGCGATGCGAGCAGCAAGCAGCAACCAGCAGACAGCAGAGTCGTCCGCGGGTGCCCAGGTGGTTGGAAGGGAGCACAGGATCACATGATGCAAAGAAAACATGAAGCGCCCGGGCGCTCGATTGATAAATCCCCGGAAGCCATCCTGGCTGGTTACGAGCGGCGATCAACTACGCGATTCGCTGGACGAGGCCAAGCCAGCCTGGGCGCCGTCGTGTTCCCGCATCCGGCTAGCGGGGCGATGAGGTTCCAGGTGAAATGGATGGGTCCAACCGTCCAGCTCTTCAAAACTCCAGCAGGTGGAGATGGATGCAGGAAGCTCAGGAGGGGCTGGAGTTGTGCAGGCACGACGACGACGGTACACAGAACACAGCATTGACGGAATTCATCTCCCAGGACTGATGAGGAAGACGCATTCGAGAATGTCAGAATCTTCGGCCCAAGTCGCGTGCTCAAAACTGTTGCGAAGTTGCTTCCAGCGGTAGCACTGGGTGCTGGGCATCGAAGGCTCTTTGGCGGAGAGGAGGGTGCGCATGACCTGTCCCCTCTCGTGCTGCGATAGAGATGCTGCCCGGGTTGTTTGTCGCCATCAGTGCCGCTCGCGCCCCGCCACCCTGGGCTGATTCTTTCACGGAAATTCAAGGCTTGTGACAGCTCGTCGCCGTGGTCGTGCCATGTCTCCCCATCCATCATTATTCTGTTTCAGCACCACGAGCCTGTGCATAATAAAACCAAAGCGAATCAGGGTGCAACTCGCTGTGCACACACAAATAATAATAAGTACAAGTCCAAGCGACAAACCGAGTGCCACTACGGACTACGGCTCTGCCCAATAACAAGGCTCCAAAAGGGGGGTCGCGCCTGCCGTGCACACCAATTTCCGCACCCCTGCCCGGGCCCCCAGCAACCAGCAACCGTCCGCCTAGCCATCCAAGCTCCTGACCCTTGGCCCGCGCGCCCTTTCTCCTGCCTTTTCTCTCCCTCCTCTCCTTGAAATCCTTCCTCTCACACCACTTTCTCTCTCTTTGCCTCTCTGCTTGCCTCATCCTTTGAGACGCGAGCCCGCCGTTGTCTCTGTTGCTGTTTGCGCAACCCCACACCCAGCCAACACAGCTCTTCCTCTCGAAGCTCCTGCTTCATTTGTTCCTACCTTGATTGTAATACACGACCCAGCGTCGTGACTCTTTTGATACCCCTTTCCTCTCCTCACCTCGTATCCACCGCTTCTCGCGACCCTACAGCTCCTACACCATATTCTCACAAACACACACGCCTGCAAACATGTCTGCCGAAGAAACGAAGCCGGTTACCACCGAGGCCGGTGTCGTTGAGCCTACCCCAGCCCCGGCTGAGGCCCTCACCGCCGATAAGGTCGAGGCTCCCGCTGTTGAGCCCGCAAAGGCCGAGGAGCCCGCCAAGGAGGAGGGAGAGGCTGCTGCTCCCGCCGCCGCTGCTCCGGCTGAGGAGAAGAAGGAGGAAGAGGTTGTCGAGCCTATAAGCAGCGGTGCTCTCGGCTACAAGGCACCGGGTCTGAAGAAGTGAGTTTGCAATGCAGATGGCCATATCAATGCGGTGCTAATTCCCCACACAGCGCTTTCCGCTTTTCCAAGAGGTACTTCTGGCTCGGAGACGAGGCTGTGTCCGTCCAGAGCCTGAGCCATTACCTTCGCGGCGAAAAGGCGGAGATCGCCCACCCTACCGCTGCTTGGTCCAGCCAGACCGGCAAGGGCCTGCTCTACTTTGTCAAGCACGCCGATGAGAAGTCTACTCCTGCCGGTGTTCTCAACCTCGTATGTCACCCTCCGGATATACACAGATTTACCATGGGCAGACGTTGCTAACAAGAACCCAGTCCGAGGCCACTGACCTTGCCAAGGATGGCTCTGTTGTCTTCCACTTCAAGCTCCACGGCCACAAGCACGCATTCGAGGCCCAGACCACCAAGGAGCGCAATGGTTGGTTCGTCGCCCTCGAGAAGGCCATTGAAGAGGCCAAGGCGTCCAAGGAGAGCATTGTCTCCAGCGAGGGCTACAAGGAGGAGCTCGCTAAGATTGGTAAGTACAAGGTTTAATGTTGACGTCGCTTCGCCAACGAAGCTTTCGGATGCATTCGCTTCTTCCCGCTGCGTACAGACGCTGACTGTAAGCGAAGGCAAGCCTGCTACGCTAGCGGCCACCGCCGCCAACGCGGCTTCTGCCCCCAAGAAGAGCATTGACGCTACCGAGAAGCTCGGTGAGACCGAGGCCGCCCCCGCCGCCGAGTCGTCCGCCGGTCCCGCCCGTACCGGTTCCTCCAGCAGCTCCTCTTCTTCCGACGAGGACAAGAAGAAGAAGAAGGCCAAGAGCAAGAGCCGCTCCGTCTCCCGCGGCAAGCGTGCCTCCATCTTTGGCGGTCTCCTCGGCAAGAAGGACAAGGCCGAGGAGAAGGTCGAGGAGAAGAAGGAGAAGCCTGAAGAGAAGGCTGAGGACAAGAAAGAGGGTGAGGCTGCCGCTGCCACTCCTGCTGAGGGTATGTTGTGCAACTTCCGGGTTAGAGGATGATGAGACTGACATGAACTAGCCTCCACTGCAGTTGCGGCCACTGCTCCCGTTATTCCCCCTGTTGAGGGCACTAGCGCCGAAGAGACCAAGGCTGAGGAGACTGCCACCCCTGCCGTTGTTCCTGCTGCGGAAGAGAAGAAGACTGAGGAGAAGAAGGTCGAAGAGAAGCCCAAGCCGGCCAAGCGCGCCTCTATCTTTGGCAACTTTGTCGAGAAGCTGAAGAGCCCGACCCACGAGAAGAAGGAGGCCGAGATTGTTCCCCCTGCCCCTGCGAAGGACACCGAGGCTGCTCCCGCTGCCCCCAAGACTGACGAGACTCCTGCTGCGCCTGTTGTGCCCACTACTGAGACGACCGTCGAGGCACCCAAGGCTGAGGAGACCAAGCCTGCCGCTACCACTCCTCACAAAGAGAAGCACTTCTCTTTTGGCAAGTTCCTTGGCAGTGCCAAGGAGAAGGTCCGCTCCCCTTCAGGCGAGAAGGCTCCTGAGTTGCCCAAGGCTGAGGAGCCTGCCAAGGCTGATGAAGCTGCTGCTCCCGCTGTCGCCGCTGAGCCTGCTGCCCCCGCTGCCCCTGTTGAACCGGCTGCCGAGGCTCCCAAAGAAGAGACTCCTGCTCCTGCCGCTGAGGGCAAGCAAAAGCGAGGCTCCATCTTCGGTAGTCTTCTCCGCAATGCCAGCAAGGCTGGCAAGGTTAAGAAGGAGAAGGAGGCCGCTGCCACTCCCGCCAAGGTCGAGGAAGCTGCTGAGCCCAAAGAGGAGTCGGCCGCAGAGCCTGCCAAGGTTGAAGAGAAGAAGGAGGAAACTCCCGCTGCTTCCGCAGTGGTCGAGCCCGTCACCGCCGCCGATGTTGTCCCCGAAGCTGCCCCAGTAGGGCAGGCTCCCAAAAGCACCCCCCAGGTCCCTGCCACCGCGTAAAGTCTGGTGGGAAGATCCAACGTTCATCCACGACAGCCATGATGGAATGACGGAAAAGCAAAGACAACGCAGCTCACTTGTTTGACCGGACGGCCTACACGACCACGCATGTCAAATCTCGCTTTGGCTCATTACGAGGTTCGGGCGCAGGTTTCTGGATGTCGGCCCACGCACGCTCCTCCTCTCCTACCCCTTTTTGCTCGACATGTTTGTCCAACTCCCGTCGTTCGCTCTCTGTCGGTCCTGCTTTGCGGCACTGACAGCTCCGAGGGGACGACATGCCTGTCCACTGGTTATGGCCGCTGCTTTGTCTAGATTGATACCACTGTGCACTTGTTTCTTGTTTCCTTTTGATACCAAGTCTTGGACCGGCTGTCGTTTCTGCGTTCTGTCATTGCTTGCTGCACAATACCCCTTGATACCCTGCGTACACCTTATCAGGTCCTGTACTCAAGCGGCCGCTAGGGCACCACCATCCCACCTAATAATCTCTAATAGAAATCCGTCGTTTTTGCTCGTGCTTGAACTTTGGTGTGCAATGCCGTGTGACTGGATAAAGACGCATCACCTCGAGCGGGGATGGTGACGAGGTCTGGTTAGGGCCGACCTTTGAGCCAATGTGATGTCGCCCATGTGTGAGGTGGTAGCCACCGTCTGTCACGTCGTCGGGGCGCTGCTTGCGGAGACTTTCACGGCTGCGGGAGCTGTCTGCCAATTGGAGCTCTCTCGGTCAATTGATTGCGTGTTGTGGCAGCCGTGGCAAGGCTCTGGCTGTTCGAGGTGAATTGGAAGCTCTTGCAGCGTGGGTCAACTTCCATTCTCGGAAGCTTGAGCTAGTCGCGGGCAGCTCCACCTACCTCCGAGGTACCTCAAACTTACTCCGTATATCTCTCTTTCCCCCTTCCATAACTCTCACCATAACACTATTCTTTGGACGCGTCTACCTCGTGTATCGTTGCTTCATGCTCCCAGCTTTGCCCGAGTTTTCATGCATGCACTTCCTGTAGTCGGGCGGTTGACACTCGCTCTGTGTGATTGACGTTTGGATCCGCGCAAGCTTCCGCAGCCCTCTGGACACGCCCACCATGGTATGTACACCCTACGAGACGTTCCGTTCCTACGGAAACTCTATATTTACACAAGGAACGGGGCAGTTTGAAGGCAATTGCCCGCCTAACATTGTCACAGGGGAATTGCTTCTGCACGCCAAAGCCCGTCGCTGGCCCGGCACTCGTTCCGAACAACAACCAGATTCAAAATCAGAATGCCGACGACTCCTCCCAGGAAAGCAACGCCTCTGTCGAATTGCTTGCTCCAATCGCCCATCCTCTCGGAGCACCCGGTGATCCCGCCGCGCACCCAAACAGGCCGCTCGTCGCCCTCCCCGAAGGCTACCACTGCAAGCTGCCAGATCCATACAGCCAGCCCACATCGACGTCTAGCCACAACCCGGGCAGCGTCCCTTGGACACGTCAGAAACTGGAGTTGGAACGGAATGCCTGGTGGGAAACGCACTCCACCACTGGCGACCCGGAGAAATGGGCCACCTACAAGCAAATTATCAACCATTTGCAAGGAGGGAGAGTGCAAGAGGCACAGACCCTGCTGGATGCGGCTGGCTGCACATGTCCGAATGGGAAGGCTTGGCATGCCATTTATGATGAGAGAGGTTTTCGATATGCGATTCGGGATGCCAGGGCTAGTAAAGAGATGGACTGGGTCGTCTTTGAGCCTAAGGGGCTGGCTGATGACGACGAGGTGGTCCAAGGGGAACGAGAAGAAGAAGCTGTCCAGGTGGAGGGGAAGGGGAAAGGGAGGGCGGTGGTCCAGGCTGATGATGATGAGCTCGGGGAGGTCGTACAGATGAGATGTAGGGTGAGCCCCAATGGAGAGGATTATTTAATCGCGGTGAGGGAAGGCGACAAGGTTGGAGTCATCAAAACGGCGTTGAGCGCGGAGATAGGGGTAAGTGGCTCTCGATCCAGCTCTTCTCCTTCCCCTTGACCAGGATAGAGGACATATAGCTGTTCGGTATCGGACTAACGTTGCTAACATGGTCCTCATCCACAGATCCCCGTGTCTCGAATTCGAGTCTCGTACGGTGGCCGCCTGCACGAATCCCACGAAAAGCTGCACGGGTGGATAAAGGGTAATGCCCTGACGATCATGGTCGCGGCGGACTATGAACCTCCAGCTTCGGACTTCACCTTCGCCGAGCGAATAGGCGCCATCACCGATCCATCGAGCGATACTCTGGTTACGGGAAGCAGAGGGTCCGGCGTTTTGGACCAAACTCCTCGTATCCCGACCCCCGCACAAGCTCTTCCTCTCTCTCCACCTGAACCAAAAGCTCAGGGTCCGAGCAATGATCAGGAAGCCATTACTCCGGCCACTGATCAGCAGGCTCACCTCCCGCCCACTGGTCAACAAGCTCCTCTCCCGCCCACTGGTCACCAAGCTCCTCTTCCGACCGACGACGCACAATCTGCAACGCCCCCCAACGAACCTCCGGGACCCCCGCAAACGTCCCCGTCTTCTGATCATCACTAGCATGCATTGCATTGCATCAGGCGTCATTTTTCTTCTTGCACACATGTTCGGGTTTGAATATTCAAGCCAGTGTTGCGCTATTGCTAACGGAGATTGTATTCTCCACTTTCTTCCCTTTCCATCTGTTTACGGCCTCTTGCTTTTCGGCAGCTAGATACCCCGTCTTTCGGTCTCTTTGTCGTTGGTCATTGCTTCCTCATGAATAGACTTTTGTAATAGAGAGTGGTGGGATGGATGGTTTTTGAGTTTCTGGTAGGAGAATGTAGACTGCATGGATTGGGGTGGCTGTACCAATATGAATGGGTGGGTGGATAGAGTAGAACAGACTTGGATTAGACCAGTCTTTTAATGGTAATAATTGATTCTTACTGAGTAATGACGGATTGTTTGCGAGTATGTAGGCGTATCAATGACGGGGGGAACAATAGATGGAGTTCTGGAGGCGATTTGAATGTCGTGCATAGGACAAGACAAGTGCTGGGTCGGTACATGAAATCTTGACGGTGCAGAATAATGTACAAATCCTCATACTAGTTATCTTCCCCCTTCCCCCATGCATCCTTTAGAAAATATACAGACTCACCACTCCCTGTAGTAATACACAGTACGCCTCACACGCCATCGCTTCAACGTCCAACTCGGCACCCTCCCATCCCATCCCATCCCATCACGAAGCAGCCACGAGCACATAACCCGTGATAGCATCCAACCGCTCCTTAGTCAACCTCAGCCCGACGCGCACCAACTCCCTCCCAACCTCGGGTTCCTCCCTCTCCAACCTCGCCCACGCCTCGCGCGTAAGACACCAAGCGACGCACTCGCCACCGATTCCCACACCCACTCCCGCTCCCGTTCCCGCTCCTCCTCCTCTCCCTCTCCCATGATTATTATTATCATTCCGCCCACTATCCCCCTCCGCCACCACGGTCCCCGTGCGCCCCGTCTCGCTGAAGAAGGGAAGTTCCCCGCACGTCGTGCCGGGGAGGATGACCTCGTAGAACCGGCTCGCGCCTGCCCACGCTTGATCGACGTGGGGGGATTTACCCAGGACATCAATGTGTGCGTCGTTCGACGACGACGACGACGACGACGAAGAAGGGGATAACTCGTACTCTGCCCGAAACCGGCCCCTCTCAAGGATATAAAACCCATCCGGCTCGTCGCCGCGCGAGTAGACGAGTTTACCTGCGGGATAGGTGCGGCGCTCAAAGTACGGGGCCGCGCGGTGCCAGAAGTCGATGCCGCGCGACGAGACGCCTTCGAAGGTCTGCAGCATGATCTTGAGCGGTTGCGAGAAGTGCTTGTATTTTGCGGATGAGGGCGAGGTGGATGTTGGTAGTGCGTGGTGGGTCGAGGGCGAGGGGGAGGGTGTAGTTGGGGGTTCGGCGGGTGGGGAGTGGGAGGTAGGATGGAGCATCCCACTGCCGGCGGTCTCCCGCATCGTGGTGGCGGCGGCAAGGTATTGCGCGCCGCGGCGTGGGGATTGCCAGTTGGGATCCAAGGGGTTGATGGGAAGGGCACTGGTGGTGGGGCTGGAGGAGGAGCGTGTTGTAGCTCCTGCGTCTGCGGCTGTGGCGGCAGCATCGTGGACGTCATCGGATCGGACAGGTCGCGGCGTCGTTTCTCCATGGATGGACATGGGAGGCGTGGGTTGCCGCTTGTTGACCGTGGCACTGCTGCGGCTGCAGTGCAGGTAGAACGCCTCCAGGAGCTCGTTCTCACACGCCTCGAGCGCCGTGTTCAAGTCCTCAAAGACCTGGGGCGGGGGACACTCATTGTCGCCTTTCTCTGCATCAAACAAGCCAACGTTATGCAGGGCCTGGCCAACTTTGCTCGAGAATGACACTCCGCTCACAATCAACTTGACATGCTTTCTCGCCAGGATGCGGTTGATCCGTACAAACCCCTCAGAGCTGCTAAAGTCGGCGTCGGTAACGTGTTTGAAATCAACAATGATAAAGCTCGTGAGGTGTTTCTGCACGTTGTCCTCTGCTATTAGAGACCGCATATATGCCTCGACCGACACAATGGTCCCGAAGAAGAGGAAGCCGCTCAGCTTGATCACCCGGATCTGGTTCCGCACACGGCTTAGATAGCGGCGATCAGCTCGCGGTCGTCGCACGGTCGATTCAGCGACTTCTCCGCTGTAGCTAGCCCGTACGGCAGGTGTGCGAGAGCTCTGGACAACGTAGCTGAGACAGGCGAGCACAATGCCCGCGAAAATGCCGACAACGAAGTCATAGATGCCCATAATAAGCACAATGGCGATGATGGTGAAATACTCCAGTCTGTGGCACTTGCCTAGCGGGTCCCAGACAGCTTCTTCGAGCAGTTCGATGCCAAGGAGGAAGATGAGGGCGCCGACCAGGCAGACGGGAATGAAGCCGATCATGGCGGGTCCGGCCATCCAAACGGCTGCTGTTGCTGCAGCGAGGAGAACTCCGGCCGCGCGGCTGTCACCGCCGTTTTCCATGAACATGACGCTGTTGGCGTAGACAAGGTAATTCTGGACCAATGTGAGATTAGATCTCTGACCAGGGGTGAGAGCATTGCGTACCTGGATACTGCCGACACAGCCTGACAAGGTGTTAGACACTCCGTGGGCAATCAGTTCCCTGTTGACATCGACGTTATCTTCCTTCGCGGCAGCCGCAAGGGCTGGGACGTTGATAGGGACATGAATTATGCCGAAGAACGACAAGGCGAACATGGTGGGAAGGGTGGAAAGAAGCGCGGAATAGTCTACGCTCTTGAATTCTGTCAACTGTTAGTGTATGCTTCCGCCTTTTTGCGCAATCCACGTACTAAAGTATGAATAGAATCTATAAAACGGAACGCCAGATTGAGGCTTCTCGAAAATCCACCCTGCTTGTCGTAGGGGTTCCAAATCCGACCTCAAAATGAGCTTGACGACAATGTAGAAGACGACAAATACCGCTATAAAGAAGGCGGGCAACACAAAGGGACTTTTGTTAAGCCGACGGATGATGAGCACTGTGATAGCAAGGACGAGGGGCAGAACCCAGAGATAAATTGTATCGGAGGCGAACAATTTGCGCAGCGTGTCCAGGTCGTAATTCAGGTTCCCTTCAAGGCGAGCGGAAACTTCGATGCCGGTCACAACCAAGAAGAATCCCACTCCTCCTATGCAGCCAATGAGAATATGCCTAGGGAAGAAACTGACGAGATTGCCGAGCTTGAAGCCGCCGAGGAAGAGAAAAATGAGTCCAGTGATGATAGAGCTCAAGCAGTAGGAGACAATGACGGTGGCCATTATAGCGTCGTCACTCCTCCCGCTCATTTTGCCCATGATCGAGTAGGCCATCTTGTGGAAGAAGGGAACCACTTCAATCATTTCGGAGCCGACGCCACCTCTAAACATCGATAGTCCAAGCGAATAGCAGAGCTGCGACACAACGCAACTGACGAAGAATATGGAAATGCCATCTGGACCGGTCTGGCTGAACATCTGGGTTCCAAGGGGAAAGAGTATATATCCGTATGAGAGGGCATCCAGAATGTTGAGGAGGAGGCCTAAGAAGACCGCAGACGTCACCTGCAGACTTGTCAGAGTGGCCGCAATAGCCGCATCTTTGGTGTAGTTCTTAGGGTTCGTGAGAGCGCGTCCCACACGCGCGAAGCGGTGTCGGGCTGCCGCAGTGGCATGGGCGATTTTGCTTTCATACTTTTGTCTCGTGGAGGCTCCACGACCTGAGCTCCTTCTATTTGGTGCAGATTCCCAACCCTGGTCTCGGCTCCTTGCTCGAGTTAGACGTGCCCTGGGAAGCAACGGGGTGGTTTCCGTATCTTCTACGACCACCTTAGGGACGTTTGAGGGCAAAGTCACTCTCACGCTTGGCCGTGCAGCTCCAGTTGACTCGTCCGGCGCAGGGTACGGGTGTACCAAAGTATCGGCTGATTCCGGCTCACTCTCCTCCTCGAAGGCATCCGTATTCTCAGTGTCCAGGGATGCCCTCGGTCCCGGTTCAGGTGTGCCCTCGGAGACCAAAGCGCCGTGTCTGGTGGAGGCTGTGTCGGAGCCGACGAAGCTGATTCTGCGACCCGGGTCTGTATATGTGTGCGAATCTAACGCATACGATGCCAGCTCCTCGGTTCGTTCGCGCACGCCCTGCGACGAGTATTGAGGCGGTTCTGCGGAATGCTGGGATGCATGATGGGCAAAGGATCGCGGAGGGGCGCGCTGTGTATACGAGCTCGAGAGAAAGGTGTTGGACGCTGTAGAAGCTGCTCGGACGGGACGTGATCGAGGAAGGGTGTTGGGACCAGAAAAATCTGCATCGCTGACTTGGTCATTGGTGAAGGGTAACTGCTCTTCCTGCGTTGCATCTGAACTGCCGCGCCTCCTCATCGAGAGTCTCGGTATTGTAACCATGTTCCTGGCTCTTGTTGCCTCACACTAGCATGATCAGGTTGCAAAACGGGTCACAGTGGTGCGACGGATGCTCAATTCTTCTTGGGAGGAGGTGGAACGGCGGATCGTGGAATTCTGTCAAAGGATTGATGCAGAGTGAGGTGGGAAAAGACATTGGCTTCTGGATACAGCATGGTGCATTCCCTAGCGGACGACAGAGGGGCCCTGGCAGGGCTTCTGAAGCGAGGGGGTTATGGTGGTGGCTAGGATGAGGACTGAGGAGGGGTCAAGTGGGTGAGAGCAAAGCACTACTCGACCAAAGTTTTTTCTGAGGCGTGCACCAGAACGGGTCGTGATGGCTAGAGATGATAAAATAGATAAGCCGACGTCATGGGCTAACCCTGTTTCGGCACTCGCCCTGGCTGGCCCGGCCCCAACAACTGTTCGCAGCTGCCAGCAAGAGACTTCAACGTTTCGACTCTTGCGACCCATCACACCACAAAACCGGGAAATGGCGACTGCGGCTATCCATACTGCGTATGCAATGCTGCTGCTGTCCTCTCGAATGCCCACCCGTCGCATCCGCCTCCTGCAACCCCCAGCTCCGCATTTGGGTCGGATTCTGCATCTTCTGAGGACTCTGTATTGCTGGCGCAGTACGACTCCTGCAGCGTGGGTGGGAAGAGACTGCCCACGGTGAGAGCCGATGATCTGCCTCTTCTCTCTGCTTCCCTCAACATCGTATGCTGAACCTCCCTTATCCTGGATAATCCGAATCGTCACTATCCTCCTACCTACATGGGATCGGGTCGTGGCATCCGGCACCGGCTTGTGGACAGGGGTCGTATCAGGCATTTTATTCCGAGCATCTTGGTCGTCTGTCATCTTCCACCCCAATTCGTGCTCAACTCAGGCGCTGCAAATACCCCTGGGAGATCAGCCGTTCCACATCACCTTGACGTACATAGAACTGGCTGTTCTTCGTCAAGGTAATTGCGCTGGAGAACATTAGCCCAAAGCGTTGTGCAAAGCCATCTCCAACAACAAAGGCGCATACCCGTATTCTGTTTGTATCTCTCCTGCGTCTTTGAGCACTCGTACATCAATAAAGAGATCCTTGGGCGGTTCCAGGCTGCCTGTCAAATCAATGTCCGTCCATTGTCCCTTGTATGCGGCCAACAAATCGCTATATTGGCGGACGTATTCCTCTTCCTCTGGGCTTAGGCTGCTTGAGCTGCCGTCCCCTTCTCCGGCCGGCCTGTTGCTATTTTGTTGCTGCTGATATTGCCTCTCGAGCACATCGACGCCATTCCAGCACATCTCCTCCAATCTATCCGACCGCACTCGGTGATACGCAAGAAGACACCGTTTGTTCCGCCGCATGCACAAGTGATTGACCAGTAGCGCACAGGCAGTCGCAGGCTCGGTGGATGGATTGAACGAGCCCGCGAAAGGCTCGAGGATCGCTGCGACGTCCTTGTCCAAATCCCGGACTTCGCGCGTTACGGCTCGGACCATTTCCGTCTGATAGGGCGGCAGATGTGCCAGCGACTGTGTGCGTTTGGCATGTTGCACCTGGGCGACATTAGCTTATCTCTTTCGCTGGTGCAGGTGGACGATGACAAGATGGAGCTACCAATTTGTTCCCTATTTCCCCGTACATGACGGTGACTGTGATAAAAGTAAACGTAGAGAAGCAATATTCCTCAGCTCAACTGACGGCTCGCAGACAGCTTTAGCGACGGCCGAGTGGGGTGGACGCGAGCAACTTTGAGTACTCCGTATGCGCCTTCAGAATGTTGAAGCTGGCGGGGACCATCTATCGTTCCCAAGGTTGTTGTCCACGCCGGATTTAGTGCCAACCTCGAAACGGGTCCGTGCACTTCGACTAAACTCTGCCAGGTAGGTTTGCAACCTCACTCTTCGAGTCCTCTTTCACTGATCAAACACGCTCGGCTCTTCCAAGCGCATGCTCTGTGTGCAATTCACATATTCAAAAGTCTAAGAGACGGCGCCTACAAAGGTGATGATATTCAGGCCAGGATCATCGTCTCACATGGTGCATGTACCCTCTGGCTGTCGATCTCAGTCACAGCTACCTTTGCAGAATAATTACTGATTACAGAACCGATCTATTCTAATCCACAAATCATCGGGAAGATAAACAAGAACACAAAAGACCCAAGCCCTAACAAACAGCCAGCCCTTGTGGACAATGGGTGTAGAGGATCGAACTGGTTGAATTGGCTACAAAGTGAGATACTGCTATAGAGAGTGTTGCGAGGTGGGGCTGCATGCAGATAGGGCATCCCGGAATAATAGTTGTTCCGGGATCCGTGCGGGATGGCGCGCAGTTCCATCACAATGGGTATCTATCCTGCAACACCAGCAACGCCCGTTGAAACCAACATTGCCAGTTGATCCAATCCCAACCATGCCTTAACTCGATTGCTTTGGTGGACCCCTTACACGCTATGCAGCGTGATGATCCTCCATCCACTTTTCAAATTCCGATCCTTGTTCCATCGTGATCATGGTTGGATCCGGATGCCAATGTTCGGTATGGAAATCATCTTCCGAAGAGGCCAGGAAGGATTGGTCCGTATGCGGATGCATGTCTCTGTCGAACTCGTCCAGATGACCGCTCTGAAATGAGGAAGACATCATGCTCGACTCCATATCTGGATGGCCTCCATCATACGCAAGGAGCATCGGGTCAACCTGACCGTCCTGCGACAGCGGCGTTCCTACAGCGGAATGGAGGTGCTGCATCATATCCGCTGCATTTCCACCGGGCAGTCCCAACATGGCTGGTTCGGGCGAGTAGTGCATCGGCAACCCTGTCGAGCTTATTCTCCTCATGTGCATCTCCTCCATGACGCCGGCCGCCATACCCATGTTGGGATGACCACTCGATGGATAGTAGTGGTGGTAGTAGTCTCCTTGTACCGGCATGGGTAGCGGCCTCCCAGCGTTGGGCAGCTCCCAACGATAACCGCGATCGAAGTATACCGCATTCATCGTCTCTGACGCATTGACGGCGTATCCGAGATCCCTCTCCTGCCTTTTGGACGGTCTGCTTCGAGAACGACCCTGCCCAGGTACATACTCGGCATCATCCAGGTCGCTGGGCTCCTCATCCGAAAGCTCATCTCTCCGCCTCCTCACTGGGACCGACGCCTTGCTTGGGGAGAACTTATAGTCTGGATGGGCATTCTGGTGGTTGATCCTCTCGATCTTGGCGTACTCGTTGAAGAGTTCGCGGACCTCTGGCGGTTCCAGGTTCCAGCTCTCTCCGCATAATGAAGACACGACTTGATGGTTATTCTGCAGACACTTCTGCTTACTCCACTCCTTAGTGCGTTCCGCGTAAGCTGAGCGATACAGCATGAACGAGTTCATCGGCCTGGTAATGTATCCATTCCTCCCCTCGGCTTCTTTGCGCCTCTCCTCTGCCGGTCTATTCACCAACTCCTCTATATTCTTCATCGGTACCGATGTCATGTCCTTGGTCAAGATGCTGAGGGGCAAAGTAAGTTTCGGTGCTTTCGGCTTTTCGCCCTTCCCAGCTTTTGGTTTCCTCGACTTCGGAGTAGCCTTAACGCGCGTCTTGACCTGCCGTTCCACAGCATGCGAGGTTGGCGGGGCAAGAGCCCGCCCACTGCGGGTTCGCCGTTCGAATTCATCGTTGCCAGCTGCAGACGTAGGCGTCGGAGGCGAACTTTCAGCATTCGCCTGGGGTGCCTTCAAACTGTCAGATATCCATAAGCTCCAGTGTCAATGGCGTTTCACTTACATTAAGCCCGTCGAAGCTATTGGACTCATAATGGCTTAAGCCGTCACCATGGACCTTCTAGTGACTGGTCAGTCTTCCATCAAACGAGAGCAGAAGGGCTTGCCCAACACTGACTGCTTTAGAATCCGGGTTCTTGCTGAAGTGATTGTCGTCCAGCTTGATGGAAGAGATATGATCGGCATACGGCACCACAACATGCGCCGAGGGGCCTGTGCGATCAAGACCGTTGCTGCCGATGTTGGCTGGGTGGTGCTGTTCCGCATTGTACTGCGCAATCTGGTGAAGGTTCAAATGCAGGTCGGCATGGTCACTTGGAGGAGTAGGAGGGGGATGATGACGACCTAGTGATTCTGCCATCATTTTTACGGAGCGGCTGTGACGAACTTTTGTTTCAACGATGTTTTGCAGCAGGCCGCGTTGTGGCGGTTCAGAGGGGATCCGAGAATCGTTTCGATCCGAAGATGGTCTGTGTTTCACGGGTGCACACTGCAAGTTGCGAACCAAGAATGAGCGTTCTCGGAAGATAACGTGGTTTTGTGAGGATTGGTGAAGAATGGTGCGTCGTAGCAACGGAGTGGACGGATTCTCATCCAGGTATGCAGGCACCGGCTCCCTCTGTGCCCCCAAACCGTGGTTCGAACTGACGAGACTAATTCAATTGCTGGATCTAGGACTGAGAGTTAGCGCACGCCCTAGAAGCCATGGGTTTGCTCCCATTGCAGGATGCATTTCGGATCTCAACCAATGTAGAGACGAACCTGTTGCAGGTACCCGCTGCTCACCGGCAATTCCAGCCACGAAAGAGCAATCAAATGCGAAATGAGAGATAAACAGGCGTTAACGTTAGGCAAAACGTGGGGTGTCTGAGGTTATGGTTTGGTGTAGTTCTTTGTCGAACGACTTAGGCAAAGCTTAGGAGGTGAGTGGATTGGTAGGACTTCTTTGTCCAGTGAGGTGAGTCCCCCAGACGTATTTGTACAGAGGGCTAGTCCTCGAGTACACTGCTCACGTAGGGGAAAGCCCTCGCCGTTGCTGAAGGCGGACAAAGGTACCAGGAGACTGGTAATCGTGGATGTCTCTAGCCTTTGCCACCATTGGTTGAGGTGCCCACCGCTTTTCGCAGATGGCTGTTCAGACGGAAAAGGTGTGGTCGCAAAAAGCCACCGCAACTCAACTTGAGGGAGAGATGTCAAGGAAACAGGAAAAAGCCCTCGTATTCCAGGCACAACTGCGGTCAAATTCGCTTCCCCACGTCTGCTGCATCATGGTCCCCTGGGATGCCGACGATACCCCTCGCCCGGTCCCTTACCAAAGCTTGACTGCACTTCTCTGCTGCTCATTGCACTGCCCAGTCCAACCCGTTCTCTGGAGAAGCCATCGAAGCAGTATCTCGTAATACCCTTTGTCTGAATACACTCAAAGTTCTGTTCACGACTACTCTGCTTCCGCTTGCAGACTAGGACACGAATAGTAGCATCCAGGCACTGCCACGTGAATCTCGTCCCTCAGACTTGGGCTATGGTCCCGCAAATTGCACTCATCTACATCATTTCCTTCCCCAAGTTTAGATCTTCGCCCCAATGATCAGTACACGCCCCGCATTTGCACCCTCGCCTCTCTGCGTTGCACAACTGTCCGGTGGCTGATGGTGATGGGGCCGTCACAATTCATCGTGCTGCTGGCGCAGGTCGGCCGCCGTCCAGCAGGTCTCGATGCAGAGGCCAATATTCCAGCCAGCATAAGGGTTTCCAGGTTATGGATCCATCACTTTTTCTTTTGTGAGGCACAGCAATCCCCAAGGAGGGGAGAGCAGGCGAAGAGGGGAGGTTAGAAGACGCGCCATCTCGATACAGTTAGCGTCAAAGGAAGCGGGCGATCTGGGGGGGACGAGCACCCACGAGCTCCGCCATCCGTCGCGTGGAACGCCCCTCTCAGGCACACACGCGTGGGAGCATGCTTTGACAGTATGTTGATGCACGTCCACCCTCTCTCACAGTTTCAGATTTCGATCAGGGACATTTCGCGGACAATGAACCACCGAGGCGAAAACGTGCGGGGGCTGTGAGGACAAACGGCTTGCTTTGTTCCCTGCAAATCCTGAGCGCGCGCCTGTTTCATCATCTTCCCTTTGTACATACTGCATACCCATCGTTGTTGTCCGCGCGGATGAAAATAGCATCTCCAGGTATTTCTAACTATAGCACCGAGTTTGTTTTGGATTTTTTTCGGTTCTCTTGCCGTTGTAACAGCATTTTGCAGGCGTTTGTTTCGAGGAAAAAAAGTCTTTGGGTGGTTCTGCGCATCCCCCTTTTTGGGGTATCCGAGGCAATCTTTTTCATTTTTGCAATCTACGTTTGCATCTTGGGTCATATAGCATACTACTGTAATCATGGCGACGAATAGCGAGAACAGGGAAGAGGAACCCTCCACACCAGCAAGGGAAAATGCTTCCCGACCGCGAAGTATCAGGAATCTCCAGGAACAGCCCAACGCCGGGACCAGGGATGGAGCCAGCGACGAGATATCGATTGGTTCGGGAAGACATCAACGCATACGACCCCTTTCCGAAATCCCGGAAAAGGAGGATATCGAGAACCTAGATGCCGTATTCAAGGACCGACAGCATGAGTTCGACCAGAGACAAGCCACCCCTTCAGACACCGGATCGATGCAGTTTCAGGAACAAGGAGAAGGGCACGACGTAGAGATCGACGGCGCATCCATTTACACGTACGAGACGGAGACGTTTGGAGATACATCCTCAATCTACACCACGGAGTCTCGGTCGCGAAGACTTCGCAGCGACGAGAGGGTCCGTCCCAAGCGAACGACAACCACGGTCGACAACAGGCCGTTTATGGACCCCACCGTCTCCTTTTCCAAGAAGGCCGAGGAGCAACACGCCCTGTACCACAGAAACCTCCAAAGAGATATTGCCCAGAAGGAATACAATTCCCGCAGGCAATCCGCCCAGAATTCGCCCACCATAGAGAGAACGCTGAGACATATCCATACCCACGGATCGGCGGACGATGGCGGTGGAGAGAATACTGGTTCGCCTCTACGAGGAGTGCACCGCCCGTCTTTGAGCAGCAAAAATAGCACGCCATCGCGGCATGGAGCGCGCAGTTATCACTCCATAGACAGTCTCAGGTCAGCGTCTCAAGACAGATCTGCGTACAAGTCTATGCCCAACACGCCGAACAAGGAAATGCGAGGCTCGCCCTTGGGGTCGCAACACAAGCGCTTGTCGGGAAGCTATTCTCAAGACCCCTTTTCGCCCGAGTCGCCGGGGCTGCGGGAATTATCAAGTCTGCAGCGGGCGCTACGGGATGTGCTGGAAGAGAAGAAGCAGTTGAAGGCGGAGCTCGACGCTGAGAAAGAGCGGAATAGGGAGAGCGAGAGGAAGCTGGAAGACAAAGTCAACAAGCTTGAGGGTTCTCTCCAAGAGGCTGAGCAGCGGGCCATCGAGGCCGAAAAGGACGACCAGCTCAAGAAGGCTCTCGAGGTAGCGAACAAAATGGCGGAGTCAGCCCAGCAGGCTGTTGAAGAGTTGAAGGCGGCCCACTCCGATCTCTCCGAAGCGCAGGCGTTGCTTAAAACAGAGGTCGATACCCTCGGTGCAGAGAAAGAGAGACTCGAAGAAGAGCTGCGACAGAGGACATCTGAGAAAGAGCTTCTGGGCCAGAAGGTTGCTGAAATGGAAGCAAAGATGTCTGAGGAGGGAGGCAAGTACGCCAAGGCCATGGAGCAGCTTCTCGACGATGTGTCAGCGATGCATGGTATGGTCGCGGAGAATGGTATGAAGAGCCCTGCCGAGTTCAAGGATATGTTCGAGCTCGGCAGGGAGGGTCCGGACGAGGCCGCTGAGCTGCGTATTGGCATCATAGAGCTGATGGTCCTGTACGGTACCAAGGCATCCGCCCTGGCGGAAGAGAAGGCGGCACTGGAGCAAGAGCTTGCGAGCCGGCTGGATACCATAACCGAAATGGAACAGAAGCACCTGGAGGAACTCCGGAACCTCCAAGAGGAGGTTGAGAAACAACAGGGCCTCGCTCAGCGCCTCGCAAGCCAACTCTTCGCAGAAGCAAACGCAGAGGACTCCAAGCAAAAGGACGACTGGGAACAGCTCTACCACGACAAAGAAGCCGCCTATCGAAAGCTGAGCGACGAACACGAGCGCCTTCGTCAATTCACCATCGAATCCAACGCGCCCGAACTGAAGAACCAAATCAAAGTCCTCGAGGAGCGCCTCGTCCACCTCAACAAGCGCTACAAGCTCCTCGCCACGCAGCGCAACCAGTTCCGCGAGGCAGCCGCGAACTGGGAGAACGAGTACCGCGCCGAGCACGAGCAGTACCAGCAGAACCTGCGGGAGCGCGAGACCATGATCGAGCAGCACGAGCAGGAGATGCGCGAGACGATCAAGCAGTACTACGACCACCTACCCAAGAACGACCCGGAATGGTTCGAGATCGACGCGCTGCAGAAGCAGGTCAAGAAGTTGGAGCAGCTACTTGCCCACAAGGAAGGCGAGGTCCTCCGCTGGCAGAAGGAGCGCGATACCGCCGTCGAGCGCTTCCACGAGGTGCGGACGGCCATGGAGGAAGGTCGGTATATACGCTACGCGGGACTGTTTGCGGACTCGGCGCCTAGAAGCGGGCCTCGCGTACCGAGATATGAGAGCGAAGAGGAGACGAGGGAGCGGATGAGGAAATTGGAGGAGTTGAGGAGGAGACAGAATGAGAGGAGGGTCAGGGAGGGGAAGGAGGAGCGGAGGGTCGAGGAGATTCGGAGGGATAGGTTTAGGGAGGTTGGGACCAAGTATCCGCCTCTGAGGCCTGGGTGGAAGGAGTTGGTGAAGAAGAGTCCCGAGGAGAGGTGGGCGGTGGAAGCCTGAGCGAGAGAGAAGGAGAGGGAGAGGTCGGGTGATGCATTTGGCGGTTTTTGCATGGATATATCTTGCATTGGGCGGTTCCTTGGATGTTGTGTTACCGAGCAAAATTGTACATAGCTAATAGATATACGTTTATTCGATGTTGGGGAAGTTGGTTGTGTGCGTGCTATTAGCGCGACCTCGGAAGATGAGCGTCTGACCTCTTTGCCCAGCGAAACGCGTTCCCGCTTCCAGAATGTGACACGGTGTAGCCCAGACTCACATGGGCGCGATTGTGGTACATTTTGTCGAACGCGGGACGTTGGTATAAGCATATCCTCGTGGACCCATCATCCTGCAGGACCCTAACCCGTATCCGGTTAGTCTGTTTCTACTTTCAGCTACCCGACCTGCACAACCGTTTACGCCCCATCCGCCCCTCCTACTACTAGTCTACCGGTATGCCAACTGCATTTCTTCCTCACCGTAAAGTCCAACCTCGGGATGACGCGCCTGCCCCTGCGTTTCCCCCTCAACAACAAATAAATGGGACCCGCAGCGGGCATCGGGACAAAACCCCGGTACCGCCCCTCCCCCGCGCCGCAATCTACTCATCCCGCAGATCTACTAGGGTTACTACAATATATCTCGTATGACGATCCAGGAGAACCTTGGAAGGCAGCAGAGGGCGAGGCGGGGGAGGGGGAAATGTAAGTTACTTTTTGTGCCGACGGTAAGCTTGTAAGCTTGCTGCTGTTGGTGGAATGTTACGCAAGGATTCTGCGGTGGGAAGGAGGGAAGTTGGATATGTTCCGTGTGATCGACCTTGGACATCTCTCCAGCTGCGGGTGCCGTTTGTGAGCGGTGTAGGCGTGCGCGGTGCCTAGGTATAATTGGGGAGGTTCGCTTGGCTGGGTTGGGGTTGGGGACGGCAGGGGAGGAGGAGGGCGGTGGGAGGATTGGTTGGTTCCTGCTGCGGGTGGTGAATGAGGAAGTGTATATTAAGACGGTGACGGGCGAGCATCTCAGAATCCGGTGCTTCTTCCTTTGCTTCCCTCCTTCCTTCCTTCCTCTCCGTTTCCCCATTCACGACTCTACCTACCCTACGAGCTTCTCGGACGACATGAAGCCCCTACTCAAGTTCCTAGCTACGGCATTGGCGGTATCGAGCTTGGCGGTTCGAGGTGAGGCGCGGGTGAGTGGGTCTTTGCCGCACGAGAGGATTCGGCCGTATAAGCGCGGGCCATTGCAGGATATTGTAAGTGTGTGAGGGTGTTTGTCGCGGTGGTGACTTGAGGGGATGTGAGTGGGCTAAGTGGGAGTATAGGTCACTTGGGATGAGCATTCGTTGATGGTACATGGGAAGAGGGTGCTTTTTTATAGTGGGGAGGTTCATCCGTATAGGTGGGTTACTTACCTTCATGCTCGAGTACACACAGACTGACTAGACTAGACTCCCCGTCCCCGACCTCTGGCTCGACGTCTTCCAGAAGATCAAAGCCCTCGGCTTCAACGGCGTCTCCTTCTACGTCGACTGGGCCCTCCTCGAAGGCAAACCGGGCGTGTACCGCGCAGAAGGTGTCTTCGCACTGGAACCCTTCTTCGAAGCCGCTCAAAAGGCAGGAATTTACCTCCTCGCTCGACCGGGACCGTACATCAATGCCGAAGTCTCGGGCGGAGGCTTCCCCGGCTGGATCCAGAGAACCAACGGTATGCTGCGGACGAGAGCGCGGGATTTCCTGAACGCCACGAATTTGTACATGGAGTCCGTAGGGAAGACGATTGCGGCGGCGCAGATCACGAATGGCGGACCGATCATCCTGGTGCAGCCGGAGAACGAGTACACGGAGGCGACGGCGAGCGTGCAGCCGTTCCCTGATCCGGTCTATATGCAGTACGTCGAGGACCAGCTTCGAAAAGCTGGCATCGTCGTCCCGCTGATCAGCAATGATGCTTCTCCGAAAGGGTACAATGCACCGGGTCAGCCTGGCGATGTCGACATTTACGGGCATGATGGATATCCTCTTGGTTTCGATTGCGCTAATCCGACGGTTTGGCCGGATGACAAGTTCCCCACGAATTGGAGGGAGCTGCATTTGAAGCACAGTCCAACCACCCCGTACTCGATTGTAGAGTTCCAGGGTGGATCGTTTGATCCATGGGGAGGACCTGGCTTCGATAAGTGCTCTGTTCTGGTAGGCGCAGAGTTTGAGCGCGTGTTTTACAAGCAGCTGTATAGTTTTGGTGTCACGATCCTGAACATCTATATGACGTTCGGAGGGACCAACTGGGGAAACCTAGGGTAAGAGCCTGTCTTCTACCCGAGACACACTACTGACGTGGACACAGCCATCCTGGAGGGTATACATCTTATGATTACGCGGCCGCTATCCGTGAAGACCGTCGTGTGGACCGAGAGAAATATTCCGAACTCAAGCTGCAAGCCAACTTCCTTAAAGTCTCGCCAGCCTATCTGACCGCTGCACGCGGGAATGCTTCAAGCACCACTTCGACGACAGCAACGGGTCTCACTGTTACACGTGCTTCTGAGGGTAATACTGCCTTCTATTTTGTGCGCCACACAAAGTACAACACCCATGATACGACAAGGTATAAACTACGACTTTGGACGACAGCATTTGGCAATATCACAGTTCCACAATTGAACGGCACGAGCCTGACCCTCAGCGGAAGAGACGCGAAGATCCATGTGAGCGACTATGACATTGGAGGCGCCACGCTGGTGTATTCAACTGCCGAGATATTTACTTGGCATAAGTATGCTGATAGGACCGTCCTCGTCCTGTATGGTGGGCCTGGAGAAACCCATGAGTTTGTTCTCGCTGTTACGGGGTATGAGGCGCTGGAAGGCGAGGTCGTGGCGGCTGCTACGAGGGGATACACATTGATCAATTGGAAGGCGACGGCCCAGAGGAAGGTCGTCAAAGTGGGTGTTGGGAAACCCTTCATCTACGTCTACTTGCTCGGTAAGGAAATCGCGTCTAATCATTTGCTGTGGCTCCAAAAGGCTTCAACTAACTTGGGTGTAGATCGCAACTCAGCATACAATTACTGGTCTGTTGATCAAGCCCCTCACGACTCTTCGAATCCCATCATCCTGAAGGCGGGTTATTTGATGCGCACAGCCAAGGTAGACGGCGATACTCTGTCACTTACCGGAGACATGAACTCAACCATCCCGATTGAAATCATCGGCGGTGCTCCTCCTACCCTGTCTACACTGACGTTCAACGGGGAAGACGTGCCCTTCAAAGTCGACAAGGACGGCATCATCAAAACCGAAGACATCAACTACCCCAAGCCGAAACCCTACATTCCCAAACTGAACACTCTCAACTGGAAATACCTCGACGCTCTCCCCGAGCTCCAACCCACCTACGACGACCACGCCTGGACGCCGGCCAACCTCAACAAGACATACAACAGCCACCGCCGCCTCTCAACCCCGACATCCCTCTACGCTTCCGACTACGGCTACCACAGCGGCACCCTCCTCTACCGCGGCCACTTCACCGCCACGGGCACGGAAAAGTCCCTGTACCTGTTCACCCAAGGAGGCTCTGCCTTCGGCGGCTCCGCCTGGCTCAACAACACCTTCCTCGGCTCCTGGCGCGGCTACGACGCCGCCACCAACGGGAACAACACCTTCACCCTCGCGAACCTCGCCCGGGGGAAACAGTACGTCATCACCGTCGTCATTGACCACATGGGCCTAGACCAGAACTGGGTCATTGGTATCGAGACGATGAAGAATCCGCGCGGGATCCTAGATTACAGTCTAGACGGCCACGAGAAATCGGACGTGCGGTGGAAGATCACGGGGAATCTGGGCGGCGAGGATTACAGGGATTTGTCGAGGGGTCCGTTGAATGAGGGTGGATTGTGGGTTGAGCGGCAGGGTTTGCATCTTCCTGGCGCTTTGTCTGCTACGAAAGGCAGGTTCGCTTGGAAAGAGAGTAAGGGGCCCGTGAATGATGGGATAGGTGGGCCGGGAATCGGTTTCTTCGCCACGGAGTTTGAGCTCGGGTTACCCAGCGGATACGACATTCCCCTCTCGTTTACCTTTTCCAATGACACGGCTACGACATCTGGCGGAGGGAATCACTCGGTGCCAGCGGCGTACAGGGTCCAGATCTACGTCAATGGATGGCAGTTTGGCAAGTTTGTGAGTAATGTCGGGCCGCAGACGAGGTTCCCTGTTCCCGAGGGGATACTGGATTATCGCGGGAAGAATTATCTGGCGGTTGTGCTTTGGGGGCTGGATAACGGGCGGACGAGGATCCGGGGGTTGGAGCTGGGTGTCGATGCGGTGGTTTGGAGTGGGAGGGCGGATGTGAGGGTTGTGGAGGGGGAGAGGTATGGGGTTAGGGATGGGGCGTATTAGATGGAATGGGAATGTGGGAGGTGGAGAGGCTAAGGGTGGTGGGTATGAGGGATAAGATGGAGAGAGGGCAGATTTATGGGATGAGGGATATGCCAGCGCGGGAGGGAACAGGGGTGAATGAAGTATCATACTAGGTCTGGCAAAGGATCAAAGACCGATTCTCTTCAAATACTGCGTCCCATGTGTTGGTGTCAAGCCGGCGTTCAACGCAGTTGGTACCACGGACATGATCTGCTACGGGTTACAACATAGGGGATGGACAAGCAGTCAACAGCTGGCTGACTACTGCGGCTTTCCCACGTCCCGAATTGAACATCACACTGCACTTCCTCCAAGGGTCAGGTAACCTGCTCCGCGCAACCTAATTAGCTGCATTCAATCAGGCCACTCGTGTCCTTTTGATCCTAATGATCCCGTCTCTTCTATCCTCCCCAACAAACCCCCCCACCACAGGCGGACGCTAGCTGTTCATATCTTTCAACATAGAAACCTGCAGTATCATCAGCCTAGCGTAGGTTGTACAGTCAATCTGTAGCTACCTGCAAGGCTGCTCTAAGTGGAATCTCAAGTTATTAGATCAGACAAACTAGCTGTTCGGACCTAGATAATAGGTGACTATGGGAAAGGAACACATTCGAGAAGCGTAGAAGAAGCATAATTCATGAGTGTACCTTTTAAAGAGAAGGACAGACTAGTGCCAAAAGGATAAGTTAATATTGCAGAATGCACTGAATGAATAACAGCTAATCGACAGACCACCCAAAAGTAGACTTATGCCAACAGCACGAGTTGGAATGCAGAAATACAATGTATGAATGGACCACAGTCTATAGACAATCCCAATAAAGCTCAACTCCACGTCACTCACTTCCCTTCCCTTCCATTTCTACTTCAATTTCTCTCCTAACCCTCAACCTCACCTTCGCCATCAGGCCCGTGTCCCCTCCGCAAAGTATTTCATTAGTCTGGATGATTGGGGTTCTCTCGGAAGAAGCTCGTCCTCATATCGACCTCCTCAGCAAACCGCACGCTGAACTCGTCCAGGGATCGGCAGCGTCCGAACCCCAAAAATCCCAGGTCGACCACCTCCCCGCGTTCGCCATCATAGAGCTCGCTTACGCGCGAGTTGACCGTGTAGTCAAACGCCTAGAGAGATGCCCTGCTATCACCCGCCGGCGTGGCAAGTATGAGGTCGTACCATCGCCGTTTCGTCTCGGCAGAATCCCCCGTATCAACCGAGTGGAGATTTACTATCGCGCTAAAAATGGCAGATGCGTAATCCTGAACTTTCGATGCTCGTAGACTGCCCAGTTCCCCAGGTGTGTGCACCAAGCGTGCAGGCCCATCGTCCTGAGGATCCGTGTAGGCGTGCGCATGCGTCCTTCATGCGCGCCCATATGTCTGATTGGGAGGTCCATGAACTGGTTCAGCGGCAGCGTTACGCTGAGGATATTTCTTGCGCGTCGAATGGCTCCGAGGATACGGTGCAGTTGGGCAGCACATCCTACGGGTCCCATAACCTCGGTGTTTCCATCGGGCCGGTATTTTGGCCAAACTCCTTCGGTGGTGAGGAGGATTTTGGTTCCGATCGTGTATTGGTTTAAGACCTGCTCTGAAGCGAGGATATCGCCGGCCGATACGGTGACGTGTGTCATGATGTCGGTAAATGTTCGTTATTGAGGCGTGATGCCGGCTTGCTTAGTGAGGAGCGATGCCGTTTATTGAAGTGAATGAGCGAGTGAAAGCTAAGCATAAGAGTTAGAAAAGTGGGAAGTAGAGTGCTTGGATTACGCACAACGGGAGGGCGCCGATTGAAATACGCTACGCTGCTCGGGAGACTAGCTAGTTCCTACCTCTTTGGAGAGTAAATAAAACGGGCATGCAGCTTCATAGCTCCTGGCCCCAGGCGTTTCCAGTGCCAGATGAGGCCGCAGGGTGGTCCAACTCTCAGACTAGCACTTCCCAACTCCACGGTGGATCTGCGTATGTGGAGTAGGTATAAGGAAGAACGGTCCACATCCATTCCCTGCGTGCTGCAGTTCGAAACGTAGTATGCGCAGAACGTGATCGTAATCGTTTGCGTATACATCGATCTCATCGGCCGATCACCCACAAATCTCAGGAGCTACAATGGCAGACAACAACTGAGATACCTACACCCTTCCAGACTCCTCTCACGTAGCAATACCCTTCCAGACTGAGTATATCACACACGACTACGAAGTCCGACGCCTGAGACCCATACATTCAGGTAAAAGGGAGCCCCTCAGCTCCACCCACACTCGCCGCCCTAACCCTCTTACGGAACCGTCCTTCACGCCCTTTCTTCTGAACTCCACCCTCCTGTACTCTCTCCCCGGACGGGGCCAACCCTGCCGTCGCCGGCTTCCTCCTCCTCACCAGCTGGTACCCTCTATCGAGCTCGACCTCAATGGCACAACGGACTTTCAGTGCGGTTACCGCAGGCCATACACTCCTTTCGCCACGCAGAATCCAGTAGTCAAGGCTATCCTTCGTGGGATTCTGGAGAAGCTTGACGAAGTCACCGGGCGAGAGTTCAGGGACGAGGGTGAGGCTCGCTCCGGGAACGCTTTCATCGAGCAGGAAGCGGCGGATTGAATGGGGTAACAGACTGAATTCGTCCAGTTGGTGAAGACGATGTTGGATCTCCATTACAAGTAGCCTTAGCATCGGCGTCGAGATATCCCATCGACTATCTTGGCGAGGATTGGGATGGTGCAAGTCCGAGCGGAGGAAGGGCGCGAGGTAAGGCCTCGCTTGGGAGACGACGAAGTGATTTACGTTGAAGAGTTCTGCGATGCGGTGGAGGGGAGATTCGCGGTCTGTATAGCGGGCGCGGGTCCAGGGTTGGAAGGTTGCTTCTTCGGCGCGGGGCCAAGGGGTGATGGCGCCGGTTTCGTCTTTGCATAGAAGGGTGACGGGACGGTAGAAAGAGGAGGACGAAGTGTTGGAGGCGAGTGCCGCGGGCCAGATGAGCTGGACATGCGTGAGACTTTGTGACTGGGGCGGTGAAGGGGAATACGTACGACATTGGGAGCTGTGAGGTAGTTCAGGAGATTTGGCACGCCTCCACTTCCGTTTGTGGAGACGGTGATGTTGAGAACTCTCTTGGTCCTATTATACGCCTCTTCAAACGTCAGATCCCCAACGTTACTGCGGACCACCTCTTCCAAGACTCCAACATCCAGGAAATATCCTTCCCTTATATATCGCTTGATCCGCCGAACTACCGTCGCCACCAGTCCACTCTGTCTCGCATTTTCTTCCCCTTTGGCAATGTCGGCGGTTTTCTTGAAAGCGGATAGATCAATACTGGATGAGTTGAGAAAGTCCAAGAGCTCCTCTTCGGTGTGAACTCCAACCAGTGCTGCAATGAGCGCACCCGTAGCAGTCCCAGCAATGATACGAGGCAGCAAACCACGAAGATGGAGGGCCTTGACTACTCCAAGATGACAAAGGCCAAAGATAGCACCGCCCTGCAAGACCAGGCACGATCTTCCAAACGCCTGTCGAGTATCATGCAACACATCCAACCTGGCCTGGTTCGTCAAGCCCGTATCCGAGCTGTGGCTCGTCGGGTACGACGCGAGGTAATCGATGGCCAGAGCAACCTGGGTGACATAGTCCTCTATAAGCAGCTTCGTCCCCGCATACGCCCGGTTGAACAAGCGCGGTGACGTGATATTCCCTAGATTCCGGACAAGACCAGAGCGTAACAGGCTCACAAGTCCTAGTATATCATCCTCTTCTCGCGCTTCGATGATAGCTCGAAGCCGTTCGTATATAAGGCGGTAATCGTAGTGTCTGCTCGTGGGGTTCTGTCGCCTGCGAACAGTATCAGCTGAGGTTTGAGCAAGAGGGAAGCGTGAGCAATAGATACCAGAGATCGAATCCCAACTCCTCATCCAACTGAAAAGCACTGGCCTCCCACTCTTCGAATAGTCTTGCCTCGGCCAATGTCTCTATCAACACGTCTCGAGGGCTCTTCTGAGTCCACCATGCATATAATCGCTGCATGGCATCAGCATATATATATACTCCGCATAGAGGAACGAGGACAAAAGCTAAGGGTGGGTAGGAGTTGCGGAGGACACGGGTTACTTACGAGTTGCCAGAAGAAGGCAACCTCGACGAAACAGCTGAGAGCGAGCTTCAGGAGGGCGGCTATATTCCAGCCGATCGCCATGGCGAGGTCAGCCGGGCGCCAGGGGTTGGCAGCAGCGGCATGTCTATTTGCCTAGGGTTGAGCTGGAGGGAATGAGATGTGTGGATGTTTGTCGTCTTTTCACGTGAAAGCGGACGTTGGGCGTTTGTCCGGGTTTTGGAAGTTGCCCGGTGGGAATGTGGGGTGTGGCGCGGGGCGCACTAGCCACAGAGGAGACGTCATCCCCAGCTCAACAGCAGCAGCAGTGCTAAGAGTACATATTGCAAGGTGGCTTGCATTCATTTGATCAAAAGGTATATATGTACGTTAATAACACATACCTCTTAGTTCCGGTCAATCTAAGAAGAAACCTACCCCAACAACCCTCAATTTCGCCGCACCTCATAGCTCCAGTCCGGGTAACGTTAACATTCCATCGCCTCCACCACACTTCAACTCTCCAAACCAAAAAAATGCCCGGATCCTCCCTCTGGCTCCTCCCCCCAAAATCCCACCCCCTCAACTCCATCCTCACCACCTGCATTCAAAAAGCCTCCTCTCACTTCTCCTCCCCCCACCTCTTCACCCCCCACATAACCCTAACCTCCTCCATCCCTTCCTCGGTCCACTCACCCGATCCCCAGAATTGGCTCGACAGCCTTCCCCTCTTCGGCGACCCTCCCACCAGCGTCGAGGTCAACTTCACGCACCTGGAAAGCCAAGATGCCTTTTTCAAGAAGCTGTATATCAGCATTTTGAAGGAGGAGGGGTTGATTGCCATTGCGAAGAGGACGAGGAGGTGCGTGCCCGGGTGGGAGGATGAGGGGGAGGCGGAGAGGTGGGCGGTGGAGGAGTGGGTGCCGCATTTGAGTTTGTTGTAGTGAGTTTTCTCCGATATCGACAGCTACCTCGTTGAGTGTGTCGCTGAGATGGAGTCATCAAGCCACAATTGCCCCAAGATATCGATCGAGGAGATTGAAAAGGTTAAGCAGATGGTGATGGATGCTGGGGTGAGTTTCACGTGGAATGATGACTTGAGTGGTTGGACAGGAGGGAGAGTGGTGCTGGTGCCAACGGATCGACCGATTGAGGAGTGGGAACCGATCGCAGAGAGGGAGATTTAGTCCTTCCGCCTACTCACCAACTGAAAATTTGCTCCGAGAATTGTAGACTCTGACGAGACATGAACGTAAGCTAGACCGTGTGCGAAGTGCTTCATTCTATGATGTGCCACTGCACAGTATGCTAGAGTGCTATAATTGTCTCGGCTATGCAATACGTCCCAAACTCATCCCAGATCGACCCATGAAATAAATCGCCTCGCTCTATTCCAGCGAGATACCCGCGGTCTTCCATACATCTGGATACACTGCCACCAAACTCGCCGTATCCTTCGCACGAGCTGGTGCTCGTTTCGGCATGACAATGGTCGCATGACGCAGCAACGCTCTCCCTTGGGCACCATAGAAGTTGATGACCTTCTTCGCGGAATCGCGCACCAGTCCCTTGAGCACCATGAAATGTCCCGTATGAAGCTGGTCCGACGGCGTATTGCATATCGAGGCGAGAGCGCGCCAGTATTCGGAGATGGGAATTGCTGGTGCTTGTACAGCCCGCAGACTCATCGCCGCAAAACCGTTACCCAGCCCGACCATGCGTTGGTGATAGTAGTTGACGTTCATCGGCGATCCTCCGACGTTTGACCAGCCTAGACGAGCCCTCCCTTCGGCCGTGTTGGGGTTCCCAGTGATGCCAAAGAGGATGGGACATGCGCGATGGAGCTTGGCCAATAGAAGATCGATCATAGGGATCCCGTTCCAGACGAATTCTTTGTCAACGAAAAGGCTGGCCGCTATTATACCGAGTTCCTGGATGATGCCAGACTCTTCTTTTGCGGCTTCGGAATCGAATTGCTTGATCACGAACTTCTCGAAACAGATGAAGGCATACAGTAGGATCGCAGGGTATTGTGCCTCAGACTCGTTCCCCAAGGTAGGCAAGGGGCGAGAGATGATGAAGGGTCGAATGTCGACGGTCGGGCCATTGACGTTTCGTGCACTACGCAAAACTTCGCGGATCTTGGAGATGACCACCTTGCTATCCTCTCGGTTGATAGTGACCTGGCCCGTTATCTTCCTTAACTCCCTCCTCAGATCACCGACAGGTCCTTTTAAAGGATGCCCCTTTTGAGCACACTCTGTCTTGAATGGCTTCCAAAAGGCTTTCATTCGCTGATGGAGTTTCAAGTACCGGGAATGGATGTCTTCGACATCGGATGCACCAATCGCTGCTGCGCCTGTTGGCTGCGCAGCCGGAGCCGCCGGAGCCGCTTTCACAGCCTGTTGCCACGGTTGGGTAGGTCGTGGTGGCGCTTGGGCTTGGGCTTTCTCTACTGCGGCGGCTTCTTCCCTCGTTTTCCTATCCGCTTCCTCTTGCTCGGCCTTCTGCCTGCGCGCTCTCTCTTCCAATTCCTTCTGGGCCTTGACCTTTGCCTCTGCCTCTTGTATCTGCCGCTGCTCCTCGGCTGCTTTCCGTGCTGCTTCTTCCTCGCGGCGCTTTGCCTCTATCACACGTTGTCGTGCCTCGGATTCTTGCTTGGCCTTTTCCGCCTTGATACGCTCAAGCTCCCGCTGCCGTTCTTCCTCTCGTTTCATCTGTCGAACTTCCTCCTCGAGAAGCAAGCGGTTGAGCTCCAATTCGGCCCCCTGCCTGACCTTGTCATGCTTGCGCTCGGCTCTTCTCAGTTGCTCCTGATACACTTCGGCGTGTTCGGCACAGACTTTGTCGAGGCGGTTATTGAACTCTTCCTCGGAACGCAGGAGTAATTGACTGAATTCCAGAATCATTCGCTTCGAAGGGCTGTCCTTGTCGAAGATGTCGAGGCGGGTGACGTCGCGAGGGGGGGAGCGGACGTCTCTGCGACTGGGGGAATGCCTTGAAGGGGATTGCCTCGAGGGGGAACTCCCTAGCCAGCTCGAGCTGCGCGGCGACGCGGAATGCATGGTTGTGGACGACGCGCCTGACTTGGGGGGCATGTCGAGACTCGAGCAGTGAGTCGAGGATCAAGGTGATTAAAGGAAGCAGAGAGGCTGAGGGCAAAAGAATACAGGAGGAGAAGGGCGGGGCCGATTTAGGGGAATTGCATGGATGTCGGTGAAAGTGAGTCGTCTTCCGAAGCCCGCGTTGAGCGTGTGGGGAAAGTCGTGTAGGCAATGCTCAGAGACGATCAGACTGCAAACTGACGGTAACGCTGCGACGACGACCAGAATATTCAAGTAGCGAGTGAATGGCAGACGGGAACGGCACTCTTTCACATCCCGTCGGAAATGTTTGGAGCAATCTGTGTTGTTTTTTTTTGGGGGGGGGGGGGGGGGGGGGGGGGGGGAGGGGGGCTGGGGCCCGGCTGGAGTGGTCACCAACCTCGAAAGTCGGAAGAAGAAGAGGAAGATAGTTGACCCGGCCCGACTCGGAAATGGAAAAACTATCGCCGAGGAGCCGTCCAAGAGCGGTATCGAGCTGGCCACCCAGTTTGCATGTGCTCTCACAGGACTAGATACTAGCTTGGCGTATCCGGACTTGAGGCAGCTAGCAGCTATATCGTCGTGTTGAAACGGGATCAAAACAGCAGCCTAATAAGGGGAAGTTGTGACGGCTAGCACAGCACACACGGTAGCATGACTGCTTTGGGATGCGCCCACTGACACAAGCTGCTCTCTCCTCGGTGGTGGTGCGGCGGTCCGATTATTGCGCGGCTGCGGGACTGGTTTCTCCATCGTACCATAGCCATTGTACCATTTGTACTGATTGCACTGATTTATGTGGTATCAGTGACGTATCTGATTGCGTCGTTTGCGGGCACCTCAAAGCGCTACTGATGACGGTCGCAGGAGGAGAGGAGGGGCTCTCGGACCTACTCCTCCCTACACTACTCGCTACTAGACTAGCCTCTCAAGTGCTCGGTATGAAAGCAGGGGCCAGCCCAGCCCGCCCGCCCGCCTCTCGCCCTCTCCTCCTCTCGTCCCCCCATCCATATTCGCCTTCCATCTACCTTCACCACCCTCACCTTCTCTTCCCGCACCCGTCGGTGACTCCTCCCTCCTTTTCAATCCCTCTTTCCCAGAGCCCGACGACCGCCTCCTTCTTTCTGTCATTTGCGACGCGGCTACCGCTACCTTGGTAGGGCTTGGGGATTCCGCTCCTTGACCACCCCTACAGCAACACAGTCCGTCAACCTTCTGCGTAACCCGACCACAACAGTCACTTTTGCCACCATCATCTGTTCTACCGAACATCGATCCTAAGAGAAGAGCATCAGCTTGCGCATCCCGCTTGCCTCCACATAGCTTTCCACATCGCTGTAAGTCCTCGTCACCCCGTATCCCGTAACCCACCAGCCCTCCCGCACTCGTCTAAACCCACCTGCATCCCTCGCCCTACTTGCGTCGTCCTCTCTCCGTCCTCATACGCCTTCTGTCCCGGATTCCATCTTCCGCGTTGCCTCACTTGCTCCCCTGGGAAGCTCCACCCCTGCGAAGCTGACCGTTCTTGGAGTGTTAGGAACATCGTACCTCTTATAATTGCACCCTGGGCTTTCGACCACAGCAATCACAATAATGGATCAACAAGGCCGGCCTAATCCCGTAGGCCGTTCCGGCCGTCCCATCCACATTGCTCATCGACGGAGCCCGTCTGAGCTTACTCCTCTCATGAGTACGATACCTTGTCTCACCGTCCTGTTCTTGCTGACGTCGAGTCTACAGTGAGCCAACTCCACTACGCTCGCGGTATCGATGAAATACAGCAGCAACAGCAGCAGATCCTTGCTACCCATCAGCAGTTGGTGAACATGGGCATGATAGCACAGCAACAGCCTCTGCCGGCCAACTTCCAGATGCTGCCTCAGATGTCCAACGTTTCTCCACACGCCAACAACTACCAGTTTCCACCGCAAATGCCGCAACAGCAACTCGCAGTGCCTGTGAACACTCCGCCGCAAGGCTCTTCCCATCGCCGCAACCAATCCGCTTTACCGAATGTGGGTATGGGACCGCCCCCGGCTCCCTCCTCGGGCGCTTCCGGGTTTGGTGATTTTCAAGGACAACAGGGCAACCAGGGCAGAGAGAACATAAACCCCCGTGGTCGCGGCGGCGGTGCTGCGGGCTCCGGTCACACTCGCCGTCACTCCCTCGCCCTACCAGAGGCTAAGAAGGCCGCCGAGTTGGCTGAGCAGAAGCGGAAGGCCTCTGGTTTCCAGTTTCCTCTGCCATCGGCGGGGGGTGCCGAGGAAAAGCGCGAATCCAGTCCGGCCAGGTCTGGAACTACTCCAACCGACCAGCCAGCTCTTCGTGGCGGTCGCATTGCCCACGGTCGTAGCCAGAGCATGGCCGTGGGTCGCGGCGGCGGTCATGTTGGGCGCGGAGGTGGGAGCTTCCAGTTTCCTGGTCCGCAAGCCGATGGCAATGGTCAATCGGGACAGTCCGATTTCCAACGCCGTGGTAGCGGCCATACCCGGAGCTCCTCTCGCAACTTCGAGGGCAACTGGAGGCAGCCCAATAACCAGCAACAACAGCAGACGCAGGACAACCAAGCCCAAAATATGGGCAATTTCAGTCTGAACCAAACCGCCAATGCCGCCCCGTTTCAACCCGGTCATCGCGCTCGTGGCTCCGTCAACCAATCCATCGGTTCCCTTGGAAACTTCCAATATCAGGGTCAGCCACAGGTGCTGCAGCTTCCGCAGGGCCCGGTTCTGATGACACCACAGCACATGTTCCCACCCCAAGGCCTTAATCCTTTGCAGTTGGCCCACCTACAAGCCCTCCAGGCCGGTCAATTGAACGTGCAAGGCATGGGAGGCCTTCAGGCCAGCCAGCACGCGCAGCCTCAGATGGGTATTCAGCAGCAACAGCAGCGCAAGACCCTGTTTACCCCGTACCTTCCACAGGCTAGTCTTCCGGCCCTTCTCGCGGACGGTCAGCTGGTTGCAGGAATCCTTCGCGTCAACAAAAAGAATCGCAGCGACGCATACGTGACTACGAGCGACCTGGATGCTGACATTTTCATCTGTGGCAGCAAAGACCGGAATCGAGCTCTAGAAGGCGATATGGTGGCAGTTGAGCTTCTCGATGTTGACGAAGTCTGGGGTCAGAAGCGCGAGAAGGAGGAAAAGAAGAAGCGAAAGGACAATGCTGACCCTCGCGGCGCTGGCCTTGCCGTAAACGATGCCACTACCCAGCCTGAGACAGGGCAGTTGGGCGAGGGCGGTGTTCGCCGGAGAGGCAGTTTGCGGCAGAGACCAACGCAGAAGAAGAACGATGACGTAGAAGTGGAGGGCCAAAGCCTGCTTCTCATGGAGGAGGAGGAGATTAATGATGAGCAGAAGCCTCTTTATGCTGGCCACATTGTGGCGGTTATCGAGCGTGTGGCTGGGCAGATGTTCTCAGGGTGCGTTTTGATGCACGCTTGTTAGGGCTAAAATTGCTAATGTTGCGCAGAACCCTCGGCCTTCTCCGACCCAGCAGCCAAGCCACGAAAGAAAAGCAAGAAGCTGAACGTCAAGCCCGTGAAGGAGGCTCGGCCCGTCAACAACCCGAGCGTCAACAGGATAAACCAAAGATTGTGTGGTTCAAGCCGACTGATAAGCGCGTTCCCCTTATCGCTATTCCGACCGAACAGGCCCCTAGGGACTTCGTAGAGAAGCACCAGGAGTACGCGAACAGAATCTTTGTCGCCACCATCAAGCGCTGGCCGATCACTTCGCTTCACCCTTTCGGCACCCTGGTGGAGATGCTGGGTGAGATGGGGGATCCGAAAGTCGAGACCGATGCGCTTCTCCGGGACAACAACTTCGGGCCCGAAGCCTTTACCGATGCTGTGTTGAAGTCAGTCGGGTTCGAAGACTGGTCTGTCGAGAGTGACGGTGCGGAAGCCTTGGCCAAACGGAGAGATTTCCGGGATGTGGAGACATTCACCATCGATCCAAACGGAAGCAAGGAACTAGACGATGCCATCCACTTCAAACGCTTAGATGGCGGCCTTGTTGAGGTTGGCATACACGTTGCTGATGTAGCTCACTTCATCAAGCCCAACAGCCTGGTTGACCGTGAGGCGAAGAAGCGTGGTACCGCCGTATATCTCATGGATCGGACAGTCAACATGCTTCCTCCTCGCTTGTCCTCGGAAATCTGCTGCTTGAGCCCGGGTCAGGACAGGTACACTGTCAGCGTCGTTTTCAAGATTGACCCCAAATCCGGCCACGTCCTTGAGGACGAGACCTGGATTGGCAAGGCCGTGATCAGGAGCTCCGGCAAGTTGACGTTCGAAGAGGTTGATTCGGTGATTAGTGGTCGCAATGACCTCTCTGTACCGGCTTCGCGAGCGGAGGACATCAAGACGCTTTACGACATTGCAATCAAGTTCCGTCAGGCACGCTTCGGGGACCGCGCCACCGAAATCCCGCCGCTCCGGCTCATCTACCAGCTTGATGATGAGAATATTCCAGTTGAGGGGAATATATTCAATTCTTCGCCCGCGCACGACCTCGTCGAGGAGATTAGCCACAAGACCAATGCCTTTGTAGCCAAGAAGCTGCTTGCCGGACTACCTGAGAAAGCCTTCTTGCGACGTCAGCCGTCACCCAACCCTCGTCGGTTGGACACCATCGCGCAGAGAATGAACGCCATCGGGTATCCCATCGATACGACGAGCAGTGGTACTTTGCAGAATAGTTTGTTCCAGGTTGAAGACCCGGATATCCGGAAGGGAATTGAGACTCTCATCATCAAATCCATGACGCGAGCGAAGTATTTTGTTGCTGGCAAAACTACGGCGGACCAGTACCAACATTACGCTCTGAATCTCCCAGTGTATACGCACTTTACGAATCCATCCCGGCGGTACGCGGACATCATAGTGCATCGTCAACTTGAAGCCATTTTGTCCAATGGAGAGGTCGAGTTCGCCGAAGATATGGAAGCTCTGAACAAGACAGCCGAGTTGTGCAACACCAAGAAGGACTCTGCTCACAGTGCCCAAGAGCAGAGCGTACACATTGAGTCTTGTCGCCAAATGGACAAGAAACGACAAGAAGTGGGCGGTGACCTTATCAGCGAAGGTATCGTCCTCTGTGTCTACGAGTCGGCCTTTGACGTTCTCATCCCCGAATATGGCTTCGAGAAGCGTGTCCATTGCGATCAGCTGCCCCTGAAGAAAGCGGAGTTCGACAAGAATCAGCGACTTTTGGAACTATTCTGGGAGAAGGGAGTGCCCTCGTCGGCGTACATTCCGGAGGATGAGCGACCGAAGCCGGTGTCTGCTCGTGCGGCTAATGCGGCGGCTGCGGCACGTGACGCTGAACTCGCCAAACAGCGTGCCAGGGAACAAGAAGAGGCGCAACGGAAGAACACGGAGACAGGAACCATGTCGACAGCTGCTGTAGACGCACTCTTCGATGACGATGAAGACGAAGATGCAGACAATCTGGCTGGCTCGATGGCTGGTGTTTCACTCAATCCGAACGGCGCGGACCGTCCAACTCAAAGCATGCCACCTTCCCCCACAAGGGGTGCGCTCTCGACGGGTCAGGCCCCTCACCGCGTCAACTCGGATTCCAAGCTGTCGCAGAGTGCCAACGAAGTGCCCGAGTCCAAGCTTACGAATAAGGAAAAGTATCTCGATTGGTTCACCTTGCGGGAAGAGAATGGCGACTACATCCAAGAAGTGCGGGAAATGACCCGTGTTCCGATCATCTTGAAGACGGATTTGACGAAGAGCCCACCGTAAGTAGATGCCGCCCAGACCTCTCAGAGATCTTGTTCACTGACCTCGTCTAGGTGCCTCACCATCCGTTCCCTCAACCCTTTTGCTCTCTAATCTCTCTTGATGCGGTCGGGATGTTCCATTAGGGACGATACTGCGTCTGGTCGGACGTGAGCAATATAACAAACCGCTACTCCCCATGATTAATCTATCCATTACTCGCCGTCGACGAACGGTCAGGGAAACGAACGAAGAGTGCGTCTAGTCGGCAGATCGACGATTTGGCCCAGATAACCACCAGGGTTTCTGGGCGGAGGAGAAAGGAGAGTATTTATATTGTCGATATTCGGAGCTTAAAGAGGGATATGGCAGATAGGCTATGCAGCAGGAGTACGTGAGAAGTATATTACCATGTCAGAGACGCTGTCGAGCACCAGTCGAGTTGAGGTCAGTAGTGTATGTTTATAGTCGTATCCTAAATTGTCTGCAAGAGCATTGCTACCATTTCCCTGGGCGAAAAAGATGAGAGGAGAATGATATGAAGGGGCTTAGGAGGATGCGCTCGCGTGGTCGAGAACCTCGCCATCTGTTGGTTGAGTCTGTTCATCCGCTTGGAGGCTGCAGTTGCCGGCACCCGAAGTGACCCAGACCGGTGCGAGACCTTCCCGAAGCACCTCAAACAGTAGGTACTGGATCTTAGACGACTTGTAGTAGATATGGCTATCGCCCCTCGGGAGACTTGGCGAGCGACGTGATGTTTTGGTTCATCAAGGTTCATGCTTCAGCCTCTGCACTCCTCTCCTGGTCAACAACCCCGGTCGAGCATCACAACAGTATTCAGTAACCGCCTTTGAGCAGCAGTTCGAAGACTTCGGGTGTTGCTAGGTTCTGCACAAATGTGATCAGACCCCCCCTTTGCCTTAACTAGCCTTTCTCTAGTGAATTCTGCTAATTCTAGTATCGCGACTGCACTTCCGGCACCCACGCATGGAGGTCCCGTCTACCGGCTACGAAAGGCCTCGGAATGTCTACCACCCGTTCTCATGCAACTCCACCAGGCTGAACGGTTCTGCTTAGGACGGCTGCAAGTTCTCCGTGCGACGAAATCATCGAGGAGGACTGTAGGTTGGCACTTCAAGGGTTTCAAGCGTGGCCAGGGCGGCGTCGCAGCACCCCTGTTCTGCAACACAACCGCCTTCAACTCCAACCCCCAACTCAGTGCTGCGACCTCTCAGGGCGGTTCTACCACCAAAATGAACCCACACTTGCTCGCTACAGACTCGCAAGTCCTAGAACGGGTGATTCCACTGCCCGATATCCGCTAACTGGACCTGCCGTGCACGGGATCACTGTGTCCGCGAATGCTTTGCGAAGGCTTGCCGCGTGCTCAGCACCTCCCCCGAATTTGCCATGTCGTCTCAGATGCAGCCCCAAGTTCGTGGAGTGGACTATAAGGTCCATTTACCGCCCACCTCTGTTTCCTCCGAACGTTTTCTGTTGGACATCAGCTAGCAGGAGCTTTCCATTCGGTTCTTCTCCCTTTCCTAACTCCCACCACATTCCTTATTCCTTCGCTTCTTCCCTTCGTCCCTGGTTGGACTTTACGAAAATTTATAATCCGTTCAGAGCTAGACTTTGCTAGCCGTCCATCTTTCAACAAACCAGCCTCACTTTAAGCAAATACGACTTAATTCAGCAACATGCCTAGCCTACGCTCAACCATGCGCTACCTCTTCTGCCTGGCACCGGCTCTCACGGTGGCGGCTCCCGCTGGAATCGACGCTCGTCAGGAGCCAGCTCCTCCTGCTCCCCCCGCTGGTGGCTTAACCGACGTCGATATCCTGCAGTTGTGAGTTTCCGGACCTTGGTCGACCACGAGGTGACGGAGAGAACTAACCAGTCAACCAGTGCCCTCACTGCGGAACACCTCGAAGCCGCATTCTACAAGAACGGTTTCGCCAAATTCCCCGCCTCGGACTTCCTGGCTCTGGGCCTCACTGAAGCCGATGTCCAATCTTTGGTCAAGGTTGGCGAGACTGAGGCGACTCATGTCACGACACTTCTCTCCGCCATTGCCGGCGCCGGTGCTGTCCCCGTCGAGCCTTGCCAGTATAACTTCGATGCCGCGTTCGCATCTGCCCAGACCATGGTCGCCACTGCGCGTATCCTCGAGGCCGTCGGTGTGTCGGCCTATCTCGGCGCCGCTCCCCTGATTCAATCTGGTGATGTCCTCTCGGCCGCCGCTTCAATCGTCACTGTGGAGGCGCGTCACCAGGCCTTGATCCGCCTACTCTCTGGCGCCGAAGCCGTGCCCTCCGCCTTCGACACCGCGCTCGGTCCCCGCGCCGTCTTCACCCTTGCAGCCCAGTTCATCCGCTCCTGCCCCGAAGGCTCCAACCTCAACATCCAAGCGTTCCCCTCCATCTCCCTCCAGAACCCGGAACTCGCCCAGGTGGGCCAGAACCTGCAGCTCGCGGACGCCGGTCAGCCTTCAGGTGGCCAGTTCTGCGCCTTCGTCTCTGGGTAAGTCGTCTTTCGAATCCATACTCTTGATTCCTTCCCATTCTGACATTTGCTGTTAGTGGTGCAACGCAATTCTCCCCTCTCACCAACGGAAACTGCCTCATTCCCCAGAACCTGTCGGGTGAGACGTACATGATGATCACCAAGTCACAGTCGACGGCCGACGCAGAGGTGCTCGCCGGTCCCTCCGTCATCCAGCCTTCGTAGAGAAGAAAAATCCGCTTTGATCGATCAATTTGGTGATTTCCCCAAATCGTCCTAGCCCTAATTTAATCATGGACTCCTTGTGCTCTGAGATATGAGCTCCGAGCTCCGAAGCAACTTGCGCAGGTTGGGGGAAGGAATCAATAAACGGAGAAGACATATTTACTACAGCGAAATGCTCTTTGCTATTCTTTACGATCGTTGGACAAATACAAGCGTTGATTTTTTGCGATAAACCTCTTCTTTTGGTACGGGATGGTTTTGTGTATGTTGGGTGTGGAGGAGCTGGGTCGCACGAGCTGGTCTTGAGAGGTTTGGGAGATACCCCATGTCGTTTGCTGGGAAGAAGGTAGATAGCTCTTGGAAGAGGGTGAATGGGTAGTTGTAATTGTTGGAATGCAAGATCTATTTGCAGTCGATGATTGTTTCTGTGTTGAAGCATGAAGAAAAGATTGTGGAGGTCTGTCCATGAGTATTTCATGAGGCTGGCACTCGATGCCTCTGTGAAAATGGTCCCTCCGCGTTCCTTCCGAACACGTAACGTGTTCCACGGGCGAGCGCCGCACACGGGCGAGCGCCGCACCCCACCAACTTTGCCCACCTCTCTCATCTCAACGTACAATGGCTCAACGCAGCGCTACTCAATCAGCTTCAAATGAAGCAGATGTTTAGCTTGCTATCACCTCTATTGAAAACGATCATATCCAGAGCAATCGCCGTGCTGCTACTATCTATAACGTGTCCGAACGAACAATCTGCCGCCGACGCGCTGGTGTCTCTTTGCCAGCCTAATTCGAAGAAGCTTACCCAGTTAGAAGAGGAGGTGATTGTCAGTCACATATTGGATCTAGATCAACGTGGTTTTGCACCTAGCCTAGCTGCTGTATGTGATATGGCCAATAAGTTGCTAGCTGCATGTGGTGGAGAATGCATAGGAGTCAACTGGCCATCTACTTTTGTCAAGCGTACAGACAGCCTCACGACACATTTCAATCGGGCGTACGATAGGCAGAGGGCTCTATGCGAGGATCCTATGTTAATCAAGAGCTGGTTTGAGCTTGTAGAGCAGACGAAGGCCAAGTACGGCATCTATGATGAGGACATCTACAACTTTGACGAGGCTGGCTTTATAATGGGCAAGATCATGACTTAGCTTGTTGTAACTGGGTCAGAGAGAAGAGGTCGGCCGAAGGCTGTTCAGCCAGGAAATCACGAGTGGGTGACAGTAATCCAAGGAATCAACGTAGCTGGTTAGGCTATCCCACCGTTCATCATCTTTGCTGGCCAACACCATCTCTCTGCCTGGTATGAGGAAGCTGATATCCCATATGACTGGGTGATCACAGTTAGTGATAATGGCTAGATGAACAATGAGCTAGGAGTTGAGTGGCTAAAGCACTTCAATATTTATACTAAGACTCGTGTTTTAGGTGCTCGTCACCTACTTATCTTTCATGGCTACGAGAGCCACCACTCCCTTGAGTTTCAGGAATTCTACAAGGAGAACAATATCTATATGCTCTACATGCCAGCTCACTCGTCGTATCTGCTCCAGCCTCTTGATATTGGCTGCTTCTCACCATTGAAGTGTGCATATAGCCGTGAGATTGGGGCTCTGATCTGCAACCATATCAACCACATCACGAAGCTTGAGTTTCTGCCAGCCTTCAAGGCAGCTTTTGATCAATCGTTTATATCAGCCAATCTCTGCTCAGTCTTTCGAGGTGCAGGCCTACTTCCTCTCCAGCCAGACGTTGTTCTGTCAAAGCTAGATGTGCAGCTCCGTATGCCTACTCCTCCAGCTGCTCTAGTAGTGGCTCTCTGGGAGGCTCGAATACCAAGCAATGTATGTGAGCTTGAGGCTCAATTAACGCTAATATGTGATCGTGTTCAGTGGCACAAGAGCTCATCACCAGTCTCAATTATTGAGGCAATTAATCAGCTCAAGAAGGAGGCTGAAGTGATGATGCTCTCAGCTGAGCTGATGCACGATTGGATTGCTAGCCTTGAGAGAGCCAATGAGGCAGCTATAAAGTGGAGGCAGCACAAGAAGAAGTGGATCCAGAAGCATGGAGTCTTAACAAAGGGAGCAGGAGAGGATATACTAGCTCAACAAGAGGTTGAGGAGCAGATTGCTCGTGAACAGCGTCAAGGTGGTGGGCAATCAGGTCTCAGCTGCCAGGCTCTGGCGTGCTGCACAAGGTGGAGAGCCTGGGCATAACTCATGTACGTGTAAAAAAGATACTTAAGATACTACTTGATCTACTCTATTAATATTTATCTATTATTCTACAAGGTGGTTGGGTTGCACATTTGAACAGGTGGGCAAAGTTGGTGGGATGCGGCGCTCGCCCGTGTGCGGCGCTCGCCCGTGGAACACGTTATTGGAATATCCAGCTGCAGGAAATGCGGGCCGTGGGAAAGAGGCCGCGGTTCTGCCGCGGTTCTGCCGCGGTTCTGCCGAGCCTTTTCGAGCTCGAGAGGTTACTCAGCCGCAGCATTGAAGTCTCCTCGTGAACAGTTTACTTACGTTATGTACGATCGACGACCGCTCTGACTCAGTTGTGCTATCGCGAACTATTGGGAACTATTGGAGCTATGAGGGGAAGAGGCTGATCCTGCAAGAGATATATAAAAAGTCTGAACAATGGTCTTCCAGAGTTAACTGAGTCCATTCTTCTTCCCTCGGTTGCACTTATTCCGAGTCAAACAATTACATCACTCGTTTCCTTAAACGGAAAACCGACAGGGGACTCGAAAAGAGTCATACTTCTCCACCTCTTTTCAGTACTCTAGACAGTGTTGAAGGGAGAGACGGAGTAGGAAAAACCAAATCACTGTCCTTTTCACGACCGTTCTTTTCACTCCTCCACAAAATGTTCCGCCAAAACGGTGGTTCGTCTACCTGTATCATCGAACCTGTGGAACTCCAAGACGTGTCGGGACATATCCAGCAACCCGCTGCCGCGAAGGTGTCGGGACCACTATCTCCCTTGCAGACGCTCGAGACTCGTAAAAGTCATGAAGCGGTTCCGAAAAACGACGACCCTGTTGAACATCTGCCGTCACCAACAACGGCAGTGGCGCATAAGACTGAAAAATGGAATACGCCGCGTGTGAACCTTTGGCGGACGTTGGCTGCGTTTTGGAGTTTTGTCGTCATGGGATCGAATGATGCGGCTTATGGTGTATGTGAGAAATGCATGTCCAGTCCAACGAACCTTACTGACATTGACAGGCATTGATTCCATATGTGATTGAACCCAACGTGATACTCCATTGTACAAGATACTGACCACCCCCAGCTCCAAGAATACTACAACCTCACCTTCGTCGTCATCTCCCTCATCTTCTTCTCCCCGCTTGTCGGCTACACCATCTCCGCCCTCCTGAACAACACCATCCACCTCAAATACGGCCAACGCGGCGTCGCCTTCATCGCGCCAGGATGCCACCTCATCGCGTACATCATCATCGCCATTCATCCGCCTTATCCCGTCCTCGTCGTCATCTTTATGTTTTCGGGCTTTGGCAACGGCCTGGCGGATGCGGCGTGGAATGCGTGGATCGGGAATATGGCGAATCCCAATGAGATTCTGGGATTTTTGCATGCGAGTTATGGGGTCGGCGCTGTGTTGGCGCCGTTGGTGGCTACGACGATGATTACCAAGGGGCAGAGATTACCCTGGTATTCCTTCTACTATGTCATGGTATGTGGTGTCTTGCTCTCTCCGAATGGCGTATGTAAGCAGAAAAGGGGTATAGCGACACTGCTCCGCTTCCCGGTCATGGCTTTACTATCTACACTTCTCCGAGATCTCTTGCTGATTTTTACTACTCCAGATTGGCATGGCTGTCCTCGAGGCCGCCACCTCCATTTCCGCCTTCTGGGGCGCCACAGCCAGCGTCTTCCGCGCCAACAACCCGCGCACCACGCACACCAAGGACAACCGCATGAAGGAGGCTCTAGTCCGTCTACCCTATGCACGCGTTACCTGGATCTGTTCGCTGTTCTTGCTCGGCTATGTTGGTGCGGAGGTGGCGCTCGGAGGCTGGATCGTCAAGTTCATGCTTGAGGTCCGAAAGGGAGGGGATTTCGCCTCGGGCATGACGGCGACGGGGTTCTGGATGGGCATCACGGTGGGGAGGATCGTGTTGGGGTTTGTGACGCCGCGGTTGGGGGAGAAGTTGGCTATTGCGGTGGGTTACCATTTCTTTCTTTCGGAGGTTTAAACGACCCTCTTTTAGTACATCGACTGATATTCCCCCAGATCTACCTCATCCTCTGCATGGCCCTCGAACTCATCTTCTGGCTTGTGCCCCAATTCTACGTCTCGGCCATCGCCGTCTCTCTCCAGGGCTTCTTCCTCGGCCCCCTCTTCCCCGCCGCCATCGTCGCTGCCACCAAGCTCCTCCCGCGCCATCTGCACGTCTCGGCCATTGGGTTCGCGGCGGCGTTTGGCGGGAGCGGCGCGGCTGTGTTCCCTTTCGCGGTCGGCGCGATTGCGCAGGCAAAGGGCGTGCAGGTGCTGCAGCCGGTGATTTTGGCGCTGTTGGGCGTGATTACGGGTTTATGGGTTTGTTTGCCGAGGATTGAGAAGAAGGTGGAGTAGGAATCGACCACAGAGGGAGAGAGGGAGAAGGGAGGGCAGGATTTGAGGGGAGAGTAAGGTCGTTTGGCGACATGGACATAAAGTGAGCATCTATGACAAAAGAGACTTGAGAATGACTTAAAGAGGAATACTATTGCGTGAGTATTGAGAAAACGCAAAAGCTATATTACGTTGCCTGACTATCAAAACAGAAACAAAAGCTAACCCAACTTCACTGCCAGAGTAACAGCAAAGCAACGCGTCCGACTACTCATACAAGTACAAAACCAGTATTGCCCGTTGCCAGATATTCATGTCCATCATGACAAACTGCGCATTTCTCAACCACCCAAGTCCCTTGGGAATCTTCAATCACTGCGGGAACCCGAAATATCAGTCTTCTGCTCGCCAACCATTCCCATCGTCGGCCCCCCCTCGCCGACAAGCACACTATCCCTTTTCTTCCCCAAGTTCCCCCCCTCACCTTGCGCCTGCGTATGCGGCACAGGCTCCCTCAGCGTCCCCCCAATATTCTTCGGCTCCCCCTCAAACCCATCATACCGCTCCTCCCTCCCGCCCAACACCCCGCCCTTCGCCTTGAACTCCTCCATCGTCACGGGCGGCAGCTCCGACGTATGATGAATCTTATCGACATTATGATGGACCTCATGGATCGGCACCGTCGTATGAATCACACTGGGCTGAATCGTCTCCTTCTCCACAACGGGCTGAATCGTCTCATGCACATGGTGATGGACATGCTCGCCGCCGACCACGGGCGCCACCGACTGGCTGTGCGTCGTAGGCTCCACGACGCGCTCGTCGCGGAACCCCTTCTGCTCCTCGTCGAGGCTGGCGCGCGTCGCGTCCGGGTTGCGGTGGTCGTATTCGCGTTCCTGGACCGCGCCTAGGTGTGCCGTGTGCGTTTCCGGGAGCACTTCGCGGGCCTGCACGGGTTGGATGGTGCGGTGGTAGTGGTCTTGGTGGATCTCCTTGTCGATGGCTGTGTTGATTTCTTCGTGCTCGTGCGGTTTGATGTGTTCGTGTTGGACGGCGGGCGCGACCGTCTCGTGGACTGTGGTGGATTTGTGGCCCGCGCGAGAGGTGAAGTCGCGGAGGGAGGCTTTTACTTTGTCCATTTTTCTTTTCTTCTCTTTTTTGCTGTTGGGTTGCTGATGGGGACTGGAGAAGGGGCTGGGATGGATGGGAAAGGGGGTTGGGAGTAGCTGGTTTTCGGCGATTTGAAGCTTCGGAGAAAGTGGGATTTGTAACGCTGGAGATGAGAAATGGTCTGAGTGAAGAGCAAAACAGACGATATTCGCCAATATATACTGCCCTTCAAGAGCAACCGCCTATCACAACCAACTCACCTCCCCAGAGTCACGTCACTCAACACCTACAGTATGTCATAGACTGAGCCACAGGGTCATTGGACACTGCCTCAGGACAACCCCCGTCCTGCAAATCGTCACAATGATAGGTACTGGTGCGAATCGTCTCCCCAGCCCCTCCAATCCAGATTACCGTGTGTACTATGTACGTACGCTCTCTCCGGCTGTTGTTCAGTCCATAGCGGATTTTGCAGTGCGCGTGTCAATGGGGAACCAACAGTCGCTTCTCAAAACAGTGGATCTCGACGTCAAGTCTGTGTTGTTGTCGCCACTGGCGCCTACTGTGAGCCTCCTCTCTCGCCCGTCCAATTATTCTTCAAGTCCGCTTTCTGTCAGTACGGGATGACGAGGAATGGTCAGGATCATGGGTTGTAGTACCAATATCTTACGTAGTTTGATAAACGCCATCGATTTCTCGCGATCGCAGTATGCATTTCGCCATGGAGTCTAGTCCAATTACCACTTTTGCTGCTCGTGAAGGTTGACAGTATACACAACGGAAAAAGAGTTTGTGACTGACGAACACAGCCATGTGGAGAGGTGCGTGGTGGAGAAAGAGGGGATACGAATACGGTCTGTTCACTCTTGGCGCGCCAGCTGCGTCGGATGTGGTCTAGCCCTGAAAACCACCGCTAGGGTAGTTGTCCCGGCCCCGCGGCGGCGCCCACCGACCTGGCTACGCGCAGCCATGGCCCTGCCCTCATTGAGGGCCCGACTGCATATCTTGGCTATCCTACTCTTGTAATACTATACGACCACGATATCTTCAATCAGCATGTTTGTGATTCCGGAAATACACAATCCAAGAGCCGGGTTTTCGTGTGCCGTCGAGCGATGTACGTCAGATGGATGATGTATCAATGTTGCTAGGCGTAAGGCTAGATGGGTCTGTCTGTTCGCTTAGTACTGTACTAGTACAAGTAGTAGGCGCGCGGAAAGACGGGTGTGGAATAGCGGAGGCGGCTGCTATAGAAGACGTCATACAGTTGTCCCGTTCCCGTCTGATCTAAATTCGGCCTGAAGGTAACTGCCATGTGCAAGTGCAGAGCGTCGTCTGGATCAGGTTTGACTGACTTATGGGCGTGTACCCGCACGATGGGTACCAAGGTGAGCTAACACAGTAAACAGCGGAGTAAGGTTAGGCCACTACAATTAAGGCGAATATCTTCCTCGTAAGAGGCCAGGGCGCCTTGTTGGTCACGGCGCCTGCTGTGTCTGTTGGTAAAAGTCGTAGGAGGGCATTGGTAATGTCATCGTCGGTTCCTCGTGCCCTTCATCTCCCAACCTCGACCGATTTCCCCCGTTACCAGGAAGTCCTAGGCCCGTCCTCTCAAATACATAGCTCCATCTGAGAAGCACAATTGTGCTAGGGGATCTCTATTCGTCACCTTCATCTATTTGTCCACCCTTCCTACCAAGATCTTAGTATCCTAACCCTTAGCTATCCCATTCCTTTACCCACTCGCCCTTCGCCTATTCCACGGAATGCAGCACAAACTCAAATCCCTCTTGCATAAAGCGGAGCGCAAGAGAGACACAGAAGGAGCAGACACGCGATTCGGTCTCTTACCCACAGTCCATGGCTCAGTCCCGGCTCCATCCACCACGCACTATGACCAGGGCAATCAACCAGGTGGCCGCAGCAGCATAGAAAACAAGGGGGAGAGGGAAATCACGGCATCCTCTCCTACCTACGCCCACGAAGAGGACACACAAGTTCCAATCCGCCGTCCTGTTGAAAAAAGTAGCGGTAATGCGTACGATACCAGAGCCCTCGATGCCAATATCCAGGACAGCAGCGGTCATGTTCCCCCGGTCCCTGAGCAAGGAGAAAAGAATTGGGATGCTCCTGTAGCCCGAAAGGCAGTAGTGGCGGGAAAAGAGATTCCGGATCTGGAGCACAGTGAGCAAGTAGACGTTTCCACGCGGTGGGCCCCTGGTACGTGGTTCCATACCTTTATTGCTTCAAACGTCACAGCTTCCCAGTCTCCATTTCCATTTCCATTTACATGCTTCTCTTCTTTCCTCCCCCCC